GATTAAGGATCTGCCATTTGCTGCCGCATATTTAGGTGACACATTTGATTTAACGCAGATTAACCAGCCTGAGGGCATGGACTTCTCACTGCAACACACTGCACTGGAATACATGATACATGCAGACATGCACCACACACAAATATGCACACACAGAACGTACCTCCAGTCTCACACAGATTGAAACCGACAAGGTGCCAGTGTCACCCAATGATACCATGAGAACAGGTTAGGGTCCAAACCTTGACTCTACAGATGTACGACATCCTACTATTCTACACTGAAAAATACAAATCTAGACAGTCTAATGCACACACAGGCATGTCTGGAAACTCCACAACCTCATTTCCCCACGCTACAACACTCAACAATGGGAGCCTAAAAAGGCATTAATGCAGCAGATACAGACAGGATATAAAGTCCACAGTACAAAAATCCAGGGCAGAAAACTGCAGTCCTTGCCACCTGCAGTGAAATACAAGTGTGTTTGTATGCTAGAAACAGAAAGAGACATGGCAGGACTGGATTAGAGAGGATGGAGGAGACACAAGCACTCAAGCAGGTGGACTTGTAACAACCAGTAACACAAGTGAAATTGAGATACAAGGCCAAACAGGAAAATGGAGGATGTAAAATCATAGTCTCTCACTGGAAATAAATGGATGTATGATGTGAAACAACCCAACAGCATTAAACAACAATGTGAAGGCTTAAAACTTAAAGTTAGTCAGGGATGAAGGAAGTGTAGGCAAGAGAAGAGTGTGACCATCACTAGGTCACCATCTAAGGATATACGAGTGAGAAATGCACGTGTTTCAACGCAATCCAATGATCACCTAAACGAGTGTGTATTTGTTGATACCTTTGGTGAGACATCTAGTGACCCAATGAGGCACATTTAGTTTAGTCAACTAATGCCATTTACACACTACATGACTTTCAAAGTCGTCAGATTGCTGTGCTGTTCACACAACACAAGTTGTCTTGTAATCTTGTAATCGTTTTGGTTTGCACACTACATAACTGATCAGTGACAAGGGGTTACAAGCAAGGTCTTTCATACAGGAGGAATCTCCAACAACTGTCTGGTCTCCAAACTATGTTCAGTCACGAAAACATATGTTTTTCTGCAAAAAAACAGTAAGAGTTGTTTGTGCAGTGAAAAAACAAGAAGAAAAAGAAAAGAATATGGGTGAGAGTGGTTTGGAATACATGGGCTCTCAGTGGCTGTAACTCGTTGCTGCCAGTGCTGTACATAAACACACTAGCAGCATGGCTAATGCTGGCAATTAAAACAACGCAACTAACGGTAGATCGTTTTTTCTTGGATTTTAAAAGCAATCTCTGCCTGTGATTCTATAGTACTGTAGTATACAGTAATTCATTTTGTTTGGGAAGTAGCAATCATTGGGAGTTGGGAATGGGGGTTTATTTTTAAAAAATTAGCCTAGCAACAAGCAGTTGGGCAGACTACACTCCTATTTGTCCCTCTCACTGAATCTGGGGCTCGGCTGCCAAAGTGACAGCAACAAATTCAGCCACATTTAAACAGGTAGCTGCTACCTCCAGTATCCAAGGTGTGTAAACAGCATTGTACACTTATTCTGGTCACTCGGTGTATCTTTACAGTCTTGTGTGTAAACAAGGATTCATCGATTTAGAAAAGTTGAAAAAAGTTTGCTAACTAATTGCAAACTAATGCAATTGCCTGAATATGGCATGCAAACATGTAAATGTTGCTTCGCAAAAACTGTTGCAATAACTGCAATAATGAATTCATTGTGTGTCGATTTACAAGTGGCTTTGGAAATCCTGCAATGTTCCTAAAATATCTGCACTGACTACCTAGTAATATCATACCTACAGCCATCTACATATAGACGGCCTGTTCTGACTCCATCTCTGCTAGTTAGTAAGTGATAGTTAGTGGTTTTTGCTTGTGTCTGCAGATGAACAAAGTATCTTCAGTAAGTACGGTAATAATAGTTATAGTTTGAAAGCATGAGTCCAATTTTATGTCCCATTGTAATTTTTCATTTTTATTTTACCTTTTTACATTTTAGCAACTTATTCATAATATTTTAATTTCATGAAACAGATTGTGGATATGATATGCAAGTACACTGCACCAGTGTATTTTTCAGAAGTTCGCACAGTTCAAACTTTAACTAGCCTCAACTTCTCATCTATCACTGAAGTGCTGCAAGCCTTGAGAATATTGCTTATTTTGCCTCATATTTACACCCCTCACTGCATACCTGTATAATTAATGCATTTGTCAACAGAGCTATGACTCATCTCTTCCATGCATTGCACTGTGATGGGAGATTGTTTGTGGCTCAATCACCCCGCGCAATCCATTACATAGATCACTTAGAGTGCATTTCTGAAACAACTACTCGCAAACTACAGTATCTTACCAACTGGCAGCATTCATGGTCAAACAAAGCTTGGTTTGCCCAGTTCTTGTTTAAAGGAGAGCAGGGCAATGGGTGTTCAGGGACTAACAGAAAGCGAAAGGTTGAAAGCACACTATCTGGGGCGAATCATTCAGCCTGCTGGGGGATCTAGAGCAAATCCTTGACTAAAGACAGACAGACAGCGCTAAAGCAGTGTTACACAACAGACCACATGCACAAGCCTGGGTGACAGGTGAGAGTCTGGGGCAATGAATGTGATAACACAACTAGGATAAGGACAAGCAGAGGGAGAGATGTGGAACATTAAAGGGAAAGAGATAAAGACAGACAGAGGGAAGTGAGGAATGAAAGAAATACAACAAATTATCAGTTTATCACTTGAGAGACAGTCTGTACTGAGAATTTATAACTACTGTGCAACTTCTTTTCAAACCAAATAACTGACCAGGTATTAACTGCTGTTTGTGAGTTTTAAATGAAATGGAAGAGTGGCCTCATGTACATTTGATAATATAATAGATGTTTGATAGTAAAAGGAAATAGAAGTGGCAGTGAGTCCAGTGATACAACAATTTACAAACTTCAAAGAGAATGGATTTGGTTTTCAGAGGGAAATATGTCTCAAATAGACAAACAAAGGGTATTCTGGTGGTGTGAAAAATAAAATGAATCAATTTCAGATGAGCAAACTAACATCATCTCCAGCTACTCAGTCTCCCGTGCAAAACTGTAGTTACATCACTCAGTACATGATTCTGACTGTTGATTTCTCTCAAAATGAGACAATGGGGTCGATTTATCTACAAAAACCTGTGCCAAACTCTCTTTCTCTGTGCTACAGAAGCTAACTGTTAAGGTCATCTCTTTCTCTGAGCAGGAAACTGTGGGTCTCTGTTTCAGCTGGCAACTACATGCCACTCTCCCCTTTTCTCTCCCTCATCAAAAGCTGCATGTCAATATCTCACTCTGTCACTGTTCACTAGTCTGGAAATAGAGAGTGATGGCACCATTTAGAGCCAAGTGTGAATATACTCTGACATAAGGCCTGACAATAGAACAGACAGTCTCTGTTCGCAAGAGACCTAAGATTAGACGGTCCACGAGGAATTCCCTGCTGGAGAGATTAGCTCTATTGATGCTGCTTTTCACAGAGTATTGAGACAGACTGAATGTGTCTGTGTGTGTGTTATAACAAAGGTCCAATGTATTACCAGAGCTACAAGTGATGTCTTAAAAAAAACATAACTTGATGTAACCAGCAGCAAATCAGCAGAAACCAGAGAAAAGCAAATCTTGGCCTTTGAGGCTGTTACCATCAAAAAAATTTATTTTTGCTAGGTCATTTGATGAATGACCTTGCAATCTATTATAACCCCATGCACTAAATGGACGGTCTGCCTTTTAAGTTCACTGCCAAGTACACAGTTGCCTAAATTGCTGAACACCAGTGAACAACAAATTCCTTTTTTCCACTAAGCAAATTGCATGATCCATGCATCGACAAGTTACAGACAGTCAAGTCAAATTTCTTTCCATATCTTTTACCATCCTCTGTCTGGTGTCTGTCTAGTCTCTGCACCATCCCCCTACTATTCCTATCCTACAAGTGGCGGACACAATATGGTGATCAACTGTTTAATCCAGTGGAATCCAGTACAATACCTGCCTCAGAACAGTAAAGCCGGTCAGCCCTCCTCTTACCAACTGTGATCTCTTGCTCCAACATTCTGGCCAACCACAACAACAAGCCACAAACACAGTCAGAGAGAGGAGGACAAACAGCCTAAGGAGGTGATACACTTCTTGTATGGTTCAAAACTGTGTTTAGTTCAAGAGGAAGCCTGATCTGTGTAGCAAAACGGACCTTGTTTTTTTCCAAAAAAACAAACTTAAAGATTTATGCAAATTCGTATAAAACCTGCATAAGGAAATTAGGTCTTTTTTGAGTTGGCAACAATATGACATTAAATGTATACTGTGTTATGTATAATTGATTGCTCTATGTTTCACATTCTAAGTTACTTAAATAGGTTTGCTGTTGTTGATCTAAACCAAAACAGGTCTCTCTTCCTGGTGCTCTAAACTCTTGATCTTGTAGCCTGATCTGCTCCTGTTTGGTGACTGTTTCAACAGGAATAACTGGTCAGATAACATATTTTAGTGCTGTCTAGGCATGCAGTGACCCCACTCAACCCTGCTGACCATGTTCAGACAATGTAGACATTCAACCTTTATCCTGTATATGTATGAGTTTATTGAAATGACATGGCCTCTTCTTATCATGCATTTTTTTCAGCCTTTGCTGTACTCTTCAGCTTTTTATCATAAGTCCAGTGTTCAGCATGTTATCACAAGCTCACTTAACTTTGAAAATAAACTTACAGGTATTTTTTGTAATTGCAAATTTATATTTTAAAGTCAAATCATTAATCAGTGGAGCCTGTGTCCAAGACCGGTGATTCTCTCTTTGTAACTGCTTTGAATTTCTTTAATATCTAACTACAGTAAACTAACTTTCAGTTCATCTAAAAAAAAAAAAAAAAAAACTCATATGGTAGTCAAACGTGAACAGCCACTTACCTTTTAGTTTCTCCACCACACTCTGCCCAGCTCTCTCTGCCACCCGACCATCCTCCCTCTGGTAACGGTCATCCAGGAATCGGGCAGTGGCTTCTGACAGGTGGACCTTGCCTGCCACACCCAGCTGCTCCATCAAGTTAGCCAGATTGACATCATTTGACCACACATCGAACTTGAAGCGCTTCATTCCCAGGATCCCACACAGGACGGTGCCCGTATGGACGCCAACACGCATGCTGACAGTCTCACACGTCTCCTGACAGAACTGCTCGATGGCCTGGATCATGCCCAGGCCCATCTCTACACAGCAGTAGGCGTGGTCCGGTCTGGGCTCAGGGCACCCTGCTACGCAGTAGTAGCAATCTCCCAGAGTGCTGATCTTCTCACAACAAGTTAGTTCACAGAGCCGGTCAAAACGTCCAAACAGGTCATTGAGAAGGCCCACCAAGGCTGGTGCTGACTTATTGGCAGACATTTTGGTGAAACCCACAATGTCTGCGAAGAGGATGCTGACAGGCTCCATGCGTTTCATGTTGAAGGGTCTAAATATTATCTGTCCACGGGGGATGGAGGTCTTCTTGCGTTTGTGATTGTTGTGAGGGTGATTTTTGGGGCTAATGGCACTTTGGGCTTGTGAAGCTCCACCAACTCCCCCACCACCCACTGAGACAGCCGAGGCAGAGCAAGCACCAGAGGAATAACGCTTGCCAGAGTTCTCACCACCGCCCTCATCATCACCCTGCTTCATCAGCTCGTCTGCGACTCGCCGTGGCATGACTGAGTGGATCATGCGTTCCTTCAAGGCCTTCTCCACTTCTAAGTCTTTTCCATGCATGATAGCCTGGCCCACTTTGAGGAAGGTGCTGCGGGAACGCACCTCTGACATGATGAACAGGTGGATGCCAATGACATGGGCACACAAGTGGAGCAGAGCCTTGGCTGGGCCCAGCCAGCGGAGTGTGTCTCCTTCCCAATCAGAAGCTGAACCCACTAACTCTGTTTCCCATCCCGTAGTGTCATAACTCCTGTGAAGCAATGGTAGCCATCCTAATAACTCAAATAATATAGAATAGAGGAGTCCCAGCATCACTGAGGCATACAAACGGACATGGAGGACACTGTATAGCAGTAGCAGAACCTCCATACACAGGGAAAAGGTGCCTACAGGGGAGATGCAACGAGTTGAAGGTGGTAAATCATCTGGTAAGAGATATGAGGCATTCCCTCCACCAGTCCGCTCCAGCTCAGTGTAACCAGCAGTCTGAATCTGTGGAGCTAAGGTTATGGCAAAGGTGACCGCTATCAGGAACAAGGAGGTTTGGTTGTACAGCCGTGTGTAAGGCTGAGTGAAGGTGAATAAAAACAGGAGGACTAGGAGGACCAAAAAGGAGGCTGTGGGGGCTAGGAAGGTCATGGGGTTGCAGCGATCACTGTTGACCCCAAAGTACACCCCCCAGAGTACAGCCGCCACTGCAAGGTAGAACAGGACATAACGGAAGCGCCGCTGTGTCTGAGGAAAGCACCTCTCTTGGCATGCCTCTTCCAGGATGGGGGAGTCAAACTTGGGGTCCCAGCATTGCGCAGCAGAGCGTTCGAACAACGGTGGCGCCTTCCTTTGCACCCTGGAGGTGGAGGTCACGGCTGGTCTGGAGTCTGCCGAGCTGCAGCTGGAAGAGATACTGTATTTGTGGAGGTTAGGGTTCGTTTTACTCACAGCCCCATAGCCTCCAGCTGCTCCTGCTCCACTGTTGGCAGACCTCAGTGGCTCATGTTGATGCACGTGTGGCGCGCTGTTGGTTATCCGCACGGTGACGGCGCCATCCCCGCTGGAGTCGCAGCTCACTTCCGTGCCATGCATGAGAAGCTGCCGGTGATGTTGCAGAGTGGCCATATTGACTGGTGTGACGCGGAAACGAGGGGGTGCGGGAGAGGTGTTAAATATTAATATAATATCTTCTGATGGCGCTCAGGCAATTACACGCGGTGCGTGGGCGCCGTGTGTGCACATGTGGCACGGAGAGGAGGGAGAGGGCGGCGGTGAGAGTGACGGGCAGGCAGACAGAGAGGGGGAGAGAGAGCAAAGGTGTTTGTTGGAATAATCACACTGCATGAATGGTGAGCACGGCACAGACGTCTTTGCTACGCACACAGCAGCCTGCACACTCACTCACACAAGACGCGCCGTTCCAGTTTCTTGAGCAGTTCATTATCCGACCCCGGGTTTGCGTCAGTACTCACATTACATGTATCCTTCTCCAAAGAGGCTCTGGGTTTGAGCCCGGCTTTCTCTCCAGCTGCGGTAAAAACACTGTCATCACTCTTTCTGCCTCCTGAATTGAACATCCTTCTCGGAAAGGACTGGTTAGTGATGCAACGGTTTTTTATGCCTTCATCAAGTCAGTCCTGACGTTACATGACTGGAAATTACCTCCTCTGGATGTGCGCAATATTTCGATACTGCTGACATGACAGAGTCAGACAGCTTAAGGAAGAATGCCCAGATTTCTCTTCATTCCGAAATAATTATGTTTGCGTGGAAAAAACAGCGTTCAGGTCCAGGGCTTCATTGTATGAGCAGATACAGATAAGCTATAGGCTGTCAACAGTTGGCGTTGTGCACAGCAAATGGCTACAAAAGTTACACTGTCCCTCTTATCTCCACAACATGCGTGACAAATGGTCAGTTTATGCGTCCTTTCCCTTCTTAAAACACACCCAAAGTCTTGTCCTTATGGACAGCTATTGCTGAAATAAAAATGTGTGGACATCATGAACTCGTAAAGCATCAAAACTACATTAAAAATATTGTCAAAAAAATATTAATCAGCCCTCTCTTTAAAAAAGAAACATTCTCGTTTTACATTGATTTTATATGCAGTGAATATTTTACACAAAGTAATGCCAACCCACAATGTGACTAAACTGTTAATTCCGTTAATTAAGAAAACAAAGTGGGTGATCTGTAATTAAGGAGACTTTACCTTCCTCTACATCCCTTTCTCATGTATTGCTCAGTGTCCTAAGGATTTACATTTTTTATTCTCATACATTCTCCTTCCATCTTTATTCCAGCGGGCCCTTGCAAATATTCCAAGCTGAGTTATTTTGGAGCCCTGTCCAGTCCAAGAATCAGATCATAAGAGGCCTGACAGGCAGGCCTATTCCCACGGATCCAGCCCCGTCCTTTCCTGAACTCCCTCTCCGGATCTCCACCGTTTATTCCCCCTCTGCCTTCCAAAGAGGGGGTCGGGGAGGGGTATGCGCTATTCAAAGAGGCGTAATCCGAAAAGAGAAGCGCAGAAAATACCATCCGCTGGCCCAAATTAGCGTAGGTTTGCCTCTGCTGGGAGTGTCTGCAACTTGTTGCGCGCAGTTGGCAAAACATACAGCTATGAGGAACAGCCTCGGTCGGAACAGGCTGGTCTATAAATAGTGATGATCAAAACTCTTGCAATAACAACACCAACGGTGTGTAACATTTAAATGCTTTTCTTAAACTTATTCTGTGGAATATCAGGAGCGCTAGATACAAAAAAAGTAATACTTAAAAATCAAGTCGTAAAACGCGTGCAAAACGTCAGCGATAGGCCCCCTCTCGCTTCCAAAAGCTCCTAAACTTTTTTCCCAGGCCGTATTTCCTGCGTTTGGAGAGGAGACCCAGTTAGGAGTCTCTGGTTATTTGGAGCTGAGGCTGGATTTCCTCCCCTCGCATTCCCCCCGGAGCAAAGAAGTAGAAAATCCCCAGAGCAATAAAGGAACCCCCTTTGGATGTGTCCTCGGTGGGATTATCAAAAACCGCCCCCACCAAAGCAATGTCTCCTTATCTCTACCAATTCCTTAGGTCTGGATAGCTCTAGTTTTCGCTGGCATGCATGTGTCCAACAAACACAACACTGTGCGCTCTGGCTGTGGTGCGTCCTCTTCCGTCCGCCGCTGGTTGCCACCCTTTTTCCTCCTTGATATATCTCTCTGCTGAAGTTGGGGGCTAAATAAAAACAGACCTACAGCGGGAGTTTGTGGCTGCTTTTCCGTCTTATCCGGGCGAGCGTACTATCTCCACTCCTGTGGCTGCCACCATCTTCGCTGTGACTGGGTCGGAAATCCTCCCCCAGCTGTTGTGGCGGTGCGGGTTGGTGGGACCAGCCTGTCAAGCGAACCAAAGTTTTAAAAAACACGGTTTCCGGTCTTGCCTTTCAAGAAGGCCAATAAGATAGACTAGTTAAATATTTCAACTCGTGACTATACACATCGCTCGAACTGGCTTAATAGAAGAAAGTGGTGGCGAGAAAGCTGCAGACGACAGGAAGCTTTGAAATGCGATAGACTGTTTAGTTGGTTAGAAAACGATACCACCAGTTTCTGTCGTTTAAAGCCCACAATAAAAGCCAAATAGTAAAAGCTAATAAGTCAACTAAATTATTGAATTTAAAAAGATACACAGATAACAATAAATTGTAAATAGCTAACAGCTATTCACTAATATTACATCTATAATGCAGCCTGTTATTTAAGTTTATAAACTTTTATTAGTTTATTTTACAAAGACAATAGGCTTCTCATTGTCTGCCGTTAAACTACAAAATAGCTTACCATAACACGTAAGAAATAAATAGCTATATTTACAAACAGTTCACTGTGTTTGCAATTTAGTATTTTCTTTTAATTGAATGTAGCTTTCAAAATTATTTATTCGTGACAGTTAACATGACGGTTAAAGCAAGATAGTTAGCTAGCTAACTGCTATCTCAACGATAAATTAGCTTTGTAGCTTGTAGAAACACGGACTTTTTAAATATATATTAATATGATTCATATTTTTTACTAACCTCTGTATACTTACATTAGTTTTTTAATTGAAGACAGGTGTCCAGACCGGATATAATTTAGCAAAAAGTCGACGTGTCTACACAGTCCTCTACAAACTAACGTTAATTATCTCACACAAAATGAACTAAATTGTGAAGTTAAAATGTAAGGAGTACCAAAGTAAGATACAGAGAAGTTGGCGCCTTTAATTTGAAGGCTTGCCGTAGTTATCTGGTTGTCTGTGTAACTTGACAGTCGATGGTTGTGTTGGGTGTCTAAAGTGGAGCTACGTTCATGACAGATTAAGTACTGCCTTAACATATGGGTGGGTGGGTGGGTGTGTGGGGGGGTCACTTGGTGACTCAAGGTATCAGTTCATAGTCATTCCTATGTTTCCTTTTACTCTAGTGCAGCTTGACAATAAATTAGTTGGGTAGGCACTTATTAAGGTAAACTTACTGACTAACCAAATAACAAATGTAAGTAGCATGGGTTAGTTAGATTGTTAGTTTGATAGCTATTGGATATAACTGGCTCCACTTGATATAGTTACAGCATTTGACATCACAGTAGTGTAGCCTTTAGATATGAATGAAAAACGATTCTAAAATTTTACTTATTTATTAAAATTACTTGAAAAATTAAAAAAAAACAAATTTGTTATTGTTTACCCTCTTCAGAATATATATAACATGTTCTATTTGTTGTTTTACTTCTGGTATCACACCTCCCAAATTTAGCAAATGGTAGGAGGATAGCTCAGTTTGCCCTTTGTTACTTACATCTGCTTTGTACTGAAACAACAACAAAATATCAAGTATGTAGCTGAGGTGAATTTTATGTGGGTATTCATTTATTTTCCAAGGTTCCTTTAAGGGGTGAGCTACATATTTCAATCGCTGTTTTGAGGATGGTTAAGCTGAGCACAAAGTCCATATCCATATCTGTGAAATGCAATTGCTCGAAATTTTAGTTTGGTCTAATGTGTAGGAAAAGAATGAAATCTAATATGGTAGCCTACCTTTTATATGTATATCTAATATTTGAAATCAAGACTCTTTTTAACTTTGCCGTTGCCAGTAAAAGTGCTCTGATTGTATTTGCAGTGGTGTCAGGTTTGGTGGAGAATCTGTTCTCAAAATAAAAGCCAGATGGAAAAACCACTTACTAACAGGGAACACATTTCAAGCAGCAATTCTTGTGACAATAATCAAAAGAATTGAATGTGGTCTTTATATTGAGAAAAATAATGCACAATTGAGATAGATCTTATGATTTTTTCCCATTTATTAGATGTTATTAGTATAATTTAACAAGATGTACTGATCTTTCAGAATTCAATTTGTGGCAAATACTGTAGGGGGAGAATAGCACATGGTTTTAGAGTGGGGTCATCACATTTCCACAATGCAAATGACCACAGGAAGAAAAAAAAAAAAAAACATGTGAAAGGAAGCTGTCAGCTTGGGAAAAGTTCAGTCTTCAAGGCCAAGTTTATCAAGGAAAGGAAAAACAATGAGAAAGAAAGAAAGATGGTTTATTGTGCTGTGACATATGACACAACAAATATCCTTGGCAAACATTGCAGAGGAAATACAAAGGTATTGTTATTTATGTCTAAGGCATGTCGGATATCAAGTATCCAAGGTGGTCAAGGTGGTATGCGCTTCATTAGTGCCGGACCAGGCTGTATTTTCTAGGTGGAGATAGTGAAGTGATGAGATTGTGAATAGCAGGTAATTAGAAAGTAGATAAACAAGATAACACAGGGTTATAGCGCTGGTGCTGATTCAGTGTGTGCGTGCATGCGCGTGCGTGTGTGTGTGTGTGTGTGTGTGTGTGTGTGTGTATGTCCTCCTCCTTTGAAGAAGCAATAATGTTTAAACTTTGAATCCAATAAAGCAGGTAACCCTCTATGCACCGTTCAAATGTGTGTGTGTGTGTGTGTGTGTGTGTGTGTGTGTGTGTGTGTGTACATGCTGATGTTGAAGAGCTTACAAGAGAGGCCTGTTTGCAGAGTTGATAAAGCTACACCGATAAGTCTGTGTTAACACTGTGACTAAAACCTGGGAGTGCTGCCTGTCAGCTCAGCAAACACAGATTATACACAGAATATGAGCTCAAACACATATTTACATGTTTAATATTTACTGCATGTGCACAGGTGTGTTGATGTCATGTGTGTTTGTGTCATGGTGTGATGTATGTTGACCGCTATGGGGAAATTAACTTCTTGCTATAGAGCTGACGGTCATCTGCAGGACAGCTGCAGGTTGTCTTGCAGGTATTTAAGAGAAGCACTGTTGAGGAGACAATTTTGTGTTGGAACAAAGTACAAAAAAATATGGTGACACATAGGCGTTAACGCCTCTCCTATGAAACAGTGAGGGCTTTCCCTTAAATGCATTCTACTTCTTAAAGGTGCATGTACAGTATTAGCAGTTTTAGCCATGCTAGCACCATGACCTAGGGATGGCAAAGTGGGTCAGTCGTTCCACCACTCTGGTCCAGCCTGAAATAACATTGGAAGGACTGTCAGACATTTATGGTTCCCAGACGATGTATCTGTGGTGGTCCTCAGACTTTTCCTCCATGAGACTGACAAGTTTTGAGTGATATGTCTCCAGTACTATTGGATCATTGCCACAAAATATAGTACAAACATTCATCGCCTTCATGATAAACTGTAGCAACTTTGATAACTTGACTTTTCATCTATTGCCACCATCAGGTCAAATTGTTAATTCATGCAGTACTTTGGTTTATGATCATATATACGGTATACCCTTTTAACATCAGTATATTGGTACTGTCAGTGTTACCATGTGACATCAACATTTAGCTTAAAACACCGCTCTGACTATGTATGACCTCACACAAGCACCTGGCATGGCTGTAGACTTGTCCTGTTTTGCATACTTGTGTTGCCTCTGGTGGCATGACTCAACTCCAGGCTATAGTACTTGGGTTATTGGGCCATTTACTAGTATTCATATTATGTTTTTATTGTAGATAATTCAAGATAATTTAGATAATTCAAGCAAATAATGGTTTAAAAAGATTAAATAAACCCACCCACTAATTGAATCTATTATGAGAAAACTATCCTGACTATCCTGCTTACCGTCAAATCCACCAGTCGGTATATGGTATCTTCCCAGTGCCCAACCAAGTGTTCCTCTCTGAACTTAACTCCTCACTAAAAAGGCAAAAAGAACAAGGATCCATCCATATGTGTGGAAAAATGAATAAAAATAGACAAAATGTAAATATTTAATATATTTATCTTACTGTATTGACCAGAGGAGGTGTCCATGTGACACTGACAGTTATGAGAGAGAACAGGTTTGTGGCAGAATACCTTAAATTCAACTTTTCCATAATATGTTTATAATGTGCCTTTTGCATTGCGTGTATTTATATGGATAAAATAGTTTTTAAGAACAGTTATTTTGGAATAGGCTACTGTTCATGTTGTTACTGATTTCAAGATTTTATTCATTGTTTTTACAGCAGTGAGAAATTTTGCCTCCAGCTACTGACTGGACTGTCACTTTGTTTAACTTTATTCATTCTATTCGAATCACTGAACAAATCTGAGATGTGGGTGGTGATTCAGAAGTTCAGAACCGCACTCACTGTGCACCCACTTTTATCGTCATGCGAGCGCAGTTAAAAATCAGCAGAGCAAAGGGTTTTGATTGTAAATCTGAAGACTAAAATGAAATAAACTATTAGTTAAAGCGAATGAGCCAGTTAGTTACTGGTTACCACTGGGAGTGATATTCTGATAAACAATAACATTATCTGTCATGGTGATGTGAGGTGTCAGTCCAATGTTGTTTTACTGTGCATTTCCTCAAAGAGAAAGTCATGGCCTACTTAGTTAAGCCATTCATAAGGAATTGCTGTTTGCAAATACAATTGAACATAACTGAATTTACCTTTATAATGTGATTTGTTTCTACTGTCTACAGAATATCCTGGACCGTCCATTTCTGCACCAAGGTCATTTTTGTTTTTGTATACTGCATATTGTGAAACTCATCATTACATAGATGGAGATGCGTCCTTTTTTGTTCCTTTCTCTGTGATAGGGGAATGCTCCCCTGGTTTTGGTGAAAGCAACTGATAGAAAGAAATAAAACTTCTTTCCCTCTACCATACCCTCTGTAATGCAGTCAGTCTGATTAACCCATTGAATAGAGGCGCCTCCTGGTGGCTGTTTTCTGTCACTGCAGGGGATATTTAACCAACAGCTATCAAAGAACAGCATTTTTATTTTACTGTTAATGGGGCTATGGCGCATGTGTGCTCATCCAGCTGTTACACATTTGACCGTGTTTCTAATCCATATGATGCTGTTATGTGTGAACACATTAGCCTGCGCAGCAGCTCCCGCCTGAAGCTGCGTGACGCTGATTTTAGCTTGTGTATGTCCCACGGTTACCAAACCGCCTTTCACTGCATTTTGCTGCTAAACATCCAAATGATATGAATTATATATTGTTTCAGTGGAAGAGATTTTATCTCTAATGTCTTTGTAGCCTCACAAAGGAAACAGGCTTGCAGATTTTTTTTTTTGTCATTTACTCAAAAGAAATCACACAAAAGAAAGAAAGACAATTACAAACAGACCTAAAAGAATCAGGAAAAGATTACATTTTAAAGGAAATGCCCATGTGGTATGCAGCCATGTTGAGGTAAAACTAGCAACAGTTCAGAGGGCTCAAAAGGCCACAAATACAAACTTACTGTAAATGGACAGGAAGTTACCATTTAATGATGTGTTTTGAGGAAAATACCATGGTTTCATTCAGTCAATCCATTCCCAGTGCAGTACTGAGAAATGGTAAAACAAAACTTGCTTTTATCATGAGCCTATAGTACAGTGCCATACAAAGAAAAATGACAGTACAGTATACAGTAGTGCAATACAATACAGTAACTAAACATGGTTAGATCATTGATAAATAAAACACTATTAGAGTACCCTTCTGTCTATTCTCTTGTCCCACCAGTGAAAATATGTACCTTGACATGGTACAGACCTACACTGGTTTAACTGTAAAAACACAGCACAGCAGATATGACAGAATCTTCAGACTTTGCAAACAACACAGAAGACATAAGAGTGGCAGCATTTATCTCTGGAGGAGCGTAGTGGCTGCCAGCATGTTTCTCTGAAGAAAGAAACTTGAATAAATAATGTACAAACTTGAACCGGTGAGAATTCTCAGATTACATTAACATATCATGAGCAGTTACGTAGAAATAAAGGCCTTTTTCTTTTTTCACTGCTCCCCACATTTACGTTTTGCAGACAGCAATGGTTTCAGACTGAAAGTTGACTACATGTCTCCTTTCCTAAACTTGTTTTCTTCCAAACAGCAGTCATAAATACTACATGCAAACACTTTTCATTGTTTGTTTTGACTGACACAAGTACTATAGGTGTCATATAAGGCAATGTGTAGCAGAGAGTTGTTACAGTCACAGAAAAGTGTTTGAAAATCTGTTGGATACAGAAGGTGTGGCAATTAAATAATTAGACTAATGTGGGTTTGACCTATATAAGCCGAGTCTCATTATATAATAGTCACACCTCATAGGTTCCGTCATCTACAACTCATCTGCACTGTTCCAGTGTAGTAAAGCTCATTTATTTGGTACATCTTACAGATAAAAACAAGCACTAAGAAGTATTCTTAAATATTATCTGACTCAGGTCTGCTTGGTACATTCGATCTTTGCACATTTTGTATTCTCTTCCTTCCTTGTTCTCTCTTTTTGCTCAGTCTCCCAACATCCAGTCCTGAAAATCACAGCAGTGGGGAATACTTCAGGAAACCCTCTGGCTGCTGCTGCTGCCATCTGCCTCCTCTGTTCCTCCTCCTGCACCCTTCTCCTCCATCTCACTGCCTCCTCCAGCGATTCTTGGGTTTCTCTTCACACCCGGGACCTTCGCAAGTACCGGGGAGAGGCGGTGGGGTTGCCTGTGCAGCCTTCGCTGGGGGAGGCGTGCCCGAGGCCTTGCCGATGCTGCTGAGCAGAGCTGGGAGCTCGTGTGAAATGGCCTTCTCTATTTTCTCCAGCAGACATCCGCCGCTCCAGCTGCAGTGGGAGGAGAGCTGCTTGAAGCTGGAAACAGGGTTGACACCGAAGAAGTCCTGGTAGGCCTCCTTGTTGGGCAGGTCAAACTTGCTGACGTTGGTCTTGGCCAGAATGGACTTGAAGATGTAGTACTTGTCCGGGTCATTGACAATGTCTTGGAACACCTCGTAGGGATCACTGAACCAGCCCATCTTGTCGTAGTAGGTCTGGAGGTAGCGGTCCACCAGCAGGGCATGGATGCGCACACGGATGCCGTGCTGGCGGATGAAAGCGATCTTATTCTCGATCTGGTTCTCAATCACCTGCAGGGGAGAAAGAGAGAGAACCAAGAGGGGAGAGAGGGAGAGAGGAAAGGGAAACAGAGGGGGGAAAGAGAAAGACAGAAAATTTGAATTATAGAAATAGGGAGAGCTGAATATGACACAGTTGTAAAGGACTCGTCACCTCAAGTACTACTTACACAAAGATAAATCACAAGGTAGATATGTGAGAGACCTCATGAGTTTATTACACTCTTGCAAATGTGGTTAAGCTGAATGTACCTGTTGTTTAATGAAGCAATTACTAAATCAATCTCTGTGTATCTTTACTCACTTACTGTAAACAAGAACAAGTCGGGAAGATGTACCTGGTTGAGGTCCTCCAGCAGTGAGCTCTCCTCCTTCATGAAGAGCTCTCGGCTGGTGTCTGCAGCGTAGTCCAGAGGCCAGAAGGAGCTGACATAAACCCGTGGGGGCTCTGTGACGTTGATTAATGGCGCCATGCTCCAGAACAGGGCCCCATAGACCCTCATCAGGTCCTGGTTGGTCAGACTGTCAGCCTTGTTGAGGATGAGGCGGATCTGGGACTCACGGCCCTTCATCTGCTTGAAGAGCATCTCCAGCTCTCCGCCCACGTCCAGCTTGGTGGGGTCGAACACCAGGAAGATCAGATCGGCTCGATCGATGAACCACTGGCACACCTCGTTGTGGGAGATGAGGAATATTAAAGATATAAAGCCTGAAGAATTAACATTTTGTCATTCTGTGAAAGGCCCAAAATGCAGAACAAGACACAAAATGTAAGATATGAGAAGCGCTCTTCACACATAATTTTCCATCAGAAGCACAGGTGAAGCTCAGGTCTTGATGATCTGATGTGATGAGTGCACATACACTGAAAACAGACTCTGCCAATCTCAGTGATTGATTGAGATTCCACCTTTACCACAGCCACATAAATATGTGTGTAAGCCTGTGTTGAACTTTTATTGGAATGAGTCACCCAGCCAATAACAGCATTAATAACAATTTCATTTAATAGGAAATCAAAAAGTCATAGATGCTGTTTCAGAAGCCATTTCACGCTGGTAGAGGATGCTTTTTACCACGGCAACGGAACAAGATGAAGACAATGAATCCTGTCTATCTGCTGCTTTGATATGAAAACATTTCCATCAGTAAAGATCACCTCTTTCCTGCTGTTTGCGGTTCTCAATGATGCCGGGTGTGTCGACGAAGGTGACCCTCTCCAGCAGCTTGTGGGGCATCTCGATGCCCACCAGCCGCTCCAGGAAGCCTTGGCCGAACTTCTCCAGGGGAGAGAAGGACCGTGAGCTGTCTGCCGCCATGACGATGCCCTCTATGGACCGAAACTTCTCACCGTGCATTATAACGGTGTACTCAGAGGTGGTGGGTTCAGCACCTGGTGGGAGGATGAAGAGGCAATGATTTAAAATTATTTGTATCTGTTGGTTAAACTTATTGGGTGATTTAATTTTACCAGATATTTGGTTTTACTTTAAACATGAGTTTTATAAAATAATGCTTAATTAACTAGTAATTTTGGCTTAACTAAGCATTTGTTATTGTTGACATGTGCTTAGTTAATGCTAAATTACTAGCTAATTAAGCATTAAATGACACAATAACACCTTCATATTTCCTCACTAACTAAGAAGTTAAGACATGTTTAGCTAATGTTTAATCACTATCAATATATTAATTCATCATATGATTAACTGTCTTTCTTAACAGATAAAAAAGATATAATTCATATTATTATTTCCATTAATTCGAGTCTTTCCTGTATATTTTGTATATTCCCTCATTACATTAGCTGCAGTCCAGTATGTTTTTAAAGACACCATGTAACTCTGACAGAAGAAATAAAGAGAAAGAAGAAATAACATATTCTTTCACTTATAAATAAACTGTTGAATTAATTAGGAACAAAGCAACCCATTGTTCTTTACAACATATGCTCCAGTTTCTCCAACCTTACTTCATCTGTAGGGACCATTAGCTCATGGTGACTAATGTTAGCTAACTTTTAGATAACTTTAAAGTTACTGACTTGTGAAAATTATAAGAAATGATTTTGCAGTTGCCACTTGTAACATAAGGGTAGCTGTTCATGAATAGTTACATAGTCTCCCTTTAAGTGAAACTGCTTTATGTGGTAGGTCTTGTGGTGAATAAACATGACAAGTGAAAGAGTGAGCAACTTGTGGTTTATTCACCACAACCCTGGTGATTTACACTTGTAATCACTGGATAGTAGCTGTCTCTGATTTTTTAGTTATGCCACTGATGAGTGTTTTCAGTGTGAACCTGTGTAGAGTTCCTGGGAGGTGCTGTGAAGACCCAGCAGGTAGTTGATCATGGAGGACTTGCCAACGCTCCAGGGTCCCAAAAACAAAACCATGGGCTTAGAGGTGATCTCACCATCTGCAGTTTTTGAGTGGGAGAGGCAGACACAGAACAAGAAAGATTGAGCAACAGGAAACAAACAGAAAAAAGGCAGGTTCATACAAAAAATATATTTTTTTAATGATGCTGCATTGAATTGCAACAGTATCTTACTGTACACTGCCGAATACAGCGCTCTTGATTCATTCCCTTTTGTGCATTTTGTTCATGTCACCACATTCTTGTGACATGAACAGGAATTTTCTTATGTGATATCTAGCTTTAGGTTAAAACTTCCACTTGTGCAGAGGAAATATCCAAATCAAATAGGCAAATTTAACTCAGTGATACTGAGTACATTTCTGCTCCCCTGACACTACATGAGCTCCCCTGTAGTGCCACCCTCAGGCCAAAAGGCCAACATAGCACACCTTATATCTCAGTTGCACAGTAGGCAACTGCCATGAAATAGCTGAATGAATTTATTGTTCAAAAGAAATAGAAACATTTGGTTTTAATGATAAATGAGATAAAAAACAGTGCCATTTAAAAGACCGAGTTTAAATACCCCGACTGTGAAGGTGTCCTTCCATTCTGCACCACAAGGTGTCCCAGAGTCACATGACACATCCTGCTTCATCCTGCTCCTTAGCATAAAATAATACTTTCTGCCCTCAAGTGCTGGAACAAAGTTGTTGAGTGTCTGGCCCACACAACGTTCCCTTTAATTTTCAGCGGACAGAGACCTTATTGTGCTTCTCTGCGTGCCTGGTTTGAATAATGTCAGGTCCTGGCTGTTTTTCTACTTAATTACTACTTTATTTGCACTTCACTGTTTCTGTGCAACCATGTACTCGGTGTGTTTGACAGCGTGTTTAACTGATAAAGGCACACAGGTGAGCAGATACGATGTGTTGGTCATAGATTTCCACAGTTATTGTGCTTTTATACACGACTGTTAACTGTTTGGAAAGGAAACTGGAGAAGTTAATTATATCAGCCAATTAATTTCAGTGCTGCAGTACCTGTCTTTCTTGTTGTATTTGTCTTGGCACCAGAGTTGTGGTTTCTTTCTCGCACATTCATAACAAGTTGATTTATGTCAGTCACAGGGAGGCATTTGAAATGCAGACTTTTACACCTGTTCTGTAATTTAGAGCTTACTTTGCAGTAAATGAGCTGAACCACAGTTAAAGTTTAATATACCGGTCATTACCAAAACTTGGTTTTAACCTGCTGCTGAAGTGGACCTATAGAATGTTGATACACCGTGTGTGATATTTACCTACACAAGCAAACAGTACTGCACTGTAAACGCTGTTTAATCTCCAACAAGAACCTGTTACCTGTGACTTCATGCTGCCTGAGCTCGTTGTACTTGTAGGCTTGCTCCATTGGCTTGATGGCCGTGTGGTAGATGTTCAACAGCTTCTTCATAGCAGCTAGAGAGAGAGAGAGAGAGAGAGAGAGAGAGAGAGAGAGAGAGAGAGAGAGAGAGAGAGAGAGAGAGAGAGAGAGAGAGGAATTGGAAGTAATAATTGGGATATAATAAGGCGAAGACATTTTGGACAAGAGTGTTATTAATGTTCTTGCTACCATTACTGATGACAACAATTGCTTTGGCCGTACGTGATGAATTGCCCTCAATAAGTTTATTGAATTGAGCTGAGGTGATTAAGAGACTGGCTCTGCTGCAGCACTTTGGCCTCCCCTGAAATGAATCTGGTTTAACAGAACAGAGAGGGCTTTCATGCTGAGGACAGAGTTACACATTTGCACTGATTAATCACCTGCCCCAAGACATGTCTGCACACTCACACATCATACACACATGCATACGTGCACGCATACAGCACACACACACATTCACATATAAAGCCCTCAGGATCTAGACATCATGAAGCAATTTTCCGGAATAGTTTCAGCAGAAAAGCCCCAAAAATTGTCTCAAACTTCCATTCGTTCACATTCAAAAACATCTGTTTTTCTTTTCCACTGACAAAGTAGCTGTAAACATTCTGCAGCATTTTCATTTCAGTCCAGAACTTCAGGCATTTCCGCTCCAAAAGACATTTGAAACGGTGGGAAGCAGCGCAGTGTTATCACTGGAGGTCCAGTTTTTGATGTGTTTGCATGTATGGGTGCATGTGTGCTTGTGGTGGTGTTAGTGCTCTTTCACATGTAAGGACAGTATATGTGTACTTTCTCATGTCAGTGATTGTGAGATGATATGAATTTGTTTCTTACCTGAGAACTCTGCTGAGGGTTCAGCAGTAGCCAGCCGCAGTGTGTCCTCAATATGGGAGCGGTCCCTCAGCATCGGGCCTGCTGCCTGATCCACCTCATGTCCTGATCAGAGGACCAGACTGTCAGTCAACTGTTAAGGTCAATGGCCCTGACATGCATTTACCCGTGACTGCAGGAAATAAGCAATGCTTAATATGACAAAGAAGGCCTTGAAAACAATTTTCCATATTTATGTGGCATACACTAACAATTACTGAATGAACCACAGCTTCTTATCCACCAAAGTTTTCAAAACCAATCACTAGCAACAACTCATGGTGGACATGGTTACAAAACAAAGGTGATCCCCTAGGTAAATGACTTTAGTTGTGAGTGACCAGACCAGCTGGGCTGAGAACAGGCCCAACTGTTATATTATGCTGTTGTCCATCTAACTGGTCTATTCCTTCCCTCTGCTATTTCAGTCTGTTTATTTCTGTAACAAGAGGTTGTTGCTAATTCCTCTTTAGCTACACACAGTGTCATATTCTGGGGGCTTGGCATGAGAGAGAGAACGAGAGGAAGACAGAAGGATAGAGATCTTTGCTGTCATTTCATGACCCATATCAGTTAAATGCATCCAGTGAAACAAGATTCATATTTCCAAATAGAATATTTAGTAGGCTGCCACGTTCTCATAAGGCATGCTTTATATTAAGTTTATAAGTTGTTAGTAATGGCTTTATAAAAATTTATGAGCGCTTTAACAACATTTGCAATGCCAGGTTGTGTAAAATCCCTTTGAATGGTGTATGTCTTCCCCCGGCTTTATTTGTTTTTGTAAATGTGAATACATCATTTACAAGTGGATTTATGGATTTATAAGTGGACTCATTTCCACACTGTTAGTTATTGAATGGTCCATCCAGAGGCATCATCTGTATGAATTAAAGGATTAGTTTGACATTTTGATAAACACTTTTATTTGCTTTCTTGTTGAGACTTAGATGAGAAGATTGGCCTCCAGCCACAGAATGTTTGCACAATGTGGCAGCCGAAGACCTGTCCTCATTATTAGCCTGTCAGTGATCTATAAAGCATTAATGAATTATTCATTAACTGGATACAACAATGAAACAAATAATGAAGTAATTCTGTGTCTTTAAACCAAGGCTGACCTAAAATATTCATATCAAGCTCAAATTCTGATGTGGAGAGAAGCCGACAAAATAATTGTTTGTCACGAGAGAACAGTTCTGGCTGCTGATATTGAACCAGGACAGACATCTGAAAATAATGAGAGTACGGTTTCTCATCATCACAAAACAATATGACTTGAACAACAAAAACTTTTTTGCCAACGTCACAAAAAAGTTTTCTTATCATTACACCAACATTTGGAGACAGCCTAGATAAATATGTGAATATATAACTCACTGTGTACAGAGGATCAAAAACTAAAAAGTGACAGTACTCATTTAACAATAAAAATCCTAATTCTGAAATTATTACCCTGGATGTCTGAAGAATTTTCAACCACCAGGTCAAAAAAGACGGCACACATTACATTGACCCACCTCACCATAGTATAATGAATGAAGTAATGAAGTGGAATCAGGGTAAGAGATGGGAAACTCTTTTAAGACTCAGCCCCCATAGCAGGTGTCAACACCCAGACACCAGATAATGGCATGCTTCTTTAATTACAGAAGTACCAACAGGATGGGGACAGATTTACTGTAACAGGATCCCTCCTTCTCTACTTGGAGCTGAGAATGAAGACAAGACATTGGCCTGTGGTGTCAGTGAAAAGATTTAAGTTACCTCTATGATGCAGCTTTACTTTTAAGATGTCAGATGGTATTATATTGTTATTTACCTTTGGTGTCAGACTCTACGGGCTCCTCTGAAGTCACCTCCTCCACTGTTGCCTCCTCCTCAACAACATCTGCAGGTGCCTCCTCCACTACAACAGCTTCCTCCACTGTGGTGTCCACTGGTAAAGCTACTTCCTCAACAGGCTCTGGCTCTACTTCAGGAATCACCTCTGGTTCCGGTTCAGGCTCTGAAATGACCTCTGGCTCTGAAACGATTTCTGGCTCTGCTTCTGGCTCCGGTTCTGGCTCTGAAATGACCTCTGGCTCTGAAACGATTTCTGGCTCTGAAACCACTTCAACCTCTGGCTCTGAAGTCACGTCAGATTCAGCCTCAGATTCAGCTGTGACCTCTGGCTCTGTTTCCTCTGGTTCAGATTCAGCCACTGCAGCCTCCTCCTCAACTACATCGCCAGCAACAGTAGCTTCCTCCTCCACAGCCTCGTTCAGAACAGTTTCCACGCTTTCCTCCTCTTCAGCTGCTGCCTCTGTGTCCTCCTGTATGTCTTCACCTTCTGGTCTCTCAACTGTCTCTTCAACTGTTTCCTCAGCAGCAGGTTCCTCCTCTTCTGCAACTTCTTCCTGAGGTTCAGTCACTTCCTCTTCCTCATGAGATAATTCCTCCACCGCTTCATCCTCTCCTTCCTCAGTTTTCTCCACCTCTTCCTCTTCAGATGACGCAACCTCCTCGGCTTCTTTCTCTTCCTCCACACTTTGATGCTGCAAAGGTTCTTCCTCAGCCTCTTCCTCGGAGATCACCTCTTCGTCTTCCTCTTCCTCTACTACCTCCTCCTGGGAGGCTGCCTCCTCCTGCTCTTCTTGTCCCTCACTTGCCACCTCCTTAGTGGGAGCTGCGTCCTCCTCCTGCTCTTCATGCTCTGAGGTGGAGGCTGGCTCTTCTTCTTCAGCATCAGTGCTTAAAGCTGATGTGGTTTTGCAGGGCTGACACATGGCCCTCTCTGGGGCCGGGGTGTCGTTGGAGGAGCTCTGGCTGGAGTGCTCTTCTGCTGTGTCACATCTGCAGGAGAACAGGTCTCCCTCTGGCTGCTGGAGCTGCAGACGCACAAGAGGCTCCTCATCGTGGATGGACGGCCCTGCCAGGAGATCTGTGAGCGCAAAAGAAGAAAGGCCATGTGACAGACTCCCTTGTGCCTCTTTTTGAACCAGTTCAGCTTGCATATGTTTTGACTGCCAGACGGTGTTTTAACAGTGTTTTACAGCAAGGCAAACCTTGATATAAAAATGTATAGAAATCCTTCCTGATCAGCAAAATCTATGCACAATGCCAGAGGCTGTTATATTCCAGTTATTAACTAACAAACTTTACTGAAAAGTCATGGGAGAGTTTTAATGTTAATGAGTAAAACAATGATGTGGTGAACTGCTAAACCTATGACAGTTATAGTGACTGAGATGTTTTCTTCAAAGCTATATGCATCCAGGCTGAAAAACATGAAACAAGGCAAATGCGATGGAATGTGTTCCTGACCAATCACACTGCACGCTGTAAACCAGCCCGACATCTGCAATAACCGGTCACCTTTGTCCGTTACGTCAGCGCTTGACCAGTGCTTATTCACTGTGCAAGAACAGAGCAGATCAGAAGCTCAGCACATCCATGAATTAGACTCAGATTTCAGCTCCTTGAATGGCGACACTAAGGCATGGACTATTTGCGGCAGACGTACAGTGGACAGTTGTGTGGTGGATCTAAAAGAAGACAGCTGAGTGGACAGGATGGCTTGGAATAGAATAATGTATTTACTGCCATTGCATAGATTTATTACTGTTGTCATGATTTGAGTTAATTAATTAGAAGGAATATTGTGTATAAACATCAGTAACCCCAAAATGGATGTAAAACGGTTAGATAAAAATAGAGCTTGACTAGTATAAACGTGTGAAACTAAAAGTCTAAAGCCCAAACTACAATAGTCCTACCAATACTTCTAATAAATAAAAAACATATGTATGTTACATGTCTTTTTAATATGTTACATAACAATAAAATTAGGACTTAATTACGACTGCCATTGGCACAGAACATTCACTTATGTTATTTAACTCAGCATATACTTAATGTCTGCGCTTCCTCCATAAATAACTCTGCGCATTTATTTTTGGCAAATTAGATAAGTTCGGTTATTTTGATTTAGACTTGTGTTTCCATTGACATAACTGTTCCTCAAGGACAAAATGAAAGATTTCATGTCATTAAAATACAGATGAAAACATTTACAAGCTGTTCGTGCACACACAGTTCACATCACATCGAGGTAAACAGACATCAGCCCTGCTCAGCATCACACAGCAGATTACAGTTACTATGGCTTCAAAACAACCACATCTAAAACAGGGGACTCCCTCTCTGTTATGCCACATGCATATGATACATGTACATTAGATACTCTTCACTACCACAGTGTACAAAGAGCACAAGGCCGTGACCTTTAATTATAACTACCGGTGTGGTCTTTAGACAGACGGGCGTACAATGGTGCACAGTGTGATACGAGGCAGCTAAATGTATGTCCACAGTTCACGTTACAAGATAGGGTCAGTGTGAGGGATGAAGACGACTAGCCGGAGGCATCCTGTTACGGGTTTTACTTGTTTGTAAGGCTTCTGGACCAGTGCCCGTCATGAGCAAACAGGCTAATGCTAAGTCACAAGCTAGCATGTGTTATGAGAGCTTTAAATACTCTTACACTGTTAAACCTGCAATGTCTGCAATGATTTTTTTTTTTAAACAAGTTGTTAACGCAACAGGGAGACATCATTTGCTTTTAATTTGACAGGATGAACTTGCTAGCAAGTGGTTGATTATTTAAACACCCACCAGTTACTGAGCAACATTATCATTCAGTTGGGTGTGTGTTTCCCGACACTTGGCAAATTTAAATCAAATGTTAATTTTGTTTTTAGCTCTGTTTTGGGTCTCTACCAACTCCTGAGGGAAAAGTCTGGCTCTTGCTACTAAATGCTCCACAAGTCGTTAACTGTGAGGCAGAAATTCTCATCACTACAAGCGACCCCTTTCACAGTATCACATTGTTTTGAAATTGTTATTTGATACGTTGTTATTATAAAACATATTGCATTAAGTATTCATTTTGTTATGCATTTTGTGAAATGTTGATGTAACATTTTTAGTGTTTGCCCCGACATCTGCCAGAGAGTAATTCCTTCTTTCCCAAAATGATGGTTGAAACCACCCGGAGTACGGCTGGATATTAACCAGTATTCACTGATTAAGCCAGCAACTTCATTATATTATTAACAATAGATGCAACAACCAAAAGCACTGAACCAGAAGTACAACCGACCAACCAGCCCACAGTCCTGACTCTTTAATGACCACTAACACTCTCACACTCACACACACACACACACACACACACACTCACACACACACACACACACACACACACTCACACACACACACACACACACACACACTCACACACACACACACACACACACACACTCACACACACACACACACACACACACACTCACACACACACACACACACACACACACACACGCGTGTATTCAATTACTTTGGCTGATTCTAGATAAAGCAACAATACTGTAAAAATGAGAGACATGGCACACATTCTTTAGGTACATTGGTGTCTGTGTCTGTTTACCTATGTTAATTAAGTTGTTTTGGATGAAATTCCTCTATCATGATAACCTGGGTCCTGACCTCAGAATCACACACCTTCGATTAGTTCAGCAAAGTGAAACTAAATGACAGTTCAGGCTAATCATCAGGCTTGTATAGTCACAGATAGAAAGCCTTCATCTTAGTGTTCGACTAAAACTTAAATTCCAATTCAGTCGATTGTCTCTGCTCTAATCACAAGCATGCATGACATGACAAAGCAATATGGCAATCAACTACTATATGTTTTAAATGTGTGTGTGAAAATACCAGTGTGAAGCCTTGAAGCTGGGCCCACAAAACCCAAATCAGCTGCTTCTGAGTCAAGATATATTTGTATTTTGGGATTGGATGGAAGGCTTAACACTCAATCAGCTGTCCTAAATGATGCTAGCAGGACTCCATGTACTCTCCTGTTCCGGCCCCATCCCCCGTGACGGTTTCTTTCCCCTATTTTAAGGCCCTGAATCACACATCAGACAATTTTGTTCTCATCATGTTGCTTGTCACTTCTAATATCTGGATGCTTTGTTAGCTTATCACCTTCTAAAGGGATTGTCAGCGTTAGTGACCAGAACATCAAGCTTATGTTCCCTGTGCATCTTTGTTCTGTGTGGACTATTTGAAAATCAGTTTTCTTCTATGTTCTATGTTTTGTGCACAAATATATTACAGTACAATACAGTCACAATCAGCTTGGCTCATTTCAAGTGTGACCAAAGGCTAAGCTAAGAATCTGACGATGGCAGGGCACTGTGTATTGTAATAAAAACCCAGTCCAACAACAACTGAAAGCAATGGGATTGCCAGTGTTTGGCTTGGCCGTCACTGATCACAATGGTAATGTATTCTAACTGGCTTAAGAGTTTTTGCCCCAAATCAAAAAAAATACACAGAGACAAACAGAGATAAAGAATGAAGTGCAGTACACACATCACCTGTGCATAAACTGAAAGAGGAATGGGCTACTGGTATTTATCAAGCTAGATTTGTCCTTCTGAGTGTGATTTTGACAGCTTCCGGGAGACTGTGTATGAGTGTATGCAAAGATGCTACTGCAGATGATTAAGAGAAAGTCACTATTAATCGTGTACTCCCCCGCTGTAACTGGCAGAGGTCGAGGTATGAGCCACGGCTGTCCAGCACTCTGGTTTTCACCATGGCCCAGGGCTCGTAAAACGTGTCTTGGCCATACTTAAGTGTACTGTAGGTGTCAGTAATTGAGTGAAACAAATGAGAGGGAGCTTAGTGAGGGGTAACCTGAGGACAGCGGTCGGATGCTGTTCTGATCGAGCCATGAGGGAGGTTTGGATATTGTCCAAAGACATAGCGCTACAGCATTGTTTGCATTGTAACATGAACAGCAGCAATGGCCAAGATCCTGACATGAGTTGGTGAAGATGAGCTGCCAAAGTTAAGTGTCACTACATGACACGATCAGTCCGCCAGTGACCATTTACCAGTTTATTTCAGTTTCGTCGGATGAGATAAATTATCCATACTCATGTCAGAAGCAGATATATGTACACCTTGACATCGTAATTTAGAGATGAGCCCTCTGTCTTGCTAACTGCTGAAAGAGCAGACAACATTGGGTAAAACTACTGCTATTCACACGAATCATGTAAACTCAAGGCCTTTGCAATCACACAAGCTAAATTTAGTTTACTGGCTTTTCCCCACACTGCATGCCTTGAGATAGTTATGAGGATAAAACAGAGAGATCATTTTCTGCTGTGCTAGTGGTGAGTAATGACCAAATTAAATTTAAGTTAACATAATTAGGAAGATGGAAAAATATGTGCCAGTGGGGGGAGGAAAATATGAAAGACAATACACGTGAAAATAATATTGTTGGATTTTTGAGACATATTCTGTCAAGATTAACATAATTAAGAGGGAATGGTCAGCAGACAAATGCTCAAAATAATAAGTTACTATATTATTTGGGAGAACCAAATAAGCTGTTTTCCAAGTCACAATATTGACATTGTAATTTTGGACTGTTGGTTGATCAGTCATCCACGTTGGTCAAGATTGAAATATCTCAACAACCATTGGATGGATTACAATAAGATTTGGTGCAACATTCACATCCAGCTCAGGATAAATTACAATCTCTTTATGGATCCTTTAACTTCTCATTTAGCTCAAAATTCCAATTTGTCCAATGTTTCTATGACTAAATACTGCAAAACTAAAGAAAGTGGCTTGTTAATAAGTAAATATTAGCATGCTAACATGCTAAACTAGGATGGTGAACATGCTAAACATTACACCTACTAAAGATCAGCATGTTAGCCTTATCGTTTCCAGCATATTAGCACGCTGCTGCAACCATTTAGCTCAAAGTTCTGCTGTGCCTAAGTCGAACCTCACAGCTTTAGAGCCCCTAGCATGGCTGTAGACTCTGCCGTGTTAGCTTACATGTAAGTGCAATGATGGTTACTACCTGCCTGTCATATATATTAACTCTCTTTTAGTTCTTTTTGTTGTCCACCATCTCCTGAAGGAAATATCTGGCTCTTCAGTTGCTGAATGCTGCCTGCTGTTACACAAGCTGCAGGGTTTGGTTATAATACTTTCTTACATCTTACATTCTTACAGATTAAATTTCTTCTGGCCTAAATAAAAGATTTTTGGAGGCAACAAAGGATAGCCAGTGAAGAGTGTGCAGTTAAAAAAAAATCAGCTTATTATGTTAGGAGTCATTAGCCCAGTGAGAAGATCTTTTGACTGTTTTTGCCACTATCAATGTATAGTACAATGTGTGTCTGAGGGTGTTCCTCTCCCCAGGACCCTGCTGTTGCTGCAGAGAAGCCACGGCAGAGCACAGTGTTCTGGGGACAGAGTGGGACAGGTGCCTGTGTGCTGGATGGTACATCTATGAGACTGAAATAGTCCCACAATGAGTCAGTGGGAGAAAAGAAGGAGGGATAATTCCACTCCTATTTTCAGGAATCATGACGCTCTTCTTCTCCCTGTGATTGTCATGAGGCTGGCCTGTAGCTCTGCTGCACTATTGCTCACATTCCTGCAACAGTGTGCAGCTGTACGTGACTCAGAATCTTTTCAAATATCAAGAACAGTAAATGCATTTGCACTGGCAGCGATGACATACAACCTGTTGACTGTGCAACTGGTGGATAATAGACTGAGACAATGATAACATACAAGCCCAATTCTCCTTTTTAGTCATCAGTTCCTAAAGTAATCAGGAACACAAGCAAACATGGAAGCAGCAGTGGTTTTGCATGTCTGGTTAATTGATGATCTAAATAATTGTGACTGATTAGACCTAAGTGGAGGGGGAGCTTTTGAATTTCTTACTCCACATAACCTGTTTGAGCTCTGCCTGTCACTGTTGTAATAAAGTTCCACCACTTACCTCTTTACCTCTCACTTTTAATAGTACTTGATCGTTAAGTTATGTAACTTTAAACAGCCCAACTGTTGGGCTACTGTACTCTGGTCCTACATGCCCTCTGCTGAGCTCTCTCATGCCTGTTTTAGTTGGGACATCCCCTGGACACGGAGCCTGCTGACTGGAATGACAGATTAGCAGCTCTGCAGACAGAGCAGAGAGGGAGTGATGAGGCTTTACTGAGGCATTAAATGCAGCTCCGCCTTTAGCTGTATATGTGGAGTCTGTTTGTACTTATGTACGTCTTAATGATGGACTTATAGCTTCAAACATGTGAGTGAATATTTGCGAATATGTACATGATCAACATGTGTGTGTCCAGGGAGAGATGTGTATCAGTGCATGGCATTGATGACCACAGTATCTGGTGACGAGTTTGTCTGGCTGATGCCTGACACCTGACTACGGCAACTTGTGGGGACCAAAATGAACCAGTGCAAGGACAGACAAGGGTATTCTCTGGCTCAGCTTTTAGCCAAGTATCAACATTTTCCTGAAACTTGTGGAATCAAGGAGCAGAGAAGCATTTGCGATGTATGAACCTTGAGTGAGTGTGGCATGGCTGTAATTTCTGATTTGCTCAGTTTAAAAATTCACTCATGCTTGACATGGAGTAAGAGGTTAGCCTGTAAAACATGAAGGGTCCGTGAAATGCCAAACTCCTCACTTAAGCACTGACTGGTGGAGAGGAGTTATATACGTGCATGAAACTGCTGTGAAAAGACCGTCAAACTGAAAGAGATCCAGTGGGAAAACCAATAATTTCAGCCAGCTTTTGCTTTGGCTGCAGCAGAGTGTGTGACTCTTTGTAGTGAGTCCAAGTCACTCTGTCAGTGCTGTCACTGTGTTTCTCTGCAGGGCAGAGAGAATAAGCAGCAGGCAGACAGGACAGTTTCCATCAGCTGGTGTCACACCTCAAGCCCTGACATTTCCACTTGCCCAACCACAAAACTCTGCACTTCACCCCATGGTAACACGCAGGACACTTCTATGGATACTGTGTCAAAAGTTTTAAAATGTTTCAACACAACTCTTGCCATATTAGGCTATGAAATACAGGAAAATATAATGCATATCTGAAAAACATCAACCTGAGAGTGTAGCTCTCACCTTGACCCCATTTGCTCACAGCCTAAAGCTGGTTGGAAGCAAAATGATTGAGCAATATCAATGCATTGCTAATTAATGAAACTCATTCATTTGCACACATTTAAATAACTCGACAAATATGAATCCCTTAGTAATGACCCGACAAATCGTTGCTCACAGTCACTCCAATTCTCAGCAAGACATGCAAAACTCTATGTTCAGAGACACAGACCTAATTCACATATCCAAAAGCAGTGGATCGGCATTTCAATTTCACACACACCTGTTTAAATAATTCTCTAAATGCATCTAACAGAGGTACAGATCTCAAGTATTTCACCCAAACCCCATCGCCCTCCACCATACCTGCAGCAGACAGGGCCAGCAGAGACAGCAAGCAGCACACAGACACCAGCGACTTCATTTTGACTGCCAGGGGCCTTCTCCTCATCCCCCCCTGCTATATATACTGCTCTGGCTGAAGGTCAGAGGGCATGCCAGTGGAGGTGGGGCGCAGCAACTGCACCCATACCAGCCAGTGTGTTTGAGCAGCTGCCTGGCCCAATCAGGAAGGTTGAGAGTAGAAAGAAACAGGAGGAGATTGGCTGGTTGTGTTGTAGTCTTATAGTTTAAACACCAATTGTAAATAATAATCATTTAAGAAGAGTATACAAAGGCTATAGATTTTGGTGAGCTTACAAGTGCAACTTTTACCTTCGAGTTAACCAGTACCATTCATTACTACCTTCATTCACATCAAATTCAAATATTGCTGCATAATATACACATTTCTCACAGCTGAGGATCTGTAGTTACTGTACTCCTATTAAAAAGATTGAAATGAGGCCTGTACGCCACCTGTGTTTATGTAATCTCTGCTGCTGCTGAATTAGGAGCTGCTTGATATCTCCACCTGGTGGAAAGAAAGGGTCACAAGTATGACTCAAGTATACCAGCAAACCAAAGAATTGTAATAAAAAAAGTACAAATTTTATTTTTTTTTTCATCTTTACAAAGGCCTGTTTACCCAAGTTTTTTATAAACAAAATATAACAGCTTCTCATCGACCTGGACTGATGGAAAAGAAAAAAACTAAACAAAAAAAACAAAAAACAAAAAAAAAAAACAAAGACAAAATTCACACAAAAATATAAAAAATGCTTGTCACCAAAAAAAATGGAAAACCGGGACAAGAGAGACAAATGAAAAGACAAAAAAGCAGAACACAATAAACAGATGTTAAATTGCGTCACAGCAAAGAGCTTACAAAAAATAAATGGAAAAAAAAAAAATCTTCCTCATCACTGATTCAGGCAGTACAGAACAGCAAGTGCTTCATATCAAATATCTCAAAATTCCACCAAAAGACAGCAGTGCTGCAACACAATGTACAGAAACATTTGAGGGCAAAATGTTTTTCTGACCAATAACAAACCTCACCTAAACTCAGGCCTTGGCTAAACATCTGCCAGAAGAACACCAAACCCTTTAACAAAGCGTCACTAAAAAAAAAACAATACGAGTACTCTCCCCTCCCTCGTTTGGCATGAAAAACACTAATCTAACCAGATATAAAACTGATGTCAGTGAGTGAATAGTGTCCACACGTCGCACACAAGACAGTTTCACACTGAACACATCAGTCATGTGATCATGAAAAAAAAAAAAAAAAAAAAAAAACCAAAATCCCTTAAAAAAATAAACAAAATGTCAAAACAAAAGCCCGCTTCAGATGAGAGGAAACAGCAATTAGTAACATGCATTCAATTGGCAAAAGAACATGTAAGAGATCAAAAGACAGATACAAATCCAAATAAAAGGAATGTTTACAGCGTCAAGTCAGCGAATCAAATCGAGTATGACAGGAGAGAGGCTCCAAGCAGGGATTTCCAGTCAAATTCCCGAGAGAAGTACAAGCAACATAACATGAGGTGGACAGATTTGGTGCATTTTATAGACAGAGATTGTGTTGGGAAAATCTGCAATTCATTTCAGTCTTTTTCATTTAAATTTCATTCTGACTGGACAATGATTTAGCACGTTTTGTGGCATTTGATGCACTGAAAACATACATCGATCTTTCACTGCATGCTTAGTTTTTTCAACTACAGCTGCCCAACACTCTTTTTACAGTTTTCTTTTAAACAATGATGCTTTCTGGGGATGGAGTTCAGTGAGATGTGATCCTACTTGGTTCTGAAAGTTACTTTTTGAACAACGAGACAACACAACCTGTGTGTCTCTTCCCTGCGCCCCTGCTCTCTTGAGCAATTCCAAAATGTGGAAGTGACATATGTTATTTCCAAAAAAAACAAAAACAAAAAAAAGCGTGATCAAGTGTGAAGTTACATGAAGGGTTTTGGCCTCAGCTCACTGCTCGTCAGCAGAGCACCAGGTTGACAAAGAGCACCTTGCGAGTAGAGACTACTACATTCTTTGATACAAGCATGTCAAGTTACATACATATACTGTAGGTGTAATGTACACACCTACCAACGGTGCATAGATAACTTCACCTCATGTATAAATGACGCCAACAAATGTACTGAAGATGGGATTGCATAAATAGCAAAAACTCTAGTGCATAGTCACTGAAATCAACAAACCAAGACCAGAAGATAGACTGAAGTCTTTGGAGGGACACCGGAAGCCTTCACGCTTTGTTAGCCGGTGAATCATCGAAATTTTCACATCAGCAAAACTTTCCATATTTTACGTCTGATGCAGTGAAATTGTTGGAGACTGACTGAAAATTAACTCCAGTCGGTCACAAAATGCCAGCAGATGTTTCCAAGCAACGAACCAACATTTGGTTCTTTTTTTTTTTTTTTTTTTAAAGTTAGGGGTGCAATAACCACTATCAGCTGAACTGAAACCGACTTTTATGAATTCATCTGAAGGCCTCCGGCTCCCTGTGAAAACCTGACCAACCTCCAATTTTAAGTTGTTAATCTCAATATAACAAAATGTTCACCTTCAACATTCAGTAACCCTGACAGAAAAAGAAAATGTTAACAAAAACATGAACGACATTAAAAGCAAAAGATGATCAATGTAAATTGTTCAACAGCTTATTTTTTTTTTTAAGGGCTTATTTAGATATCAATAACACATCCTTTTGTTTCAAGTAAATCAGACAAAATTTCTTTCCACATGTGTCCTCAAAATTAACTTTGCAATTAAGTGAGTATTTGTCCCAAACTTTTAAATTTAGAAATGCCCTCAGTTGTAGTTTAAGTCGGGTTTCATGGCCACTGGCACTCGAGTAAAGGAACCAGGAAAAAAAAAGAAGGAAAAAACAAAATTAAGACTGGGGAAGAAATAACTGCAACTCCATGTCCCTTTTCAGAATCAAGAGCTGCGTGCTTATTGTGTTGTTACATTCAACTTTCCGTTATGCTAAATCCATCAATTTCTAGCACAAATAATACTGTCAGCGTGCCAGTGACGACGGGTAACTGATACCATGACTGTATGTAGCACACATAAACACACATGAAGGACGGATGGATGCTGATAGCTTTTTACACAAGGAGACCCCTAAGTTTTCAAGCAGCGACACACCGGCTCAGACATTGAAAAAACAGCGTCTAGAAATCCTCACAGGGCCTCCTCTGCACGCTGACCATCCTATGTTTTCAATCTTCAGAGATTTTACAGTACAAGACTGACACCGAGCTTAACCACTGGATTTAGGAGTTTGGATAATGCCAAAGACAGATTTTTTTTTTAAAAGTAGTCTAGCTCCTGGAGGGAATCTTACAGTGAGTAGGTATTTTAAGTGTTTGTGTGTATGTGTGTGTGCGTGTATATGTTCGTTCGTGGAGTGGATCATTTCATTGAGCAGTCCTCTCCCTCTGTGTCAGTGTCTGTGTCCGAGCAGGCGGTGTCCATGGCGACGTGGGCGGGGCTGACGATGACAGCTCGTCTCTGCTCCTCCTCGGCGCTGGCTCTCCTCTCCTGAGTGCGTTCGATGTGCTGGATGGCCTGAGAGGAGAGGATGAGAAACATTGAAGGCTGCGGCAAAGTTTCAGACCACTGAGAGACAATTATTAGGTGAAAACGAACATTAACTTCTTCTACTTAAAAAAGGACAACAGACAGCACATACCTGCACAATGGTGTCCAGGTTCTGTCTGGATGTGGACACAGTGCTGGTGTGGACAGATGGGCTCATGGTCACCACAGTGACGTGATGGTGGGCGTGCTGGGTTAGTGTCGGAGCTGGGACGATGACCGTGGGGTGATGGGTTGGGGCAGGGGGAGTGGGAGGAGCCAGCACCTGGAGGACAGACAGAAAAGGAATAAAATAAAAATGTTTCTCATGACAGGAGATCATCTAGATTTACATATGACAGACATATAACTGCTGAGCTCAATGTACGTCATTAACCTGATCACCTCACCACAGAAGCCGTCTGAGCAAACTGCAGCCTGTTGAGGAGGCTCGGGAAGTGCAGCAGAGATGCCCACCATCTTTTCTGTGTACAAGTGTGTGTGTGCATGTGTGTATTTGTGCTTCTAACCTGTGGACTGTGTGTTTGTCTGTCGGCGGCGTGGATCTGCTGCAGCCGTAACAGCGTCTGGCTCTGGATGAGTGCCTGCTCCTCCTCCACCTGCTGGGTGATCACCTTCAGACGCTCTGGGTGCAGCTGCGTGTCCAGAGAGCGCACCTGCACACAAAAACGCAGAATACAGAGGTAAGTCTTTACTACGTCAGGCACTGCTTCAGCGCCAATGTAATACCAACTACATTACTGAGCAAACATGGAAAAAAGTTACATCACACGTCACAACAATCACTACAACCATTGGTTGTTACACATTAACATCAGTTTACTCGTCACGAGGAGTGCTATTCAGCGTGATGTAACAGCTGTAAAATATCTTCCGTGGCTCTGAATAGAGCTTTGTGAGGTTTGAAAGAATAATCCTGGCGTCAACAAGGTTATCTAGGGTTGAGCTCAAGACTTCAACCTGTTATGAGAAAGCGTTACAATGTTGGTACATGGAATTTACCCAGGAAGTAAGGCTCTAGCAAAATGTAACATCCAGTGTTTTTGAAGCTTGACCAATACAAAGAACTAAAAGTCAGGATACCTCTGCCGCTTCTTTTCTTTTGGGTTGTCGTTTCTTGTGAACGACCCAATTTAAAAAAGAAATCGCAAAGCTCAAACTCTGGAAATCCCCTTTAATTTATGTTAACAAGAGGTTTTTGTTAACGTTGCATAATTTGTTTCCTATTTAATTTGAGGAAAGATTTGCAGTATTTTGTTCCATTAAAAGAAAAAACTTGCCCAGCTCATTTGACACTCATCATACCTCACCACTGCATTGTTCCTCCTGTTTACTTTCCTTGTTCACTTCCTGTTTAAGTTTGTTTGTCTTTACCAACTGTTCAGTTGCCTCTGTTGTAACCTGCTGTTCAGGGAAATCTAGTAAGTGAGATTGCGAGGAACTGGCTGGTGTCACCGCCACCGGCTCCCACCTTGTTAAAGTGGACTGGTGACCATGTGGAGGTTCTGCAGTTTTGAAGCTGAAATGGCTGGTAAACCTGACAAACTGGTTTGTTTATTTGAGCATCTAATATCCACTGTGACCTCTAGACAGGATCATTGTGTAACCTGGAAATGTGGAGTTTAATTTATCTCTGATACCTCCTCCTTTTTATATTCAGCTGTTATGTTTTATCTGTCTGAACTGAAGCTTGAGCTATAATCTGTTTGGACATTCAAACATTAAGTTTGCAAAATAAGCAGTAGTTATGAAGAGAATGAATTATGGCCATCTTACATCATTATGTTCATCTGTGTGATCATCAGTTTCAGTCCTCCGCAACTGAAATTAATGTTAAGATCTTTTGAGATCACAGTAAAGAAGAGAGAACAGGTGACAAATCATGAACAACCTCTACAACTCCGGCTCTGCTTTTTGTCTCACCTGCTCCTCCAGCTGCATACGAGCCGAGCGCTCTTTGTCCAGTTGCTGTCGCAGCTCTAACATCTCTCTCCTCAGCTCCTCGACCTTCTCCTCCTCCAGTGTGTCTGGAGACCCGATCCCTTCATCTTTCTCCTCTGCTCGCCTCCTCTTCGGTGATGAACCACTGAACTCCTGGAGTGACACAGAGGCCAAGTAAAGTTAACTGTGAATCAGTTGATGTGCACTGTGCCTATGTAAACTTAGTACCACTGCCATCAGAGTAGGAGTTTCTTCTCCATTCAAAAACAACACATGCTGCTTGTACAGAGTTGGACAAACGGCCAGTGTAGCAAGAAAATATAACACCAGGTGAACCAACAGCAGGATAAACAAAGGAGACTGGTAAACAAACATTTTTCACATGGCGTGGCACGACTGAATACAGATTAAAAAGGCACTGCACTGTCACTGCCAACACTTGCAAGCTGTCCAAATATGAAAGTAGTGTTAGGCTGCAGGCGGTTGCAGTATAACTGAATATGTTCAATACCTGACATTTGTCTGTTTCTAGTTGCTTAAAAGAACTCAACCTCAGTAAGAAGTGTTATCACAGCATAACACACTACATAGTGCTGTTTGGTCATTGGCTGATAGCGATTCAGCATCAAACCTCCTACCTGCCTCTACACTCAAGTCCCACCATGCCACACACCGGCATGGTCAAGTGAGGCATGGCCTACCGAAGAATGACATTTTCCTGAGGCGTACTTGAACCAGACAGGGAAATGTTTTCCCATTAGAACAAGACTGTTCACTCTACCTACATGTTTTTTTTTTTTTTCAGGAATCTCACAAATTGCCTGTGTGATCCATCACAATAAACACAAGTCATTGTTGGGTGGTAATGCATTAGAAAGAACAGTTTTATTTGAAAAGGCTATCATGCATTAACAAACGGCAATAGTGCAACTGAAGACAACACAAGATTAAGTGTGATGAAGTTTCAAGTCTCTGTAGACTAATGCACGTAAACAAGAGTAAGCCTGTGGTGGCCTGAAAGAGACGAAACTATACAGTTTGACATAGTAATGTATGGTGTATGCGATCTGTATAAAATGGACTAAAGCAACCCTTGTTGTTGTTTAAGCACCCTAGTTTTATCCACATGGAGACACAAATATGGTGGAAAACAATGGCACAGGCTGTTACCTGGATGAAGCGTTTGAGCTGATTGTTTTGTGCCAGGAGCTGTGTCTTTTCCTGCTCCAAGGTGAAGATGTAGTCTGCTGTTTGCTGCAAGATGGCCGCCTGACAGAGGTGAAACCAAAAGGTGAATACAACAACAGTATGCAGACATTTAACTTTACAAAACTGTAGGAAATTGAAATTAAGACCAGTGAGTCAAAATTACATTTTTTGTCATTTATCATTTCTGCTCAATCATTTCATTCTTCTTCATCATCATCACATGTGATGACCTACACCATCACAAGGGAGATCTTTGCTAAGTGTCAGTGTTTGCAATGCTCGCTGCACCTTGCTGAGTTTCTCTCCGTCTGTGTGGGGCAGGAGTGTTTTGAGGGACTGGAAGCCTGCATTGATGCTCTGCATGCGCCGGCGTTCATTGCTGTTGGCGATCTCACGGCGGATTCGTCTCTCCTGGTCCTGGGCCGTCTCTGGACTGAGGGGGATGTTGGCCAGGCTGAGGGAGAAAGACGATTGTTATTCTGTCCATGAAAGCTTTGTGTCCAATACGGCAGCACAAGCTCATTCCTGATGAAACATTTGTTCCCTGTTTCTTAATCTTGTTTTATGTAAAATGTGGAAATGTATTTTTACAAATTATTTTAGCAAGTAATAAACATCGCAGGCAATGCTGGTAAAACAATTATTTTCAGAATCAATTAGTCTGCTTGGTATTTTCTTGATTAATCGTTTGGCAAAAAAACAATGGTGTGTAAAGAATCACCACTGAAAAAAATCATGACATGATCAAATGTCTCATTTTGCGTGACCAACAGTCCAAAACCCCAAAACCTGAAACCATCAAATATTGACTTTTTTTCTTGGAAACACACTAAACAATTCATTAATTTTAAAAAATAGTTGGTGATTGATTTTCTTTCAATTTGCCAATTGATTAAATTGACTAATCATTGCACCTCTACAGCTAACAACACACAGCTCTGAGAGAAATCCACAGTTCTGGGCTAAATAAACTAAACTGACGCAAAGCAACAACAGAGTCCACAATCAGCTGCAATCTCTGACACTTTAAACCTTTAACCTGGAACTTCACCATGCGTTAGTCCTGACCTCTCTACATTCATCAGTCTAGCTGCCTGGAGGTCTTTGAGTGTGACTGAACCCAGTGCCCCCTCACACACCTCCACCCCATGAGGTTGGATGTTGTGGTGGCAAATCTCTGTCATGTTTACTCAGGGGGAGAAATAGGTGAACCATTAAGGTAAAAGATGGACATGACGCCAAGAAGACAACAAACCTGAAGTACTAGATCGGAGTGTTTACAAAAATGAGAGAGGTCTGACAAAGGACACAGCTCACATGGCTCTGAACATCTCTTTTCTATAAAAGATGAGTGTGTGGGCTGTGCAGCCATCCTCTAACGTTCAGAGCTAAAATTAAATGGTCTGATCTGATTTGTAACTGTGTGTTTACAAGCGAGTGATATCGGCTTAACTAAAAGCTATGAAAGGCAGCCTAAACACACTTCAAAAGGAGCCTAAAAACACACCCACACTGCCTTTAAAATAAGCTCTAGGTCCTTGAATTGCTTAATTTTGTGTCTTGATTTTTTAATCTTACTTTGAAAGCTGTGGGAACAGCTCTCTTAAATATATCTTAATCTATTGATCTACTGGTTAAACCCCTGATCATCATCAATGTACTGACACACTCAGGAGCATAAACGACATTTAGGGCTTAATTTAGTCTATTAGGGTTCAACTGTTCCACCCTCAAAAGTTATTTACTGACCACATGCTCACTTAATGAGATGTTAAAGTTGACTTTGAGGAATATAATGAGGGGGTTTTATCCCCCAGTGCTGTGTAATGTACAAACCATTTGTTACAAATGTAGTGAAATACAAAATAATCAATTTAGGTTTGGTAAATATGAAATATCTTCTTTTGTCCATCATCAAAAAAGAACTCTAGGAATGATTAAAATATTAACGCGGATCCATCAGATATTCGACCAGAGACAGCAAAGAAAAGCATCCACATCTATTCCACACAGGTGAAGCGTGTCGGGGTTTTTTAAGTTGAGGGATGAAATCAGCTGTTGTCAGCTGTAGCTGCCAGGAGCTGCGGACCTCCAACATGGCCGGCGGAGGGCGCGTCTGGACGGCAGCAGCAGCGAAATGTGACTCCGCTACAGCAGCAGGCCCCCTGGCATCATGGAGAACAATGCTTTCCACCTCTTGCGCCGAGCTAGCACTGAGTTATTAACCCGCTACTAACAGATACTCTCTCTGTGTCCGCCGTCACATCTACAAGACGATGTGTTACAGTTAAACAAGTTAGTATATACCAGTAAAAAATAAGTGAGGGCACATACAGTGCGGTTTGAAAACGACTGCGCAGTGATAGCTAACTAGTTAGCCAAGCTAAGCTAATTTTAGCACACGACACAACCATGGCTGCTTCGCGGAGCATTACTTAACCACACATATACCGCAGCCGAAACTCCAATTTCCCACCTTCTTGTTTAATACATCTTGGATATATTGTCCACATAAGTAATTCGGCGAAAATAGAAAGTGGTGTAAAAAAAGTATGTCGTTACAAACATGTGATTCTGTGTAAAGCAGCGAGGCGGCGGGCAACACGTTAACCACCACGTGGTTGTTGTTCAACTAGACACAAATGTATCGATTTCATCCTCACAATTTACATGTTTCTGAGCCGAATGGCCGCAAAGGTGCTTTGTGGGTCACTACATGTCATTCGGCCAGCAAATGTAACAACGCGGATGAAACGATCGTCTATATCCTCGCCGTCAACAGCAGCAGCAGCTGGCACAACAAGCTGCTAATTTCCACAACCACGCTCGTGCTGCCAAGGTATCGCGGCGAAGCTAAAGGCTAGCGTGCTAACTGAAGTCGGACCGCATCTCTCACACACACATACACACGCGCTACAGTCACATGAAAGATGATTTATGCAAGCAGTTTGATATCAACACAAATAGCTAGCCACACACCTGCAGAGACCTCCTATGACATCCTTCTCCGTCTTCTTGAACTGCTGTAAGGACGGTATCTTCTCTGTCGGCATCATGAAATATTCCATGCTTTCAAAGCCACCTTCTCTAGTCCGTGTTTTCTGTTTTTTCTCCCTCCACTGCTCCCCTTGTTAAAATATAAAGATGTTCGTTTTTACCGCAGAGCTCTCGCTGTACTCCTCAATGGCGCATATCTAAAACACTACCTCAAAATCTGTGAATCTGAGGAGCAAAGAGTTAGAAAAATAAAAGTAAGTTATAGCTGTGTTGCTTCACACAGCTGATGGGGTTCCCTCCAATGTGTGTGTGTGTGTGTGTGTGGCCTCTTGCCTCCGCCTACTACGTGTGTGTGTGTGTGTGTGTGTGTGTGTGTCTGCTGCCTCCGCCTACTACTCTATGTGTGTGTGCGTGTGCGTGCGTGTGTGTGTGTGTGTGTGTGTGTGTGTGTGTGTGTGTGTGTGTGTGTGTGTGTGTGTGTGTGTGTGTGTGTGTGCAGCTGGTCTGTGTGAGGCGGGAAACAGCTGGTTGGAATCAGAGACCGTTTTCCGGAAAGCAGAACAAACAAACCAGTAAGAGTCAGTGTGTAACTGGAACAAATCAAATCCTCACAGAACACATGTCGGCAAACAGTGAACAGAAATACTTATGACTATATAATAATATAACTTATCAGAAGAAGAAATGTTAATGTTAGAGCTAACATTAGCAGATAAGATAACTATAATTTACTATAGTTAGTCGTTTGATCAGTCTATACGTATCATCTTTCTGCTCTCAAGGCTACTTTACCAGCTGTCAAAGTGGGAAGCTGGGTGATTTCAGGTTCATCATACCACTATAGTTATTATATTCAATTAATTAATTAGCTTGTTAATATGCTATGAAACACTACATCCGTGGATTCATTATGAGTCAATGGGCACCTATGACATGTAATAGACCCCCACCCCTTTTGCATAGGACACCCAGACTGAAAGAGATGCAAAATAACCAAAAATGACGTATTTACATTTTGTGTCTCTTTGTGGTTGTTTTGTATTTCTTTTAGTGACATTTTGCAAGTAAAGGAGAGGGGCCCCTAAACGCCTGGGCCATTTGAAATGATCCCTTCTGTGATATATGTATATTTTATTGAATGTAAAACTAACTATATGTCAAACAAAAGAATCAAAACAAAAACAACTTATTTCTGTAAGGATATAAATATATGTTATAATATATTACATACTAAGTACAAACAGTTGTGTTAATTTACTTACACAATTACATTCTGTTGGTTATGTGAAGAGTGAACCCAACCCTAACTCTTGAATAGTAATTTTGTTTTCAGACACAATCCTCTGTATATTACTATTTAAATGCATCAGTAATCACTTTTGACCAGGTGCAGACTGCAAAGTTTTGAGAAGCTATACACTTTATCTGTCAAGAATAAATCAAATTGTCACAATCATCTCATGGAAAGAGGTAAAAAATCTTTTATTCCAACTTTATGAGCAACAGTATATATATACAGTATATATATATATATATGTGTATGTGTGTGTGTGTGTGTGTGTGTGTGTGTATGAATATAAATAATGCATATTTAATCATTAAATGTGAGCTCAGTGAAATATGAAAATAATCAATAGATTAATAGATAATCAAAATACTCTTTAGTTGCATCTCATTTTTTTGCCTTGATCACAAAATAAATTATTTGCAAAAAGTATGAAATACTCCAGGTTGGATAACAGTCAGCTTTCCAGGAAGACGATATAAAAGGCAATGTACAGTTTATGTAACATCCAGCACAAACAGCAGGTGGCAGTGATGTACCATTATGTGAATTTCCAACTGCCATTAAGTAGAAAGGCAGGATGCATGCATTTACATGGACAAATATTACTGTCAAGATGGTAAAGAGCTGTAAAAATAATCTGGAACTGTAGGAGTGAAGTTGTTGTGCAAAGATAACATAATATCATATCATAATAGCCTGCGGATTAAATTAAATGGTATGTTTTGGATATAATGGAAATTATGAAGAGACATCATCAATAATTTATAGTTGTTAACCATGAATTGACAAAACATAATTTGCAAATCCTGTTCAAACCTGTTTTTATGAATGAAGAGACTCAACCAGTTAACTCAAATTTATTTTTACTGTTTTCCAATTAATAATTACCACCACCTTGTAAGTAAACATAAATTGTCCCATACTCTCCCAACTTATTGCCACATTCACTAAAGCTTTGATTTGTTTGGTGTCCACTTAGTAATTTTGCCATAAACCCACTTCTACAGAGACTGTGGTTTAGAACTTAGAAAAAAGTTGGAGCTGTCACGTAGCAAAAAGTGAAACACACAGAATGAATGGAAATGAGTGACACTCAATGATCTTTTCAAATCAGAATTACTGCCAGTCAAGTAGCAGTTTACATCCACATCTGTCTAGACTCATATAATATAGGTAGTGAAGACTTTGATGGAATTGTATAAAATGTATTAAGTGTAGTTTATGACAAATGGGAGGTTAGCAATATATTGACATTTATGCTTTCAGTGAATAATTTCCTGTGAGAAACATGCTGTCTTCACTCAGAGAGAAGTACAAATTTATAAATACGTATATATATATGTATATATATATATATATGTATATACTGTATGTATATATACATGAGGTAGTTACTGTGTTACTGTGTTACTGAAGGAAGAGTGTGCATGTGAAACTCCAGATGAAACCTCTAAAGTTATTTTAGAGGTGGTTATTTACGGTATTGAACTTAGACGAGCTAATGTGGTTTTGATCATGCAGTGTGTTTTAACCCTTCTACTACAGACAACTTCCTGAAAAATGAGGAAGAACATAAAGATTTAGGTCCCAGACTATACCATTTAAGCACAATTCACCAACAACTTGATCACTCACCAGTGGGTGAAATATGGAGATGGTCACCTATGATGACGAATCTGAGATGTCTATGGTATATGAAAACTTCCACGATGCCACAGTCAGGAATGATGCATTAAAGAGCCGCTCTGGAGAAGACAGTAACGTTCCAGCTGCACCTGGTGAGGCAGAAATGTTTTGAGGTTGACTTACATAACTGCAACACATGCAACAATTTTCATAATGATCTTATCTTGTGTATTAAATACTAAATTTGAATTTTAGAAATTAATTCTGAAAAGGAAAAATCATCATCTCAGTACTAAATGCAGATATTTTTTAAATGTTATTTTAGTCACAACTTTTTGATTTTACATATGTTTCATTTTATTTTCATATAGCTGTTATGGTCATAATTTGCCAATTTACTGTATTTGCAACTGTATGTGTAAATGTTGCCATAATTTCACATTCTAATACATGCTATATTCATCGGATGTGAACTAATATGATTATGTGAGGAACATTAGTGAATCAGTCTGCAGTTGGAGTAAGGTTAAGGTTAGGGGTAGCCTATGTCTCCAGGGAATTCATGTAAATCAATGTAACTTAAAAAGTTTGATCAAATTTGTGTGTGTGTGTGTGTGTGTGTGTGTGTCCACAGGAATAAAACTGTACAGACTGGTTGCTGTGAGCTTCGGACTCCTGTGTATCCTGCAAGCGACTCTCAACATTTCCCTCCGTCTTGCTCTCTGTGAGTCTTCCTAACATGCATCTTTGTTTCTAATTTGACATCTCACCTCTGAAACACCAGAAAAGTGTAGTGGGTTACCGCCACACTTTCAGTGATTACACATACAGGCTATGACAATTGCTTGACAACTTGGTTGTATAAACAGTGCAGGAGTGTATAGTTGTCTGGTCTGAAATAAACATATGGAGATAAATGATCTTGAATTGAAGACACATATTTCTTTTACTAACTACACTGTGTATTAAATAAGGACTTCTTTATTAAGCCTAAATGACCAAAATATTAATAGACTGTCATAATGGGAAGAATAATTAACAGTTCAACTATACAGAATTACTGTCTTTAGCACACAGTAATATACACACTCCTCTGGCATACAGCAGTATAGACCATGTTTGGTTCCTCTGCTGTCAGCCAAGAACAGAAATCTGAATCTACAGTGGCACAGGCTCAGCAAAACTGAGAAAACGCAGCCCGGTCTGATGTATCTGGATTTCTGCTGAGGCAGCAGATGGTCGGGTCAGAATTTGGCATCAACAGCATGAATCCATGGACCCACCCTGCCTTGTGTCAACAGTCTAGGATGGTGGTGGTGGTAGTGTAATGGTGTGGGGAATGTTTTCTTGGCAGACTTTGGGCCCCTTAATATCAATCAATCATCGTTTGAATGATTGTTGGTTTATGGCCACAATTTACCATTTTCTAATGGCTACTTCCAGCATGATAATGCACCAAGTCACAAAGCAAATGTCTCAAACTGGTTTCATGAAAAAGACAATGAGTTGTTCTTCAGTGGCAGTTATGATTACTACAAAATGTATTGGGCTTATTGTATAAATGTAATTTCTCGAAGAATGACGGATGATTAATACAGTTTTCAGCCAGTAAACATACAGCCCAACATGCACGAAGTCACAGGATACTACATGACATACACTCACTGGGCACTTTATTAGGAACTCCTGTGCACCTTCTTATTAATGCAGTTATTCAATCAGACAATCATGTGAAGATTCATGTCCACATGGACATGAATCTCAAGGGCCAAATATGTGAAGTAACAACATTTCCTCATTATATTAAGAGAAGCTGTTGTATCGTTTATGATACACTGTTGCTCATAAAGTTGGAATAAAATATCTTTTTCCTTTTTCCATGAAATGATTGTGACAATGTGATTTATTTAATTTCACCTGGGTAATTGGGACACATAATGTAATCATTGCACCTGGTCAAAAGTGATTACTGATGCATTTAAATAGGAATAAACAGAGGATTGTGTCTGAAAACAAAATTATTCCAACTTTATGGGCGACAGTGTATATACAATTGTGTTTCATACAAATTTGTTTCTTATTTATTTGTTGTATAAATGTAATTTCAGAGTTGTATATATAAAGCTAAAGATAGAGTTTTAGATCAACTAGAGGAAACCAACAATGCACCTGATAGACTGATGTAAAACACCATGAAATTCTGGTTCAGATACTGAAGCCACATGTAAAAACCTGACTGAAGAGAGAGATGATCTGGAGAGGAAGCTGAAAACCTCTGGTGAGTATGATGATCAAACTACATCAGTAAGAATAGTTTGGATTTCACAGCATGAAAGTCAGTGTTACAGCACAGAGTACATTTAGTCACAGATTATGAGGTGGCATCTGGTCTTGGTTTGTAGCTGTATCAGAGAACAGTGTGTTGAAATTACACCATTTATGATTGATAGATTATTGCATTAGCCTTTACAAAATCTGTGTTAATGTGGATTGTTTGAATTAATCTCTACAACTTTGGTTGGATTAATGTAAAACACCATGAAATTCTGGTTCAGATACTGAAGCCAGATGTAAAAACCTGACTGAAGAGAGAGATGATCTGGAGAGGAAGCTGAAAACCTCTGGTGAGTATGATGATCAAACTACATCAGTAAGAAGAGTTTGGATTTCACAGCGTGAAAGTCATAAGTGTTATGTTACTTAGAAAGTTCCCAGTTAAATATTCTAGTTAATTTAGTTAGTTTCTCTCCACATCAATAACATAAAGTGACACAGTTTTAAAGTGAAGTGAGTGTTTGGCTGTGAACATAACTGACTGAGTGAGAAAATAATGGTCACCTCTCCACTTAAAATGACAGTTTCACAGCGCGATTCCCTGACTGAAGAGAGAGATGAGTTGAAGAGGATCAACTCTGGTAATGAAGATTAAACTGCTCCAACACTCATGGCTTTGGATCCAAAAGGCTTCAAGTACAATTCTGGGCACATTTGTGTTACAAGTGTTACATATGATGATAGCTCCAGTCACTAACAAAACAACTCATTCAATAATCCACTGTTGTAAAGTTTAAAAAGGAGACACAATTAAAGTGGTTTTGATTTTGAACATTCATATTACACTCATGCCCTGAAACACATCATTTATCTAAATGAACAACATTCCCTCATGATGTTAACAGAAAACATTGTGTGGTTTATAATATGTGCAATTATGTTTCCTACTAAACATTTTTTATTGTATAAATGTAATTTCTAGAAGACTTGAGAGTTGCATATATAAAGCTAAAGATAGAGTTTTAGATCAACTAGAGGAAACCAACAATGCACCTGATAGACTGATGTAAAACACCATGAAATTCTGGTTCAGATACTGAAGCCAGATGTAAAACCCTGACTGAAGAGAGAGATGATCTGGAGAGGAAGCTGAAAACCTTTGGTGAGTATGATGATCAAACTACATCAGTAAGAAGAGTTTGGATTTCACAGCGTGAAAGTCATAAGTGTTATGTTACTTAGAAAGTTCCCAGTTAAATATTCTAGTTGATAGTTTCTCTCCAAACAAGTAACTAAGAGGAATGAAGATAATGTGATGTGATGGTGAAAAGACAGGAGTAGTTTGTCTTCACAGAACTAAATAAACTACTAATGATAAAAGAAATAAATACATGTAATATGGAAATTAAGTTTTAAAGTGAAGTGTGCGTTTGGTTGTGAACATAACTGACTGAGTGAGAAAATAATGGTCACCTCTCCACTTAAAATGACAGTTTCGTTAGTTTCATCAATTAGTTATATCAATAATTAATGATCCAAAGATGTATGAGTGGGACATTGGGAGAATATGTGTGTGTTACTTACAGTCAGCTCCTGTCAGTGCCAATATTCTCCATATATAATAGTATAAGATTATGAATAGTGAACACTTAGTCTGCCTGTGCCTATGAAACACAGTGTTTGTAGTTACTCTGTAGCATCAGGCATCTGCTCAGTTTGATGTTTAGTGGAGATATGCTGAGGTCACCGTGGTGTCACAGGTTCTTGTTGATACAATAAAGACTAGTTTGGATTAAGGTTCATTGTTCACTAAAAGAACAAAGGCAGTTCAATTAAGAGCACAGGACATCATAACAGTTCAACCATACAGCAGCAGTAGCTGTTACTTTTTCCCCTTTTATAACAAACAAATAACAAATCTCCCTTTCATCCCAATGAGAAATGATTTGTTAATTCCTGTTGTTAATGAGATGCTTCTGTTTGTCTTTATGCTCAAAAAGGATGGGTGTATTTCAGCGATAGAGTCTATTACATTTCTTCTACCAAGAAAACCTGGCAAGACAGTAGAAATGACTGTCTTCAGAAAGGTGCAGACCTGATGATTATCAACAGCAAAGAAGAACAGGTAGAGTATGTCTATGTGTACGTATTAAAAACACATTGATGAACGCACATTGTCTGAGGTGGAGGATGGAATCAAGTTAAGTTTAAGTTATTGATGGTTTTTTTCTCTGTATAAAAAGGATTTCACGAGACAGTTGAAGGATAATGTGTGGATTGGACTCACTGACAGAGAGACAGAGGGGACATGGAAATGGGTTGATGGGACTCCACTGACAACAAGGTTCACACATTTTTCAGTCTCTAAGCAAGAAAAAGCTTTAAATTGTCTTGTGCTAAAAATTCAATTACTGGCAATGAAAATTATCTCTAATACATTAAATTTGAACTGATAGTGTGCTGTTCAACATGGCAGGTAAAACGTTTCTTCGGTTGTTTTCTTCATGAAAAATGTATATTTTGGTTTTGGGTTTCAGCTACTGGGCGAAGAATGAGCCTAGCAAGGGTTTCCTTGGACAAAGAGAAGACTGTGGAGAAGTGATGTTGCATCAAATGAAAGAAAACTGGAATGATAAATTATGTGATGAACCAAACTTCTGGATCTGTGAAATGAACATGATTTTTTAGGTGTAAACATTGTTTTCAGATTGGTCGGCTTTGTGTGGATGCTGTTACTGTGCTGCAGGGAAAGTGGCCACATACAGGAACAGATGTCCAACTGTGGTCACTGCTTTGTTTGCAAAAGATAATGCAAAGAATAATGAAGAGTGTAATGTATTGTGCATGCTTTGATTCATTACTGAATAAATGTCTGCTATTTCTCCATCCAGTGACTGAATGTTTATAAAAAATTCTATAATGCAGTATAGGCTGGCATAGTGATAAAGTGGTTAGCACTGACCCATTTCTGTCTTTCCTGTGAGGACTACTGCTAGAAAAAAAAAAGATGTCTACCTCCAACTCATTACGACTTAATTACAGCGAAGCTAAATAGTGAACCATGAACTAAAAAGTGTATCTATGAATCCATTTAACTTTACTAGATGCAAGATCACTTCAAACCTAATTAACCTATGCATACTAAGATTAAATGAACAACTCTCTATATTCAAGAACTGGTTTATAAAAGATTTAAAGTTCTGAAAAAGTACTTTGTTTCCCTGACATGGTGGAAAATGCATCACCTTCCTCTTTGAGTATACCATATACAGCCAATAATTGATATATTATTATTATCCTTTCTGTCAGAAGTATATCACAGTACCTTAATGGCAATTTAAGTTGCTTGGTCCATCAAAATCTGTTTTATGTGACACATGATATTTCCAATGTCCCCAAAGACTGTAACTTCTCCATGACACTCACTTCCTTTAAATCTGTGTTGACTTGATCACTATCGCTTGGCTTGAAATCCTGAACATGGCAGGAGAAAGAAGCAGAGATGGAAATATGAACAGATGAGGCAAACATGGATCAGAAAATGGCATTTGAAATGCACTAGGTGTCTGTGCATATTAGTGACGTAAAAGGCAGACATACAGAAAGTCCTGATATAAGTGACTTGTTAACATCACATACCTCTGCTGTGTTTTAGGGAACAGATCAGTTCTCTCTGTTTGCCAGCACCTGTTTCAGACAGATCACTAATTTCCCTCCAACTCTACGGCTCATGACTCGTTTTGTGTTTCTGCAGCAGATACCATTTTGTGTTGTTGTGGAATTTTGCTTCAGCCAGAACAATTGTGTATTTTTCATTCATCATATACAGTTGGTGAAGAAATTCAGGTTTTACTCTCAATCTTTAAGTTAAAACAGTCTTCTAAATGAAAAGCACTTCTTTTTTAAAGGAGGAAGTTTGGTTTCCCACATTGTCCACATCCTCTCACTTCTTCTGTGGGAAACTACACTGTTAATGCATACTGTCTAAATGTTGAGTTCGTGTTCTCTGAGCCTGTATCTGGTCTGTCACTTCAGTCTGTACTGTATCATAGATGTATGTGCAGTTATTCCAGTGTTGTGTATGACTGTTTTTGAATGACTGAACTTTTACAACAATTGTCCCTCAAATTTAAGAGTGTGAATAAGTAACTTGCAAGGCCTCAGATATTTTAACAATTTAATGGTGGCATCCTTTACCTAAAGATCATGTAACTAATGATTCCCACCTCTGAGGCAAATGCACCAGAAGGAAGAGGCAACAGATCATTCAGATAACTAGAATTACCGCCTCATCTCTGCCACTCAGACTAGTTTCAGGTTCCCTTTTCATCCATAGTCATATAAAATATCAACTATTTGTGTGAAATGTATAATTGCTGTTTGAAGTCTTGAGTTATGCCTAAAAAGTGTTTTCTGAGGTCACCGTGACCTTGACCTTTGACCTTTGACCAACAATTTTGAAGAATGTCCCGTCAAGGTGTTTCTGAGATATCTATGAGATGGGACAGATGTATGTACGTATGGATGGACAAACCGAAAACAATCTGCCTCTGGCTCTGGCCGTAGCTGGCGCTGAGGAATAAGAAAAAGGTAAGGCGGTTCATTAAATCCCTGCAGCATGTGAACAAGCTCAGACTGGAGTCCAGAGAGGCTGTGACTGTGGTTTTTTACTCTCTAAACATATTATTTATAGTTTTGTGTAATTTGATACAAAGTACAGCTTGTGACATCTTGTTAGTCTAAAATAAAGTGTGACTGAATTATCCAGGGGAACATATTGATCAGGTTGTGCATAAAATACATACATTACAAACAATAACTTTAAATTATAAGCATAAAATAAGACAGCATTAGTTTCAGTTACACATTAAGTGAAACATTTTCATTATCTGCAGTTTAGGAAACATTACTGCCATTGATTCATTTCTTTACATTAAATCTACTGTAGCAGCAGCATTTTTTACCTAATATCACAATAATGCACAGTAGATTGTACAGTTTTTATGTCATGTATGTAGCTGTGTTCTCCTTCTTCAGTTCAACAACCTTTGGCATTACAATAGTTTAATGGCATCCCATTTACCAGATTACCATTTGAAATGACCCCTTCCGTAATATTTGTATATTATATTGAATATAAAATTAATTATATGTCAAACAAAAGCCAACTTATTTCTGTAAGGTCATAAATCTATGTTATAATATAATACTGTACTAGAGCAAAGTGCAAACAGTTGTGTGAATTTACTTACAGTTACATTCTGTTGGTTATGTTAATGAAGAGTGAACCCAACCCTAACTCTTGAACAGTACTGTTCATTAATAACTAATGACCATAAACCACAAAAAATGAAACAATCCATTGAAGTTATTTATCATGCAAAACTCTCAATATTTTTCTGGGCACAGCACATATAAAGTCACTGCTGCTTTTCTCTATTTTATACCTGTTTGTCAAAAGAAGCATCACTTTGGAGTTCGGTAATTTGTTATATTAAATATAAATCTAAATAATGCATATTTAACCATTCATTGTAGGAGCAGTGAAATATGAAAATAATGAATAGATTAATAGATAATCAAAATACTCTTTAGTTGCAGCCTTAAATATAAATACAATGTGTGAAGTTTTAATTTGCCAAGCCCATCTGTTTTTCCTTGATCACAAAATAAATTATTTGAAAAAAGTGTGAAAGACTCCAGGTTGGATAACAGTCAGCTATCCAGGGAGACAATGATATAAAAGGCAATGTACAGTTTATGTAACATCCAGTACAAACAGCAGGTGGCAGTGATTTACCATTGTGTGAATTTCCAACTACCATTAAATGTAAATTTAAGAGGCAAGAGATCATTCAGAAATTTTTCATAATTGCTGTTTGAAGTATTTTCTGAGGTCACTGTGACCTTGACCTTTGACCGACCAACAAAATCTAATCAGTTCATCCTTGACTCCAAGGAAATGTCCCTGCCCAGTTTGAAGAAATTTCCTCAAGGCGTTCCTCAAATTTAATGTTCACAAGAATGGGATGGACAACCCGAAAACATAACGCCTCCAGCTACGGCTGTGGTTGGGCCTTAGATATAAAATGAGAGGAACCATTATGTACTTTTGATTGTGCTGAGATCTACATAATTAACCCTGACCATTTATTCAAATGGAATCACAGAGAGGCATGAATATTTAGGGGGGGCATCGCTGTGGCAAGCAGGGAACTATATCATTTGTTTCAAAGCGTTTATGGACATAGTGAGCACAGAGAAAAAAATGTTAGTCAAAACTTAAGTTCCAGTGTCAACAATGTGGTTCACCTTTAACAGGTGTGAATATCATGGCTGCAGAAAATACCCAGGTGCCACTTCCCAATAACAATCAGTCTTAGAGGCTTAGTAGACTCCAATCTAATTAAAACTTAAGAGAAAACAGATGGTTGTAATATTTCTTAAATCGATGTGTCTGTAGTGTGACAACACTATCAATAAAAATCTATGTATCAATGTATCAATAATGTATCAATAAAAAACGGTTGTCTGCACCACAATGACATAGAAGATAAACACTGCTATTTATTAATACATTTATTTAATTTTCAGTATTTGCATTTGTAATAGGAAAATGTCTTGAGCAGATGTGTTATAGTTTTGTGTCACTCATATGTATTTATTATAATAAATGTTTCACTTCTTTACCATACCCAGCGTAATAATCAAAGATATTAAAATTGTCACAGTCTCTTTGTAATCTCACAATGATATAGTATGTCATATTGTTGCTTTGGATAGGTTTATTGACAACATACTTGCAACATATCAGTTTGTCAGGGACAGAGTGAGTAAATCCAACATGTTGTTATTTTCATTGCATTGTTGTCCCCTGTAGTACTGCCACCCCATATAAAGGGCAGATGATGGTGTTTGGACACTGGAAACTTTAAAAGGGATGTTCCAAAAATAAAATAAAATAAAAACAGGTTAGCAGGCTCAAAGTGCCAAAAAAAAAAAACAGAGAATAATGAACCCCTAGAAGTTCAACAAAAAAATAACTTGAGCCATAATGTCAAAGAATTAAACTGCCTCACAGCAAGCTACCACCTGCTCTGTCTCTCTCTATTCAGTCCTGACTGGCATCCTATCTTCTCCTTCGCCTCTAACTGGAGCGTACCACCAGCTCAGGTAAGTACGGGGGTGAGCTAACCCTATACACATGCTTATCCAAGCGTACCAAACCCCATACAACCACTACATAATAACTTTTGTTACTACTGACAACTCCCCCTCTACAATAAGCACCAGATATTATTCATAAGTGCACAGGTTTCACCCCACTGTCACCTACTGCAGAACAGTTCTACCCCTGTTCCCACATACTCATGCCCAGTCCCTCAATACCAAGAGGTAGTTTAAGGGAACTCTTTGACCTGTGTTTATTCTATTTTCTTTTTAAAATCAAATAACAACTCATCAATTGTTAGAGTAAATCTTCACCAGGGCCAGATGGGTTCAGATCTTCACCACATCAATCATCTAAAATCATCACTTAATAAAATACAAAACTCACTGAAATCTAATATAGAGTAGATTTACTGTAATTATGATGCAGAGTACAAGAAACTGAGCTGGTCGTAGGGGCAGACTAAAAACAGGAACTCAGTGGTATGTTAACACCCATAATAACATTACTTACTTTTCCTAGAATTTGACACCACTGGTTCCGGGTACCTTACATGGTTATGATTTATTGGTCTAATAGCTGCTGAACACTTAATACACATCCCAGGTTTCATTGGAAATATTATTATATCAGGTTCAACCTGTTTTTGTAAGCATTTCCTAAAAGATAATGGTATTTTTCAAATTGTGACCTTTGCAGTTGCACCTGTCTGGCGTCAGATCTGTTCTACTTCTCTCATCCAATACCAAACTTATATATCAGGTTAAATTCTCAATGTTTTCCACCTGAACTATGTCCGCATAACAAGTATTTTGAATGCAATCAGTAATGTACACCCTCGGTACTTCCCCATTTCCATTATCTTTTAATAAACAACTCTCTTCTGTTACAACACATATTTCTTTAATCCAATATCTTTCATACTGCTAAACAAATCATCACTGAAAATACTGTATATCGCACATAATGCTAATTAAAATTTAAAGGTGCCAAAGTAAGCCAAGAATGAAGTGACATACTCAGCGCTCCTTCAGTGTGTTAAAATGAACTGAACCAAATAGTGAATTCTTTAGTACATTTTTACTTAGTTCCTGAAAGGGAAACACATCAAACTTTCTACTTCATTTTTGTTGTCTTGTATTCTACACTGCAACAACAACAACTGTTAGTCACTTGATTTTATTGTACACTAATAAAATGTAGCAAGCCGTACTTTGTATAAAATTAAACAAAACTATAAATAATATTTAAATTTACTCATTTGGCAGACTCTTTTATTAAAAGTGACTTACAAGTGAGGGACATTACTAAAGCCTTGGTGCAGTAGGAGACCCGTGCATAACTTTTGAGCTCTACATCTATTTAATAATTGCATTAAATAGTTCTCTAATATAGCACAATATAATATATGCTATATTAGACAGTAAACAAACACAGCGACACCCTAATTAGAAATTGCATTGAATTCTCTATTAGATCCAAAATAAATTATACTTAGACACTAATACACCAAATTATACTCTACTTACAGACCAAATAGGATATCCTAATACACTATTAGACACCACCTTCTAATCAGAAATCATATACAATGCTGTAATATGCTGTAATGGAAACCACATTTAATACGACCAACATGGGCCTATGATAGCTTCATTAATGCATTGTGCATTAGCATTAGTGATGACGATGACTTAAATGTAAATGTAATAAACAGAATATCATTTTAACTAAACTTAAACATATAAACATGGATATGTGTGGGCAATTACACAACTATGTGTTTGAATGGTTGCAAAACGCTCCAATATCTGGCAAAAATAATAAATAGTTTAAATATGAATGCCACTTGTAGAGAAACGATATACTGGCTTTATACTGATGTTTGTCACACTGAAAGTTACCTTGACCGATCCAATAGCATGTTTATCCAGATGGATTTGTCATGTGTGTGGGGGCATAACTGTAACATTACAGTTCTCCACACCAGGAGAGAGGGACAGAGAAAAGTCAGACTTCAGCAGAAAGGTCCAGCACATTTCCCTACTCTTCTCTTATCCTCATCGGATCCATGAGGGTGACCAAAGTTGCCATGCCAATTCCAGTTGTGTTACTCTTGTGTAAAATAAATTCTATTTCATGATGACCATTACTTTAATTAAGTCATACAGTAAGAGTATGGGAAGATAAAAACTTAGATAAATCAAGACACTTTGAAATCTTTTTTTTTTAAAAGTAATTTTTACCAAATTTTACTAACCAAAACTCCTGAAGCATGCATATATAAAGGCTTAAAAACATGTCACACAGAGAGCAAAATGGTTTAAAACTGTACAAGTACACAAATACCAAAGGGTACACTGTGATGATTAAACTCTGCAGTTATTTTAGAGGTGCTTATTTATGGTGTTTCAACTGAGACAAGCTAATCTGGTTTTGATCTAGCAGTGTGTTTCAAAACTTCTAAGAAGGGCAACTTACTGAAAAATGAGGAAGAACAAGTGTGTTGCTGTGAGTGAAATATAAAAGAAGTTTCAAACCAAAGCCTACCACCATTTGCAGAAAGTTCCACCAACAGCTTGATCACTCACCAGTGGGTGAAATATGGAGATGGTCACCTATGAAGACGAATCGGAGATGAGATATAGAAAATCTGTGTTAATGTGAATAGTTTGAATTAACCTCTCCATCAGATTTTGAGGCCAGTTTTAAAAACCTGACTGAAGAGCGAGATGAGCTGAAGAGAATCAACTTTGGCAAATATGAGGAAACAACTGCTCCAATACTCATGGCCTTGATACAAAGGGGAGCAAGTACAATACTCAGATACAATTAAAGTGACTTTGATTTTGTAATATGTAAAGTAACAACATTTTTTCATTACATTAATAGAAAACGTAGCATGGTTTATAATATGTGGGGGGGGTACCATGAAGACATAATCCTAACCGCTGCAGCCTGGGTTCGTGTCCAACCCGTGGCCCTTGGCACCATAACATCCTGTCTCTCTCTCGCTGACTTTCTCGTCTCTCTCTTACTCTTGCTATCAGAATTAAGGCAAACAATAACTTAAAAAGAAAAAACTGATGAACCTGATGGGGACACACTTGTTTTTCAATGCTTTTGACTTCAAAAGACACATTTGGGCATTAAACAACAAGTCCCATCCAGGTTCATCACTTTTTAGCGTCCCCAGGAAACACTTCATTAAAGTCACAAGTCTTACGTTACTTACGAAGTTCCCAGTTAAGTATTCTTTCTTTGTTTTTTTGTATTTTGGTGAAGCAAGACAAAGACAAGGAGGGTGACATAGGGTGACCAGGTGCTGGTACTGAAGCAGTTTGATAAACCGTCTGAGGCCCATTGCTGGTCAGGTCTATGTAGACGACTAGCATGTGTGCATGGTTTTTGCTGTTTGCTTAGGTTGCCTGTGGTGCCACCTGCCATGTTTGGGCCAGATGCAAATAAAATGCTACAGCTGGCCCAAGATGCCCGCCGTTGTGCTAGGGAGAGGTCAGGAATGCTCCAACAAGGGTCGTGAACAGCGGGTCTCGACAGCTCCACGGCCTGGGCCACCCCAGCTGGACTCTGGCTTCAGGTGACCTACGGCTCTATTTGAAAGCCAACTGGCGTGTTAGAGCTAAACATGGTCGGCGGAGTGGACAGGCCCGTGGCCAGGGAACCCCCAAGCCCCCCACTCAGTCCTGACAGCTCTCAGCAGCAAGGGGAGCTCTCTCTCCCCTTGCTGCCTCTTAGGACAGCACCTGTCCTGGGAGACACTTGGGGTTTGCACCATGACTCAGGGTATTTGCTTGCAGTGGTAGTGTGGGAGTGGGCATACCCACAGTATGTCCCTGAGTGTGATGGCATGTGCCAGGTTGGCTGAACCTTGCGGCGCATCAGCTCTTCAGGGGCGGGCCCCTCCCCAGAGAATGGAGGCTGCATCCACTGGTTGTGCACCAGATCTGGGACTACTTTGGTCCTGCCATAGCCGATCTCTTTTCCTCCGGCGAGACGATCCCTGTGCCCTCTTCTTCTCCTTAGGGAGAGACGATCCTCCCTTGGGCACCGATGCAATGGCACATCAGTGGCCACAGGGCCTCCTATATTTCTTCCCTCCCTTCTTCCTCCTGCACTAGCTCCTACAGAGAGTCCAAGTGGAGGAGGTGAGCGTCATCCTGGTATTGGCACACCTGTACTATAGGTGTGTGTGTGTAACACACTGTGTCAAAGCTTCTGAAAAAGACAACTGACTGAAAAATGAGGAAGAACAAGAGTGAGCAAGAGTTTTGCTGTGAGTGAAATATAAAAGAAGCTTCAGATCTCGGACTAGCACCATTTGTAGAAAGCACTTTCACCAACAGCTTGATCACTCACGACTGGCTGAAATATGGAGATGGTTATGCATAAAGACGAATCTGATGCCACAGTCAGGAATGATGCATTGAAGAGCCACTCTGGAGAAACAGGACCAGCACCTGGTGAGGCAGAAATCCTAAATGTTTTGAGGTTGACCGACATAACTGCAATATATAACAACAATATACAACAATGTTCATAATAATTTTATCTTGTGTATTAAATTTTAAATGAAGTTTGATCCAATTGTATGTGTGTGTTTGTGTGTGTGTGTGTGTGTGTGTGTGTGTGTGTGTGTGTGTGTGTGTGTGTGTGTGTGTGTGCCACAGGTGTAAACCTGTACAGACTGGTTGCTTTGAGCTTTGGACTCCTGTGTATCCTGCAAGCGACTCTCAACATTTCCCTGCGTCTTGCTCTCTGTGAGTCCTCCTTTTTTTAAAGTTATTGTTTGGCCATTTTTTTTGCCTTTATTAAAGTCTTAGTGATAGAGACAGGAAAGTTGGGGGGAGAGAGAGGGAATGACACAGAGATTAGAGTTGGTTATGACCTGAAAAAAATATTGAAATTAATCAGACTCAATTTGACTAAGTAAAAACTAATAAATGAAAAAAAAACAGTACTATTCAATGCACTATGCTAAAGATTCTCATAGTTCACCTTTTCTTTATTCTTTGTACTGAACAAAAACAGAAAAGTATGGATTATGACGAATGATTAATGCAGTGAAATCACAATTTTCAGCCAGTAAACATACAGCCCAACATGCACGAAGTCACAGGATACTACATGACATACACTCACTGGGCACTTTATTAGGAACTCCTGTGCACCTTCTTATTAATGCAGTTATTCAATCAGACAATCATGTGAAGATTCATGTCAACATGGACATGAATCTCAAGGGCCAAATATGTGAAGTAACAACATTTCCTTATTATATTAAGAGAAGCTGTTGTATCGTTTATGATACACTGTTGCTCATAAAGTTGGAATAAAATATCTTTTTCCTTTTTCCATGAAATGATTGTGACAATGTGATTTATTTAATTTCACCTGGGTAATTGGGACACATAATGTAATCATTGCACCTGGTCAAAAGTGATTACTGATGCATTTAAATAGGAATAAACAGAGGATTGTGTCTGAAAACAAAATTATTCCAACTTTATGGGCGACAGTGTATATACAATTGTGTTTCATACAAATTTGTTTCTTATTTATTTGTTGTATAAATGTAATTTCAGAGTTGTATATATAAAGCTAAAGATAGAGTTTTAGATCAACTAGAGGAAACCAACAATGCACCTGATAGACTGATGTAAAACACCATGAAATTCTGGTTCAGATACTGAAGCCAGATGTAAAACCCTGACTGAAGAGAGAGATGATCTGGAGAGGAAGCTGAAAACCTCTGGTGAGTATGATGATCAAACTACATCAGTAAGAATAGTTTGGATTTCACAGCATGAAAGTCAGTGTTACAGCACAGAGTACATTTAGTCACAGATTATGAGGTGGCATCTGGTCTTGGTTTGTAGCTGTATCAGAGAACAGTGTGTTGAAATTACACCATTTATGATTGATAGATTATTGCATTAGCCTTTACAAAATCTGTGTTAATGTGGATTGTTTGAATTAATCTCTACAACTTTGGTTGGATTAATGTAAAACACCATGAAATTCTGTTTCAGATACTGAAGCCAGATGTAAAAACCTGACTGAAGAGAGAGATGATCTGGAGAGGAAGCTGAAAACCTCTGGTGAGTATGATGATCAAACTACATCAGTAAGAAGAGTTTGGATTTCACAGCGTGAAAGTCATAAGTGTTATGTTACTTAGAAAGTTCCCAGTTAAATATTCTAGTTAATTTAGTTAGTTTCTCTCCACATCAATAACATAAAGTGACACAGTTTTAAAGTGAAGTGAGTGTTTGGCTGTGAACATAACTGACTGAGTGAGAAAATAATGGTCACCTCTCCACTTAAAATGACAGTTTCACAGCGCGATTCCCTGACTGAAGAGAGAGATGAGTTGAAGAGGATCAACTCTGGTAATGAAGATTAAACTGCTCCAACACTCATGGCTTTGGATCCAAAAGGCTTCAAGTACAATTCTGGGCACATTTGTGTTACAAGTGTTACATATGATGATAGCTCCAGTCACTAACAAAACAACTCATTCAATAATCCACTGTTGTAAAGTTTAAAAAGGAGACACAATTAAAGTGGTTTTGATTTTGAACATTCATATTACACTCATGCCCTGAAACACATCATTTATCTAAATGAACAACATTCCCTCATGATGTTAACAGAAAACATTGTGTGGTTTATAATATGTGCAATTATGTTTCCTACTAAACATTTTTTATTGTATAAATGTAATTTCTAGAAGACTTGAGAGTTGCATATATAAAGCTAAAGATAGAGTTTTAGATCAACTAGAGGAAACCAACAATGCACCTGATAGACTGATGTAAAACACCATGAAATTCTGGTTCAGATACTGAAGCCAGATGTAAAACCCTGACTGAAGAGAGAGATGATCTGGAGAGGAAGCTGAAAACCTTTGGTGAGTATGATGATCAAACTACATCAGTAAGAAGAGTTTGGATTTCACAGCGTGAAAGTCATAAGTGTTATGTTACTTAGAAAGTTCCCAGTTAAATATTCTAGTTGATAGTTTCTCTCCAAACAAGTAACTAAGAGGAATGAAGATAATGTGATGTGATGGTGAAAAGACAGGAGTAGTTTGTCTTCACAGAACTAAATAAACTACTAATGATAAAAGAAATAAATACATGTAATATGGAAATTAAGTTTTAAAGTGAAGTGTGCGTTTGGTTGTGAACATAACTGACTGAGTGAGAAAATAATGGTCACCTCTCCACTTAAAATGACAGTTTCGTTAGTTTCATCAATTAGTTATATCAATAATTAATGATCCAAAGATGTATGAGTGGGACATTGGGAGAATATGTGTGTGTTACTTACAGTCAGCTCCTGTCAGTGCCAATATTCTCCATATATAATAGTATAAGATTATGAATAGTGAACACTTAGTCTGCCTGTGCCTATGAAACACAGTGTTTGTAGTTACTCTGTAGCATCAGGCATCTGCTCAGTTTGATGTTTAGTGGAGATATGCTGAGGTCACCGTGGTGTCACAGGTTCTTGTTGATACAATAAAGACTAGTTTGGATTAAGGTTCATTGTTCACTAAAAGAACAAAGGCAGTTCAATTAAGGACATCATAACAGTTCAACCATACAGCAGCAGTAGCTGTTACTTTTTCCCCTTTTATAACAAACAAATAACAAATCTCCCTTTCATCCCAATGAGAAATGATTTGTTAATTCCTGTTGTTAATGAGATGCTTCTGTTTGTCTTTATGCTCAAAAAGGATGGGTGTATTTCAGCGATAGTGTCTATTACATTTCTTCTACCAAGAAAACCTGGCAAGACAGTAGAAATGACTGTCTTCAGAAAGGTGCAGACCTGATGATTATCAACAGCAAAGAAGAACAGGTAGAGTATGTCTATGTGTACGTATTAAAAACACATTGATGAACGCACATTGTCTGAGGTGGAGGATGGAATCAAGTTAAGTTTAAGTTATTGATGGTTTTTTTCTCTGTATAAAAAGGATTTCACGAGACAGTTGAAGGATTTTATGTGGATTGGACTCACTGACAGAGAGACAGAGGGAACATGGAAATGGGTTGATGGGACTCCAATGACAACAAGGTTCACACATTTTTCAGTCTCTAAGCAAGAAAAAGCTTTAAATCTTCTCGTGTTAAAAATAGTATTAGTGGCGATGAAAGTCTGTTTCTAATACATTACATTTGAACTGATAGTGTGCTGTTCAACATGGCAGAGGAAATGTTTTGTGTATTCTTTATGAAAATGTATATTTTGTTTTTTGGTTTCAGCTACTGGGCGAGTGATGAGCCTAACAATAGTGGCCCTGGAAACATAGAAGAAAACTGTGGAGAAATGCGTTGGCATCAATTGGAAAATAACTGGAATGACTTACCATGTGATGATCTAAACTTCTGGATCTGTGAATTGAAATTGCCTCCATAACTCACCATCCCAACTCTGCAGACGTCTTTGTTAAACCCAGGACAATCCAATCATTGCCAAGAAGAGAGTGTTCCTATTGTTTTGGCATTTCATTGTGGACTTACATCCTCACAACCTGAATATGCTCATATATGCTTTTATATATAAATGTTTTCAGATCGGTCGGCTTTGTGTGGATGCTGTTACTGTGCTGCAGGGAAAGTGGCCACATACAGGAACAGATGTCCAACTGTGGTCACTGCTTTGTTTGCAAAAGATAATGCAAAGAATAATGAAGAGTGTAATGTATTGTGCATGCTTTGATTAATTGCTGAATAAATGTCTGCTACTTCCTCATACAATGACTGAATCTATGAATGTTTATATACATATTTATAATGCAGTATAGGGCGACACAGTGGTAAAGTTGTAAGCACTGACGCCTCACAGTGAGCAGGTTCTGGGTTCAAACCCCGGGTCTGGGGCCTTTCTGTGTGGAGTTTGCATGTTCTCCCTGAGCCGGCGTGGGTTCTCTCTGGGTATTCTGGCGTCCTCCCACAGTCCAAAGACATGCACATTAGGTGCATGTCCCAGTACCCATGCCTCCCGTACAGTGAAGCTAAATAGTGAACCATGAACTAAAAAGTGTATCTATGAATCCATTTAACTTTACTAGATGCAAGATCACTTCAAACCTAATTAACCTATGCATACTAAGATTAAATGAACAACTCTCTATGTTCAAGAACTGGTTTATAAAAGATCTGAAGTTCCTAAAAAGTACTTCATGCATCAATTTAAATAGCTCCTCTTTGTCCATCAAAATCTGCTTTATGTGACACATGATATTTCCAATGTCCCCAAAGACTGTAACTTGACATGACCATGACACTCACTTCCTTTAAATCTGTGTTGACTTGATCACTATCGCTTGGCTTGAAATCCTGAACATGGCAGGAGAAAGAAGCAGAGATGGAAATATGAACAGATGAGGCAAACATGGATCAGAAAATGGCATTTGAAATGCACTAGGTGTCTGTGCATATTAGTGACGTAAAAGGCAGACATACAGAAAGTCCTGATATAAGTGACTTGTTAACATCACATACCTCTGCTGTGTTTTAGGGAACAGATCAGTTCTCTCTGTTTGCCAGCACCTGTTTCAGACAGATCACTAATTTCCCTCCAACTCTACGGCTCATGACTCGTTTTGTGTTTCTGCAGCAGATACCATTTTGTGTTGTTGTGGAATTTTGCTTCAGCCAGAACAATTGTGTATTTTTCATTCATCATATACAGTTGGTGAAGAAATTCAGGTTTTACTCTCAATCTTTAAGTTAAAACAGTCTTCTAAATGAAAAGCACTTCTTTTTTAAAGGAGGAAGTTTATCTTGTTATCATGTGTGCCACAGTGTGCACATCCTCTCACTTCTTCTGTGGGAAACTACGCTCTTAATGCATACTGTCTAAATGTTGTATCATAGATGTATGTGCAGTTATTCCAGTGTTGTGTATGACTGTTTTTAATTGACTCAACTTTTGCGACAATTGTGTCTCGAATAGAAAAGAGTGTGAGATCTAAGTAACTTGCAAGGCCTCAGATATTTTGACAGTTTTAATAGTGGCATCCTTTACCTAAAGATCGTGTAACTAATAATTCCCAACAAATGCGAGATCATTCAATTAATAAAAAAGGATGAAAGACAGTTCATTAAATCCCTGCAGCGTGTGAACAAGCTCAGAGTGGAGTCCAATGAGGCTGTGACTGTCTAATAAAAAACATATTATTTATAGTTTTGTATAATTTGATACAAAGTACAGCTTGTGACGTCTTGTTAGTCTAAAATAAAGCGTGACCGAATATAATGCAGTCACTGTCAATGTCAATAGTAACACCTGTACTAGGAGTGGAGTCAATCAGCTGACACTGGGTGAGAGGTGGGATACGGCCTGGACACGTCTACCACAGGGCTGCATCTGCTCTCATGGACGTCCATATTCATCTCCAATTTTTACTCTACTGAAAGGTTTTGTGCTACTGCGGCCTCATGTGGTGGAGGACTGCTACCACATCCTGAAGGAGTAGAGCGTCCACGTAGGGGCCACATCTGTTAAAGTGAATTATCTTGACTGATTGAAATGTTATAATTTGAGGAAAGGTTTGGGCTGCATGTTCACTTTACAGCATGTCTTTAAGACATACAATTACAGATTCTGTCGTTGTCATGACACCTGCAAAAGGCATGTCATGGTATATACACTGAACAAAAATATAAACGCAACACTTTTGTTTTTGCTCCCATTTTTTCATGAGTTGACTGCCAGAAATTTGGCAGTTGCCGTCTCCACTTGCAGATTCTGTCAGACAGCTGCAGTCTGGACCTCCATCTCCAGCCATTTCCAGCTGCCAGCACTGCCCCTCCACCTGCAGATTCTTCCCGGCAACTACCGCCCAGTCCACCAACAACAGCCTCTGCAAGCAACCTGCAGCTGCTGCTTCTTCCTGCAGATTCTGGCAGACGGATGCACGTCGAACCTCCAGAATCGCTCCAGCTCCTATACTACACTGCTCCTCTTCCCTTTGCCTACTGCATGTTACACATTTACATTCTCAAACTGTCTTTCTCATCGTACAGTCTTAATTTCTGAAATGTGCCTAAATGCTGAATAGTGACACTGTGCATAAAACCAACACACCTGAAGTATTGTTTTTTAGGTTTTTATTTTTTCCCATGCAATAAAAGTCTGCTACACAGTCACATAAACAACAAAAAAAATCATATTATATATTGTACAATGAGGCAGATAAATATTTGGCGCTTACTCCACCAAACAGTTAAAAAAAAACAGATTCTCTCCCCCCTTTTTCCCAACATATCTGGTTTTAGTATGACTAACACAAAGAGCAAAATATATAACCTTCCTTCTTTCACCTTAAAATAGGATATATTAATTATTTTTTTGGAATACTACAAACCTAATAATAGGCTACTCATCATACAAGAAATTCACTATATCCTACATTTAGATACATGTGTGTATCTACTGAGCTAAACATCATCTGCAAAGTTATTCCACAAAGATCAGCCCTGATAGAATATTACAGCTCCACTTGAGAAATTGTTAATAACTGAAACAGTGAAAGGTGGATATCAGAATATCAGGTAACATACAACAGAGCGAGTAGAACACGTCTTAAATGAACGGCAAGTGCATCTTCATTTTTAGCAGTTATTCTGAATTTTGAAAACAAAGATGATGGTGATGGTGATGATGACAGTGCTCCAGATGAGAAGCCCCACACAGCGGCCACTCGACAGTTTCATAGGTCCTTTACATCTTTAACCCTGTAACATGTTTAAAGGCTGCATTCCTACAAAAGGTGAACAGTCTGAAGACAATATAAGACAATATAATTACACGTATGATCGCATTCAAACAGGTCTTTCCTTTGGCAAATGGAAACTTGGGATGTGTGAAGATTCTGGGTAAAAATAAAAAGGAATTTAAGGGACAAACATGGCACGGCATCCAAACAGCCAAACCATCTAAATGATTGTCTGTCTCATGAAGAATGGAAGTGCCCTTAAGATGACCTTTCAATTGACTCCACGCTATGATAAATTCTTTACACCCAAAGCCCTTTAAAGCTTCATCTTATAAACCTAAATGTAGGCATGATCATCCTTCATCTGAACCATGATATGAGATGTCATCCTTAAAAAAAAAAAAAAAAAAAAAACCCTGTGGACAGAGCAAAAATAATTATTGCTTTGACCAAGTGCAAAGATCACTGAGCTGAGGAGGCGCCTCCTGTTGGCAGTGATGGTCTGGTCCTCTTGGCAGCAGATTCCTCCACGGTAAAAGTGTAGTTATACTGAAAAAAACAAAAGCAAAACAAAGTGAGCATGTTCTTTGTTGGGAGAAGTTGATGTACTCACTTCTCCAGTAAGAATGATATGGCTGAAATCAAGAGTCAGACTTGAGCCAACCTCGTTTTCGATGTCTTGGAGAGACTTTATACGGATGTTGTTTAACTGGGAGTTCAAGTGAGGAGTCTACGAGAGAGAGATATGACAAAGAGTACATGTTTTTATTTGATGCCTGAAGTGAAAAAGGAAGAGAAGGAGAAGATGAAGTGAGCGGGGAAAATGTCAAACGTACCGTCCCGTTTGCCTGGACGTCGTATTTTGGGTGCAGACAAAAGGGAACTCCATCTAGAGCTGCAGAGAGTGAAGGTGGGTTACAGGTGGGTGGGTTGTCTGCAGTGAGAAATACATGTGATACATCAATTATATTGAGGAGGGACTTGGAGTACCTGTGATTCCCTGGACACTGCTGTCGACAGGTTTGTCCAAGTTGTCCTTTGAACTGAGGCTGTAGCGTCTCTGACTCAGTTTACCATGCGGCAGTGGAGGAGGAGGGTTGCTGTGGAAACAAGCAGAAAGATATTTCTCCTATCTTTTATATCTTTTATAAAGAGAGACCAGCTGTGATATGATGATGTTTTAAACACCTGTATACACTGGAGCTGTACATCATCCCCCAATAAAAGTACTAATTTTGTCAATTAGGACTTCTCTATATTCGACATTTCAAAAAATACTATACCTGGGTCTGAGGGGCAGGGGTGATGGTTGCTCCAGTGAGAGACTGCGGAGGTCCAAGCTCACACTGCGGGGTTTGGTTTGAGGTACGGGGCTGGAAAAATATCCCTTCCTGCACCACAACACGTAGCCATGGATGTCTCTGGAGATACGGCACATTTAATGACACATTAATAACGGCCTTTAAATAAACCACTTTAAATAACCACTGTGTTGATTTGAGTTGACTGATTTAAGAAATGCATTGATTAAAAAAGAGGGGAAAGTCAAATGCTTGTATGTGTGAGCGCTACCAACCCCACGTATGTGTAATGCTGCAACATCATTTTGCTTTTGGCTGTCAGTTTGATATCCAACACAGCTGTGTCCACACTGCCGACTGGGACGACGCGCACACACACACGTTTCTTCTTCGAAACGGAGGCCTCTGGATGCACAGACACACACACACACACACACACACACACACACACACACACACACACACACACACACACACACAAAGAGAGAAAGGCAGTGAGTAAATGAGACACACATTCAAAAAATCTGCATCACATATTAGGACTGTGTGTTTACAACTCTGTGTGTGTACTCACTGGGTTCGAGGTGCTCCGCTATGTAGCAGTAACCGTGAGGAATAGAGTCCTTGTCAGAAATAAGCTGAATGTCTGACACTACCATACCACCTGTCAGGTCCTATAAAGAGAGAGAGATACAGTCCATGTGTGAAGACTGGAAGGACAAGTGCAAGGGCTGGTGGGAAACATACATGATCTATTGTAGTACTGCAAAGACACAAGTAATATAGGTATTAAAAAGTAGGGCTGCACAATTAGTCGAAATATAATCGAAATCACCAAGTGAAATATCCAAATGACAGGCAGGAGCTGCAATTTTTTGATAAAGGAAAAATGTGTCGCAACAGACCATAAATGAAGCATTGTGGTGCTACAGAGATGCAAAATCATATTCTCCAGATGTAAGGGGATCATGCTCCTTTGGTAAGAGCCCGAGCAAAAAATCCCATCATCATCATTTTAAAAATGTTTTTCAATGAAAATTAAATTTAAAAATGTTTTGCATATTGTTCAACCCTATTATATAAAGTATGCAAGGCTCCTCATCACTGTTACCTTGCTGTAACAGAGGTAATATCCGGACTTTATCGCAAAGCTGCGTGTGAAGTTCGCTGCTGCTCCGTCCTCTGTGATGCTGATCTGCACAAGGTCAGAGGGATTGAGAAGAGAACGGGTACCAGTTAGATATCCCACATCTGACATCATGAACATATCTTAAATTAAAAGTAGGCAAGTAACATGATGAGTTGAGGCGTAAAGAGAGCGGTTAATGTTAGTGGTGGTTCAACAGTTGGACTTTTCAGTCAAGGGGAAAGTCAGAAGCTCCCATCTACCTGCAGTCAATTTGATGCCGGTCAACAGAATGAGACTGTGGTTGAGCTTCTGCATTTCCTGAGTGTGGAGCTGTTTATTAGAAGCGGGCAGCGCTCAAGAAAAACAAATGTGCTCGGTCCACTTGAGGACAAGATGAAAAAACTGTACCAATTTGTACAATTTAGACTACAGTTATTGTTGAATAGTTTGTCGATGCTGTTCATTCAAGTTATAAATATTAGATTTTTACATCCAATGGCTGCACAGCGTCCTGTTTTTTCTGCTGGATCTTCAGAGAAGGAAGTTTACAGTCAGTTGACGGCACTTTTAAACAACCAAGCTGTTTCTCAGAGGTCAAGTTTCCAGCTCAACACTCAAACTGTCCTACTAAAACTTTCCAACAACATTTGACTCAGAGGCTGCAGCATTGTCTTTGTATTGGGCCGTGCTGACATACTGGGTATTGTAACTGATCTCTGTCTATAATGAGACAGACTGAAATAATATGGCTGGTCAAATTTCAGCCCCGTCCATACATGTTTCACTGTGAGTGTTTCCACTTTTCCTTCCACTGTGAGGTTGCATTGTGGATATAAATCTCTTCTTCCCTTCATTTTAATCTGGGAGCGCAAACGTCAGACCTTTCCTCCGTTTGCAAAATACCGCACACACCTTTTTTATGAGCAGACAAAACCATTGCAACGCTCTTTCTCTTAGCCTTCAGAAAGAATCTATTAATCGTTTACAACTCAGTGAAGCCCAGCTACAAATACAGCTGCTCCCGCACTTGCTGAGGCTAAGGACATGGATCATACCACTCTTGTTGTAGCCCCTGTGGTTACATGTCAGTTTTTCTAGATTGGTTTAGGGCTCAGATGAAAGCACAGAAGAGAGCAGGGAGTGGATCTTTCAGCTTGTCAGTTACAAAAACAAGTAAGGGAAGATTTAGCGACACCAATGAATCATTGTATATATTAAACTGTATAAACATTAAATCTACATCACTGTTCTTACCATGGTGAAGTCTTTGGGGCAGGTGCTGGTGTTGGAGGTCCACGCCACTGATGTAATTGGGCGGACTCCCCCGCGCTCCATCAAGGACATCTGGGGAAGACAAGCAAAGAGTTGTATATCAGGATGTTAGAGGAAAAGAAGAACAGAAATTCAGATGTGTGTTGAATATAAAAATCAATTTAGTTTTGATTTTAATCAGTGTAGTCCATTCATGATTGTACACATGAGACTATTGTGGTGGCAGAGGTTTTCATTATTCGAGTGTCCTCTCTCTGGGACTTAATGGCGTTAGAGAGCCAAGTCGTTGTGTCCATGTGACAAAACTCACAGGGGACTCACAGAGGTAAACAGGCTACGATTCAGTCTAAGAATTCATGTTATCCCAAGGATACATTGTCTAGGACAGAACGATCCAATTCAGTCTAAATAGTTGAGGTATTGATATCCGTTCAAGGACAGAAAGAAACTGTTCAGTGCAAAAAATCCTCCCTAACTAAGGCAGCAAGTTAGTTGACGAGGAAGTGGAAGTTTATTCTGGGATGTTCTGCAGTTCCCTTTGTATGAGAGGTTTTTATATCTTCAAGTTCTTTTGTCAAACGCCCCCATTCTGATAGAAAGCAGGGGTGGCTGATATGAATAAAATCTTCTATCAACGTATGTGTAATTTTATATCATCATATTGATATTGAAATCACGTACCCGACAAATCAAAGTACAACTTTACATTTTTGTTAAAAATCATATAAAAACATAAAGCAGTCCTCCTAATTGATTTGATGATAGACAAATTCATATTGTCTCATAGTATATTATTCTCAACTCTGAACGTTTTTGGGTTGTGACTTTGAATTTTTATTAATTGTCATATGGCTACAGACTGAAAACTGTCCTCAATTTTCACGAGATAAAGCAAAATTCAGAGAAAAGGAGTAAAATAAAAGTCAGATTAAAGAAAAATCAGTAAAGAAAACTTATGAGGGTGAGTGATTCATTTTGAAGGAACAAATGCCAGACACTAATGAAAAAAAAGAACCCTATTTAGTGTGAACTGTGAAGTTAGGACAGATGTTAAGAAATGTATTTATTTATTGATTGACTCGCCTATGCTTACTTACGTGGCACTTATTGTTATTGTGTCTATTTTAGTATTTGTGTGAGAAATCATCACCAGCCAGATGCAGGTAAATCAATCCTTGCTGATTTCTGACAGTTTAACTGCTTTACCAGCAACTCTAACATACGCATCACACACTTTTACATTCTTTAAGTTATCAGTTATTCATATTAATAATACAAAAAATAAGTTAATTATTAATATAGGCTGTTTTGGAGTCATATCCCATGTACTTTAATGACAAACCGAGTTTACCTTACAATAGTAGCGATTGTTCCATTGACAAAACTTCGCTGTTTCTTGTTCAAAAGTAGCTCAAATCTTTTTGTTTCGTGAGTCAACGAATAAAATCAGAAAAACACACACTCACTTTGCGTCTGTATTCACTTCTGTCTCTTCGAGGTGTTATGATTTGGGAGGCAAACAACTTCTTAGTTATCAGCCGAAATTTCTTGGTCTTCCTCGTCAAAGCAGGAAGTACTGAATCCATTCTGACTCCAACTCCCGTCACACCACGCGGCAAGACGTCTGGCGTCATTAAATGCAAACTCAAGTGTGAACGCAAGAGGGCAGCATTACAGCTGTGTGAAAGTAAACAAGCTGTTTTCACAGCTGCAATTCAAAGTGCTTCTTTCGTCTAAAGTAGTTTGTACACGAACTCTTCTCCACCTGGTAATGTACTCAAATGACAAAGAAGAGATGAACATTGAGTCTGTTCTAGCTCGCTCACAAAAGGCTACATGATATGTTTGTGTGGTGCAGCCTAGAGGGAGTGCTGACAGCAGGATCAATTCTCATTTAGGCTTCATGAAACTGAGGTTAAGGAGAGGGGAGAGGAGGATAATGGAAAAGGTAAGATGAGGAGAAGTGCTATAGGTCATTCCTCTGTGCAACAGACCTCAGTTTCTGTCTGAAAACTGCATGATATATTCCTTCATTAAGATTAGATTAATTTGTCTAAAAGTCACTCCCACATACACTGTACTGCTTTTGTAAATACTCACTAATGCACACTAGGGCACAAATGTGTATTCATCCACAGCTGAAAGTAGTCCCCAACAAAGCCTACTGTTTGCTCTTGTAGTAATTTGCTAAAAAAAAGTGTCCAGCTGTTTTGGAGAATTACAAAGCCTTTTATGAGATGACACCAAATTTTTCAAACGCTTTTTAAAAGATTTATCCCTCTGGCCAAAATCAGCAGGCATAGCATGGAGTTGAGTGCCACAGACAAGGAAGATAAAACCAAAAGAAATGGACCTGTGATTTTGGTGTTTTTATAGGATTTGTTGACAATAAACAATATAGAATAGTGCCAGCTTTATCCTTTTACCCTGTTTTCATGTGAACACTTTGTGGACTGACTGAAAATAATATTAATATACTATATAACTGCAGCAGCTGGATGAAATCCAGAGAGGGAATTTAACGGAGGACACTACTCTGGCGTTAGGGTCTTCTTATTTTTCCCAAAGTGAAAGTATCATCTGTTGTGAGTACAGAGAAATACACAAGTACAGAGAAAAAGACATGACTCTTTATCTTTAATTATAATGTTCCTCACACAACATGGAGGCAGCTGCATACACAGGCTTGCTCCATCTTAAGACTTCAGCTCAATATATCATTAAGACCCTTTGATAGCTACAGAGAATACACATTCCTAGCAGACGGAGACACACGACTGAATCAGCTTCAATATGTGTGAGTGTGAAATTGAGAAGAGGACACTTGATTGGAGCATCCAGAGGTGCACAGGTCCCTGTTGACATGGCAACACGCAGAGCAGACCACAGGGGGAGGTTGTAGGGGGTTGAAGCAGGTGGACTGTTCCATCTTGATCAAGAAAGAAATCAGTGTTTATTCAAAGTATTTAGCTTTATTGGTTGATTGGCTAATTAATTAGAACGAGCCAGCTGTAATCTGCTGAGACTAAGACGGGGGGAAGGGGGGCAAATAGCCAGTGAATACATGTGTGTCCCAATGTCTGTATGCTGTGAATCAGCCTGTGTGTGAGGTGGTAGTAAATATGAGAGTGATAGACTCTTGCTGGGTGCTAGGAGTCATTCATCTTTTCCATCGATCGGCCAGCAGACACATGTTCTCACTCATGAGAACAAAAGCACAAGCTTCTCAGAAGGATGAAGTCTCCATCACACCAAATTGAGCAAAAAACCAAACAAAAACAATACTATCTGGTGTCTTTTATTTTCAATCATCCAAGTTCACACTCAGGTACACACAGGGCTTCCCCACAACTTCTGGCAACATGCTGGGGACTTGCTCATGTTCAACCCAAACAATTAAAATGACATTTATTTCAATTAAATTTTGCTGAAGTAGCAAGAATTTGGTGTTAAATATATTCAACAATATGATACTATACTACTATCATCAGAAACCATTGAAGTCTTGCCACAAACAAATGAATCAGTGGTGAAGACAACATTTCAGAAACCACACAGTAAGGCTCTAGCCTCCAATATCTGAACAAATATTCATCTTTATTTAAAAAACAGAAAATTGACCTGCATCAGACTGAACAACAATGTTTCCATGGTGAAATTGTGGCATCTTCCCGGTTTCAAATCAAACTGCAGCACAATCCGGAGCCGTACGACATTGGCCTACTGATGGAGAGCTGCGTCAAGACAACCACAAACACTCAGAACAAGACCGGAATTTAATCAGTGTTGATTTCAAAATAAAAGTAATAAAACTAGAACAGTGGACAACTTGGACAACTGTTTCATTTCTGTGTTGGTTATCTGTTTTTGCAAGGTAGCGAACATTATTGTACGTAATGTTTCAGAAGTGCGAGTTTCTATGAATATTCTGCAGTCACTGTATTTCAGTGACCATGTCAGTCAAGGTGAGTTGACATGGGTAAACTGTAAAAATTATTTTGCTATAGACATGCAGTAGTCATATCTCTTGTCTCACAATAGAGCTAATGGATTAGGGCAGATATACAGGTGATGTGTGTTTAATGCAGCACTGTAATTGATGGGTGAGCTGTCCAGAGTATACATGTCTCTCTATGAGTCCAGAACAGTGGCATTCAATTTTGGCATTGAAAACAAAATCTGACAATGAAAACGTGTCATTTTCATTTCATTTTCATTGCCAAAATTGGACTGTTTGAGACCCATACCTCTCTACCGTTGTCTCCTGGGACACACACTTCTTACTGGAGCATTTGTATGTTTTGGCATTTAACATTGACTTGTTCATGTTAGTGTGTATTAACTTGAAATGTTTGAGCGGAAGTTGCCTGTATTCATGTTGCGTGTGTAGACGGTGGAAAGCATTGCTCCGTGGTGTTTGTCTGGGAAGAGTGGAGCAGCAAAACTGCTCCAGAGCCGTGTGGGGAAATAAAAGAGGAATAAGCAACATCCTATTGCACTAACCCCGCCGTGTGAGACTGGGACCGAACCTGATGGAGGAAGCTCCTCGGGGAGACCTTTCCTAGACCGCCTTGTAGGTTCCCCTGTCGGGTTCACACTTTTAATGACCGAGCAGGTACGGGACCCATGACTGGAGGGGGAGGAGCGGGCAGAGACTGCGACATCAGAGGGACTTCTAGGTCAACAGATAAATAACCTTTTAACAACATTTAGCCCAGGAAATGCTGTGGCTTAATTCAAGTGTTCTCTTTAATATTTAAGAGACTGCGGTTTGGGAAAGGGCCGTGTCATGTAGGGCAGGAATGAGTTAGTTTGTTGCTCATATCAAACCCTCTCTCCGTGTGTGACCGTCTACAATACCTTATATTTTCTCTTTAAGCTTTTCCAACCCTTCAGAGGCCTCCTGGTTTTGTCTTTTCAGACCTGAGTACAACAGACACATACTGTAATATTTGATGAATTGTGCCCTCCCGTGGTAAAGAAGAACCACAGTCTGTAGAGCCATAGTTGAGTTGTTTTTGCCCCTTTTCAGATTAGTAAATGGTAAAACTGCTGCTCTTTATTTTGTTATGAGGGAAGACAACCGTCCAGCTGAAGCAGCACATGTTGTCACTTTTGACACTTGTTTGTTTTGTTTTTTCTTGAAAAACTTTTCAACCTCTCAGTAATCTAAGTGCTGAGAGTTAGGGCCTTTGTAGACCTCCTCCTCCCATCTGTCCCTCTTCATTAGGATAACAGCCACAGTGGAGGTATGGAGGACCAGGTCCACCTGATGTCGGCTCATATTGGACTAACTGGACTGTCTCAGGAGGATGCAGGTGATCCTGACGACATAAGGAAACATCCTAACTTCGGCCAGCCGCAGCAGCACTTTGGTGACATCCTCCAGCAGATCATGGCCATCACAGAGGAGAGGCTGGACGAGGCCCAGGCCAGGTAATAACAGAGGCACAAGACCAGAGCCTGATAGAAGACAGAACATGTCATCACAGTGTCCCTCTATAATATTATAAAAACAGCCCCCACCCCCAATACTGCTGAGGACCACTAACCATGAACAACTTTAACTCCACATACCTGATCAACAAACAAACACCTGCCACCTGTAATCCAACAGAAACCAGTGCCAGATAATGCCTATCAAACTGAAGAGGTTTTATGTTTTACAGGACAGGCACCTTGAAATTCACAGTTTATCATAATAGTGATTATTTACCCCAAAATGTCTATAGACACAGAGTATGTTCTCCTCCTCTCTTCTCTTCTCTCCTTCTCTCTTTCCTCACTAAGGTGAGAGAGTTCAGGTGAATTGGACAGACATGTGCTCAGGCCTGTTTTCAGTCAAAAGGCCTAAACAGGTCTGGTTTCACACTCAGTTCAGCACTAACTTGCTTTGTGTCTCCATGATCTATTGTTGTTGGATGACAGTGCCTGTAGCATGTAGACTGTAAAGCTACCAAATGATGTAACACGCTGTTTTCCTGCCTTTCATTTCCATACAAGGAAACACGCTCTAAACTACCACAGAATGAAACCAGCCCTCTTCAGTGTCCTGTGTGAGATGAAAGAAAAGACAGGTAAGTTTTCCATTTGTCACTTTTTATTTGTTTTATTTTTATTTTTTTTTACATAAGCCAGTGAAGAAAAAAGGTTGCATGCTGATAAGGTTAGGTTCTTTCAGTACAGTCATGATTGTAGTTGGGATTAACCCCAGAGTTTACATGCTGATACATTATGTTGAACTTTCTGTTTCAGGCTTATAGGTATTTCATCAGATGAGGTCGAATTGTGATATAATGATAAGGGTTTTAAAAGGGGAAGTAATATTAATTTTATAATATTTTGAAGATGTAATTCACTGTCATTTATATCTTTGACAGTGAGTCTTATGATGACACATCTGCAACAGAGACTGAGAGAGAGATCGGAGACAGATAAGCAGATTTTATATTAGTCCAGCTACATTTTCCCAGCCTTCTTATCACCTCTTGCGACTTGTTATTAATGCGTTGTCTCTCTTTCTCCCTCTCTTGCTCTTGTGCTCAGTGTGTCGCACTCTCGCGCCTTCAGAGTGTGGTGGGATTTTTCTAAAACTCATCCTCTGCTGGCTGCCTTGGTGATTTTTGGTGATGACCTCCTCCATATGCTCAGATGGTGAAAAGGCTAGAAGCACTACTGCTGGAGGAGCGTCATAACAACAGACGCATTTGACTGAGAAATTCATGGGAGCAACAGGATCGTCAGAGAATCTGGGTGATTAATGTTGGGAGGTTAAGATGATGTGATGTTGAAGTAGCTCTCATTTCTTGTGATTTACATGGATAAACTGAGCAGTGTCGGGATGGTTGATACAAAGATTTATAGCTAAGAAGATCTAAATATTAGGTCTTGACTTAGGTATCCTCATTCAGTCCCACCCCACTGATGCACAGCAGTGGTTCTGAATTTACAGTAAAGGGACTTTACTTCACTCTTGAGTGGAGCGCTCCTTCCACACGAAGCACAGGGAAGTGTGAACTACACAGAAGGTTATTATTGCCTCATTTCATTCACTTCACAGGGGAAGCCGGAGGTTGGCAGCAGGAGGTTTAGAGCGTTTCCAGTGCAACTTGTTGTCTACCATCTAGCTTTTTCACACCCTCACAGCTTGAATTTACAGAATTCAGCCCCAAGTCAATTTGCACCTATTGAGGATGTAATTCTTTAAAAATGGGTCACGTATATATAGTTTGATTTTTCAAAAGGGGTGTGTAATTTCTTAGGTTAGTTTCTTTGGTTTTCTCTAAAAGTTACTCCAACAGAAGTGAACAGAGCATTTGTTGGGGACTATTTTCAGCGGTGCATTAACACACATTTTGTGCTTAATTGAGTTTTTATGGCAGCAGGACACTGTATGAGGGATCGACTTAAAATAAAGTGGCCTTGTTCATGGTAAAGAATTTTAGTCCAACTGTGTGCCTCGCTGACGTGTTTTTAAAGGAATAGTTCAACATTTTGGAAATTACACTAATTGGCTTTCTGGCAGAAAGTGAAATGAAAATGGATACCATTCTCACATGTCACATCATAGCCAGCAGCCAGTTAGCTTAGCGTAGCATAAAGGCTGGAAACAGCTACGTGGACACTGTGTGATGCTTACACTTCGTTTCTTTGGAGGCTAACTTGTGTGAAAAAGGTGATGGGCAGTTGTTGTTACCTTTTCTTTGTCAATGGTACGTACTCATCGGTGTAACACGTCACATGACTGCAGCAGTCGCAAACACAACCCCCTCATCTGGATATATCTGCCTATGTCCCTAGCGTCCTGTTTCCTCCTCTTTTCCCTCCTTCCATACACCTTCGTCATGTTATTCCCCATATAACACACCATTCGTTATCATCCCCACAAAATAGGACAGAGGCAAAAGACAGAGCGCTGCAAACACGGGAGGTGCGGACAGGAAAAGAAACAAAAAGAAGGAGAGATATAGTGAGAAGAATATGGTCAGGGATGGACAGATTGATGGATGAGTTGGACGTGGAGGCTTTAATAGTTGTCTTTCATGGTTTGGCAAACAGTTGATTATCTCTAGACCCCAGAGTCCTGTCAGTACAAACAGACTCTCAGTGGGGGACAGTTCACCGCCCACGGCCCCAACTGAACTCACAAAGCTGGATTTACTCTGCCACTGCTCATCTCCGCTCAAACTGTGTGCGAGTGTCTGTGTGAATGTTTGCCCAGTGTCAGGCGGTGGGGCAGTCTTGTAGGCCGGCTCAAACTAATTATGGATTAATTAACTTGAATAGGACCTCACCTCCTTCAAATACCAGTGATTCTCTCTCTCTCTCTCTCACCCACTCTGTGGCTGTCCTCACTTTCCTCACACAACTGTTTGGTTATACAGTCAGTTGCCGGTTTATTAGGTACACCTTGCTAACAGTCCAATACAATAGTCCTACAATACATCCTACCTTCTTTAATCGTCACAATGTGAAGGTTTTGTTTAAATGTTTTTACGAGAGTGTTAATTCAACTTCATGTTCATTTTGGAGGCTGCAGTTTATGGCTCTCTTGAATTGTGTGTTATATTCAAAAGTTAAGTCTTCTCAGACTTCTTAGTCATATTAGAAACTCTCAGTGTAACACAATAACAACACAGTATGAAGTAAAAAAACATATTTTTACCTTGTTTCTCACATATGTCAGGTTGTATTGATCAACCTCCTTTTTTTCTTGTGGTTGGGATGTTGGAAAGTAGGGATGTGTAATTGAAAGAAGAAGGGAAAGGGGAGTGTAGACATGGAGCAGCATGTCTTTGTAAACTGTAACTCCCCCTACGACCCCTCTTTATCCATACTTCTGAGACACAGGGTGATCCTCTTTGTAATCTGCAGCCATGTGAGTCACTTATACATGTGCACATTCAGGACATTTATGTTGACTGTACTGGCATGTTTGTGTGTGCGTGTGTGTGTGCGTGTCTGCGTGTGTGCGTGTGAGTTGCTGTCTTTTATAGTATGATGTTAATCTGCCATGTTGTCATGGGTTAGGAGCAGTGTTCAAATTCTCAGAAATAACATCATATCGTTATCATCGTTATCCAGTGCAGTGCACTTGTAGTAGTATCGCTTGATACTTGTCTGATAGAGGGGTAAAAACTGTGTATATCTGTGTGTGTGTGTGTGTGTGTGTGTGCGTGTGTGTGTGTGTGTGTGTGTGTGCGTGTGTGTGTGTGTGTGTGTGTGTGCGTGTGTGTGTGTGTGTGTGTGTGTGCGTGTGTGTGTGTGTGTGTGTGTGTGCGTGTGTGTGTGTGTGTGTGTGTGTGTACTGTAGAGGTGAGCCAGATGCAGAAGCTGTCATTGGCCTCATTATGGGATTATCAATGTGAGTCGATCCGTGGAACTACCTTGTAATTGCCTCCCAATTTGCATAACAGTGCAAATTAATGACCTCTCAAATGAGCTCTCATTTTTCACAGGATCTTTAGTCACTCCTTAAGAACTGTCGTTAATTATGGCTGTGTGTGTGTGTGTGTGTGTTTGTGTGTGAGTGTGAGTGTGAGTGTGTGCAGGGATACTTATGTATGTGTGTCTTTTTTTTGGTTCAGGGATGCCAAGGAAATCTGGCATCGCTACCATAGTAACAGCTACTGTTTCTCTTTTCTTAAACCTCGCCCCATGTCAGTGTGTTTTTCTTGTCTCTATCCTCTCCTCTCTCACTCCAGTAGCCCCAGTGAACAGACCAACAGATGCTGCTTTAGACTTGATCTCCACTACTGCCGACAGCAAACACGCCCCCACAAACAGTGCTGGAGCCTTCTCATAACATCCAGTGTTTATGTTGTTGGCTCTTCCTATTAAACTAGGTTTCCCTGAACTTCAGCCACGCTGTCTGCTTAGACTGTGTGTCTGAACCAGTGAGGAGTTGTTCTAGCAGTGTTACTTGCTTTGTAGGTCATTCTAATGTAGAGATCATCAAGTGGCCGTCGTTATGTGTTGTCTTGGAAGAGACTGGGCCAAACCTGTCTAGAGCATGTGAGATTAAGAACTGGAGTTTGTCTCTTGAGTGCCTAGCGGTTGATACATTTTCTACCTTGTGTTTGAGCAAACAAATGGGAGGAAGGACCAAAATAAAAGAACCTGAACACATAGTGTGGAAATAATGTATGTGGGTTCAAGTATTGAGAGCTACTGTGCCCTCTGCTGGTTGCAAAGAGGAACTGTAGTTGTGCTCGAAAAGACTCCATCAAATCCCTGTTTGTGCTGGTGCGTTGCACAAAAAGTACTACAAGTAATGCCGTATGCTGTAGTGTGCAGAGTGAAAAATGCCAATGTGAAGAAAAGAGAAAACATTGTACACCAAACCACAAACAGTACGTCACGTTTGATTCATGAGATCCTTTTATTTCTTCATCACAAAGTGGGTACACAGCATGACACAATGACTATATTTGTCCTTCAAAGTGTAATAAAATAGTTCATCAGAGTGATATAAAAACTGCAAAGAAGCTACTAATTATGCAAAAATATCTTATTTATCCATTTATATTGTACACACTGAAACATGCTACTTACCAACAGGAATTACAGTGTTTGGAAGCATCTTAAAAATTGGACTGAATGCCAGTGGGTTGTGTGCATAGTGTTTATTGACGCTATGTGGCTGTATAAACTTATCCTCATGCAGCGTGCATCCTGAGGCAGGATTTCTGAATTAGCATTACAGTGTTACATAAGCACAATATACAAGGTTATTATTCTGCTTCCCATTTCCCTCGGCTCTTTTCACCCTTTAATGTCTTTTGTTGAGTTTCACTCTCTTCCCAGTGCTATTGATCATAATTTGTGGCAATTTTGAGCATATAAAACTTGATCTCTGGATGACCCAGGTAGAATATCCAAACATTTTTGCATTGCCAATCAAGGCCCCTTGAAAAAAAAAGAAAGAAGGATTAAATCACACCTGATGAGGCCATGACAGTTTCTGTACATCTCCACAGCCCTGAGTATCCGAGGCATCCAAGAAGAGGAGCCTCCAGACCCTCAGATCATGCGACTGGACAACATGCTGTTAGCGGAGGGGGTTGCGGGTCCTGAGAGGGGCGGGGCCTCTGCAGCGGCAGCAGCTGTTGCAGCAGCGGCTGGAGGATCGCCCGATGATGGGAACTTTGAAGACGCAGACTACAGAGAGAAGCTTGCTCAGATACGACAGATCTACCACACTGAGCTGGAGAAATATGAACAGGTTTGATATGTCAGCAAAAAAGTTAGAAGAGGTTTTACAGAAACTTTAGGACAAAAATTCTCAGTAAAGCTTTTAAGGTAGGAAAAAATACAGTTGTTTATTGCAATAATTATAGAATAATTACAATGTAACATATGACTGAGCTACCATTTTTTCTAAATATAGTATTTTTGTTTTTTATTATTTTGGTCAGTGTATGGCTCAACAACACATGTGTGAGTATGTTTGAATCCTTTCTTTGTCCTTCTCTCTCGCCATCACACCTGATCTACTCACCCCTCCTCGCATGCAGGCCTGCAGTGAATTCACCAACCATGTGACGAACCTGCTGAGGGAACAGTCCCGCACACGACCCACCTCACCCAAAGAGAACGAGCGACTGGTGGAGATCATCCACCGCAAGTTCAGCGCTATCCAGTTGCAGTTAAAGCAGAGCACATGTGAAGCTGTCATGATCCTCCGCTCCAGGTTCCTGGATGCCAGGTTGTTTATCTCCCTGACTCCTCTCGACTTAAGTCTTCCAGTGTGTGTCAAAGTGTATTTACAACCCGGTGAAGAAGAGTATTGGCTGTTTTCTGACAGTTACATGTTGCAATCGACACTTTTCTGACAGGCGGAAACGGAGAAACTTCAGCAAGCAGGCGATAGAGATTTTAAATGAATATTTTTACTCCCACCTGGCAAACCCCTACCCCAGTGAGAAGGCCAAGGAGGAGCTGGCCAAGAAGTGCTCCATCACTGTTTCTCAGGTCAGGGCATCAAAAACACACTGAGGAAAAAAGAAAACTTTGGAACATAAAGAAATGAATGAAGCACAGATTTAATACTTGGACGTGGTTTAGTGTAATGAATCAAGATGAATCTCTTGGCTTGTAATTTACCTTCTTTTTTTTCTTTTTTTTTTTTACCTCTCTAACTGTCTCAGGTGGCCAACTGGTTCGGAAACAAGAGGATTCGGTACAAGAAGAACATCCTAAAGTTCCAGGAGGAGGCTAATCTGTATGTCATGAAAACAGCTGTGGATGCTGCTAGTGTTTCTTCACAGACTAGCCAAGCCACCTCCCCAGCCACACCAAACTCAGGTGCAAACACACACACACACACACACACACACACGTGCACCTTAGTTGCGCTTTCTGCCTGGTCTGACTCATGTCATCATGAAATCTGTCACTTAGTACCTTTACATGCACACTGGTCTCTGTCATGCCTTCTCCTGGTTTTAATCACATTCAGGATATGGAATATAATAAACCTGGTTATTATCTGTGGAGGAGTGTCTTTGCAGCACCCCAGCAGAATGTGGGCCCCTTTCTGTTGAGTTTGTGGTTGTGTTTTAGTGTTTGTTAGGTATTAAAATGTGTGTGTGTGTGTGTGTGTGTGTGTGTGTGTGTGTGTGTGTGTGTGTGTGTGTGTGTGTGTGTGTGTGTGTGTGTGTGTGTGTGTAAAATCTGCTAACCCAAACCCAGCCTTTGAGGAACCATCTTCTCACTTTCTCCATGTGAGTAGCTACATAGTTACACACTGTTGCTATAGTTACACACTCCCCAACTGAGTAGTCATGGTAACAGCCTTTCCCCGCATTTGCATGTGGTACGATGTGACACTTTGTCTATACCCTATCGACGTAGTTCTTTTACATACTGTATACTGCACTGTATCACCCACTGACCCTGAACACTAGATTGTTGTTGAGCATTAAAGGAAACATTCACACTAAAATGTAATTCTGTTAAAAAGCGAGGAGGTTATTGACTGTGCACCTTTTAGTTACTGATTGGTGTTTTTTTAGTTAATGTTACGGAGAATTTAAATATAATCATAATAATCAGATTATTTACGCATTTAAGTGGATGCAACAAAATAACTTTTAATATTTTTTTTATTTAAAATTATGCACTGAACTTGACAGATGTATACTTTAACACCGTCAGTGAATGTGAGGGTACATTTTTCCCTTTACAGTTAACATCCTGTCCCACTCTGAATGTCCTCTGCAGGTTGCTGGTGGCTGGCAGGACAGTGATGATCCCTCCTCCCACCTCCCCTCACCCGAGCACCAGGCAGGTTGTGCTGTCACCTCCACCTGATGTTGTGCTGTCCCCTCCCTACTCCTCATCCTGCTCCTCGATCTAATACAAACTCAGACTGTAGGCTGACCTCCAGCTGAGCCATAATCAGACTCTCCAACTCCTTTTTAAAACATTGTTTTTTTGGTGCTGATCCTATCCTCTGCCTCTCTCTACGAGTTTTTCACCCTTTCACATTTAAACAAATAATAATACATAATAATTACTCGTCACATTTTTATTCTCATTAAAAAATAGGTCACTGATGACAACAATTTTTTTCTAAGAAATACTGCTTCACTATTAAGGGTTGTGGACTATGTAGTCATGTTTAGATGTTGAATTAGGATAGTCTTTTTTTCTTTTTCTTTTTTTTCTTTTATTCCTTTTTTACATTTTTTATAAGAAAAATGTTGTGATAGAAAATGTACAAGCGCAGCGCAACAACCAAACCAAAAATGAATAAACACATTGTCACTTATTACATTTTTGTATTCTCTGTTGTTTTGGGATATATTTGCTTCTATTTATTCTGTAAATACTATATTACATATTAACAGGTATATATTTCTTAAATGCTTCTGAAGCAACCAAACTGAAGAGGCTTTAGACCCAGGGGACCAGGCCTAGTTTGTTGTGTACATGTGCACACCTGAACTACTAAGCCAGTATTAATAGTTATATCCAGTTTCAGGTCATACATGACCTGTGAGACCATGTGTTCCCTCTAGTGTTGGGCGCCGTCACCACATCTAATTGGCTTCTGGACATTTTCGTTTTTCCAGCCTAACTACGTTCACCAAATATAATTTACTCCACAATCTGCTGTTTTCTCTTCTCTGTTTTCTCTTCTTTGTTTTTCTAGCTCCTTTAGTTTTATCCTCAGTGGTGAATGTCAACAATTCCTGACTCCTAATAAACAGAGAAGAGGCTTCAAATCTAGCGTTAGATCTGAATCAGATGAATGAATGAATGAATGAATGGCATTTATCTTCTATAGAAAACTGCTGAGATACACGTTTTGAATGCAGTGAGTGTCACAGCTTCTAAGTATGAAAAGGGCTACTTAAAAAAACATCACTACAAATGTACTTAATACAATATATTGTGATTTTGATTTGACAATACAATGTACACATAGGATGATGATGTAATTATAATTATATAACATCCTGAATCTTAGAAGGCTATTATTTAATTATTTAAAATGACACCACACTCCTTAAAAGTCATAATATCTGGTCTAGGTAAACCTGTAATGTTACATTGTCCAGAAATGTATTGTATTAACAGAGTGAGAGTGAGTAAAAATCACGTTCACAAGATCACGTTCCTCTCAGTGATTTCTGATGGTGCTTTGGTGTTTTCATCAAGTTTTTTACAGTTTGTTTTTCATTTTCAAAAGCATTATTTCAGAATATTCTCCAGCTTTGCTTCAGCTGATTCACTCACGGCTTAAATCTCAAATTCTGTGATAAAAACGGGACAAAAAAAAAAAGGACAATTGTACTTTGACAGTCCTTTGAATTCCTTTTTCACCAGCCGCTATCACTGCATGCCCAGTGGTCAATACAGACACATGGAGTGTTTGGCTGGAGTCAGATCATTTTCTTGGAAAGCGAAATAATACTCTGAAGACTTAAGTGAGGAAATCAATGTCCCTGTGTACTGCAATCAAAATCAAATCAAAATCAAAAATGATTTAAATTCCAATTCCGATTTAAAGTCCAGCTTTTGTACTTTTCATCAGTATGTTCCCTATAACTTCTGTACGCTGTAATATCAGAGACATGAGATATTTGTTAACATTTAGCCTGCTCTCTGGATAACAGTCAGGCACACCAGACAAGTTCAGATTTTGTAAACAAACAATTATTAGTTCAAAAATGTATAATTCTTTCTTTGCAAAAACACAATGTTGCAGTGAAACGCTTCATACGTGACTGGTACTTGTAGACAGTGTTTGAATAAGGGAAGGGGTAATGGTAAACCAGGGGTTAAAGGTCGAAAGTGATTGTATGTAAAAGAGACGGAGGCAGTCAGAGAGAGACAGAGAGGTTGCACACTGTGGGGAAAGTGGGATTGTTCTCTGCTCATCATGGATTTATCACCTGGGGCTCTGATCCTGTGTTCTCTGTTATGTTCAGGTAATGAATCTGATTTAATTTTAACAGCAGAGAAACATCTGCTGCAACATGGCTGCTTTAAGCAGATGTGTCTTTCATCTTGACAGTTTTTCTGTTAAGATGCTTAATGTCTGTAGAGATGTTTATAATTTTTGTACTTCACACAAACTGGTGCTCACACAGCAAAAAAACTTCAACAGCTGTGTTTCTCCATTACTCTGGATAACCCACATTCCTCCCTGTCAACAGCTTTTTTTGGAACCACTTTCTATTTTAAAAATTGATTCCCTTTGAGTCTCTTTTGCGTTTTCTGGATTATCTAGAATAATGGGGACATTTCTGGAAAGACACATTATTGTATATTTTTTAAAATGTAATTTTTAATCCACAAATGAAGTAGAAAACTTGAAATCTGGGCAAATCAAACGAAAACAATCTGCATGGTCACCATTTTTGTCACTTGAATAAACCAGCCTTTGACATAGTGATATAAAAGTTTTTTATCAAAGTGAAAATATTTTAATATTCCTCTTTAACACGTCATGTCAGAGAGGAATGTCTTTCTTTGAGAGAACTTAGTTGTTTTTTTCTATATTTTTCTTTTTTGCTTTGTCATCAAATAGCACTTTTGTTCAATCCGTCTATTTGCTCAGGTTGTTTGCTTTGGGGTGGCGTTTGTTTACACTGTATTTTACCCAGGCCTGTCTAAAGGTTCACAGACTTGCATTGTACATGTGTGTGTGTGTGTGTGTGTGTGTGGTATTACCAGTCCTCATCTTTCTGTGCAGTGGCTGGCCAGGCTCCCGTCGTCTCAGTGCAGCCTCGGACTGCTACTGTGCGCCAGGGGGAGTCTGTCAGCTTTAGGTGCCAAGTGGGCAGAGGTGCACAGCCAGTCCAACTGGAGTGGAAGAGAGCCACCAACCAAGCATTACCAGGTCAGGAGTGATAACATGTAAGCATAAGCATTGCTCTCACATTATCACCTCCTGTGAAGTTTAACTGAATTCTGTTTTTCCTGCAGACAATGCAAAGCTCGGTCCTGATGGCTCTGTGCTGACGGTTGCTAACACCCGACCTGGTAACCAGGGCCAGTACCGCTGTGTGGCATCCAACTCTGCAGGCCGCAGCACTGCCACAGCTGTGCTGAATGTCAAACGTGAGCTTGTCTTCACATTTCAGATCTCCACCTGTGTGTGCGCAGTGGCAAAGCTATAAACTCTGGGGTCAATGAAAGATTATTTCATCAGGGCTCCCTTTTTATCAAAAATAGAAAAATAGTCATTTTCTATTAGACTTTCAACTTCAGTTTAGTTTTTTTTTCAGTTTATATTTTTAGATTTATTTTAAATAATAATTTAATAATAATAAATAATTATTAATAATAATTATTTTATTTAAAAATATATTTTCTTTACAAATGTATTTCAGTGGTAGTGCATGAACATAATACAGTCTAGCACAGTAATACAAGATGGAAAAAATTCTTGGACTAGACTAAAATGTTCAACCTTTCATTAAATAATCTTCTGATGACTAAAAAGCTGAAATGTCAAGTGTTTCAGTCGACTGAAAACTGACTAAAAATAAAAAGGATGAGGTTGACTAAATATGACTAAAACTAACATGGACTTTTGATCGATGGACTAAGACCTCCAGCTGTGGACCCCTGACGCATTTACTGCACTGAGTGTGTGTGTAAATGCATCAGGTATTATTTTAGAACAGTTGTTTTGACTTTACTGTTCTTTTCACCTGTATATCACCTGTGTGAGTGTGACCATGTGAAAACAATGTGAAGGGGTATCTGGCAGTGATGAACCTACAGAGAATTATCACCCAAATTTGGAGCTTCCTGAGGCTTTATGGAGCCTCATAGTGATTTTCAACATAGTGTAACTTTATTGTTTTGGCTCTCATTGCGTTCATAGCGTCTTTTTCTGCTGCAATAAAGCTCTAAAAACTCATTGTACACTACCTGCTCAGCACCAAACAGCAGGCTGACACCATTAGAGACTAGATGATGAACATAGTGGAGCATTTAGCAGCTAAAAAGCTAAAAGATATTTTCCTGAGGAGTTGGTAGAGACCAAAGCAGAACTAAAAGAGAGTGAATATTAGATTTACATTTGCCAGGTGTCCAGAAACACAACTCCAAATGGGTGTGTAAATAAGCAGCTTCTTGCTAACAAGTTCATAATATCAATTTAAAAGGTCATGAAATGTCAGTGTTGTGTTTACAACTTCTTTCTGCTGCCCCTGCAGGTTTAATGTATCAGTCATGTCCCTGTGTCCCCTTCTCAGATGCTCCTAAAGTGCGGCTGACACCAGCAGGGCCCCTGCGGGTGAGGATGGGTGTCCCTGTGTCAGTGGAGTGTCGCGCCACAGGCAGGCCACACCCCACACTGACATGGAAACGCCAAGGCTCCACTCTGCAGCTGGTTACCGCGGAAACAAACGATGTCAACACCATAAAGGTGAATTATGGACACGTGCTTAAGTAATATTTTAATAATTTCTTTCTTTCTTTCTTTCTTTCTTTCTTTCTTTCTTTCTTTCTTTCTTTCTTTCTTTCTTTCTTTCTTCATTTTTAATTGAATAAATATAACATCATAATTGTCATCTCTTTCCTCAGTGGGCTGCAGTGCGTCCAGAGGATGCAGGAGTTTATATTTGCCAGGCTGTGAACAATGAAGGGGTGACAGAGGTCAAAGTTGAAATCATTGTTGAGGGGGGGGCTGGAGCACCAGTGGCTGTAGTGAGCAACACTGAAATGACAGTGGTGGAGGGACATGTAGTCACAATGGAGTGTCAGGCCAGTGGTAAGATATCAGCATGTTTAAATATGTCCCAGTTCTGCTCTCACTTCTCATTTTCATTTTGTCCTTGCTTTCTCTCTTTCCCTACAGGTTCCCCTCCTCCAGTCATCACCTGGTCCAAGCTCCGAGCACCGTTGCCATGGAAACACACATTGGTTGGCGGTGTTTTGACGCTGACCAGCGTGGGGCGCCAAGACTCGGGACAATACATCTGTAATGCGACCAACATACACGGCTACAGTGAAGCGTACACGCAGATGGAGGTGGAGAGTGAGTGGACAAAAGACAGTAGCACTGATAACGCACGTCCATATTCTTTGTCACTGTACAGGTTAAGAGTCATTGTCTTTCCCTCATACAGCTCCTCCATATGCCACCTGCCTGCCCGACCAGGTGAGACTGCAGCCCGGCGACTCCCTGCGCCTGCAGTGCCTCGCCCACGGCTCTCATCCCATCCAGTTCGTGTGGAGTCGGGTGGGCAGGGGGAGCCTGCCTGCAGGGGCAGAGACCACAAAGGATGGAAGGCTGCTGATAGCCCACGTTAAACTGGGTGACAGTGGAACATACAAATGTGTTACCACCAACCACATCGGCTCCAGTGAGGCACTGGCCAAAGTCATCATAAAGGGTGAGCTTCATACTTGGCTAGTTTAAAGTCCATCAAAATAACTGATCTGACGTTGTCCTCTTTCTTTTATTCTCTAATCTTGTCTCTTCTCCATCTTTGATTTTTTTTTTTTACAGCTTAATCCAATGTGGTCACACTGTGTCTGATTGACAAACCATCTATGCAGCGCTTACAATTTCTGCAAGCCTGGATCCATCATGGTTAATACTGAAAACAGAGATTATATTTAATAGATTCATATATATGTATGAAGGACAAAGATATCAATGCAGTTTAAATGTTTGGTATTATTGTGCATATGGGGTTAATTTTGTACTTTTATAGAAAATTGACACTGTTGCTATTGTTGCTCCTATCTCATATCTGCCTTTGGAAAGCTTTTCTCTGAAACTCCTGCAGTGTGTGTGGGAGTTGTTTCTTCTGCTGGAATGCCTCTGCACCCTGTCTTTTCCTCCCTTTATGTCATCTGCTGAATTTACACTGTTGCACTTTCAAAACTGAAAGGATCGAGGGCACAAAACAAACAAAAACCTGATTTACTAAAAAAAAAAGAAGCCTTTATTATGCCATTAAATTACAAACTCAATAAAGATGAAAATATTTTACAAAGTTGTTGTTTACAGTGTATCCAAATTAGGGACTGTACAAAAGTCATTAGTGGGGGAGGGGAGTCTGCAGTGTGGGAGGTTGCTGTACGTCCTTGTACTTCCTTCCCTTTCAATATAGTTAATAGTTACATAAAGAGTTAAATCAAAATATTTATACCAAAAAGATAAACTTTACTTTGTGCACAGGATAGACATCATGTCCTCACCTTGTTAACATGTCCATATGGTTTTTTTTATCATCAGCAAAATAAGCAGTCGACGCCATGATTGAGTATTTCCACCTTGGAACTGCCGTGAACCAACGACAGTCTCATAAAAACAGATTCAGACAGCCAAGGATTCATACGTCACATAACCTCAGGAGCCAATCCCGTCAACCTTGTCAGTACCAGAACCAGAGTTTGCATTAGTACAACCACTAACTCTGTGTCTGCCACTGCCAGTTACAAGCTAAGAAACGATGCTAACTACTCTTACCATTCGATACGTCTGCTAGTCACCGATTTCGGTGCACAGCAAACTCCTCATCTGAGTCTGGGTCTGACTGAGGCTCGAACATGTAGCTGAGTCTCTCCGATGTTTCCTGCACTAACTATCTGGATACTCACTGCTCTTTCACCTGTCAACCTTGGACAAGCAGTGGTGGTGGGCGGGGCATGAGGCCTGATCCAGAATTTCTCAATAAGGAAGTAAACATAGATGCGACTCCAGCCACTTTTCACCCGGTTTTTGTTGTACGTAAAATAAAATATTAATCACAGCATGTTATTTTTACATAGTTTCAAACATGTCTGGAGGGGAACTTTAACTGTGCACATAATGCTTTTTGAAGCACCCCTACCCCTCCCCAACCTAGTAATTTTCATACAGTCCCTTTATGTTTAAAGTTTGCTGTCATTGTGCAATGTGAATGCCTTTACATAGGAAACAATGTACAACTGATGTCAAATCTGAGCATCGCTTTAACCACATGGTGGCAATATGTAGCTTTAAAGCAAATATGTTGTCTTCAGGCCAGAGAAAAGCAATCTGAGCCCTCACGCCCTTAACAACTGGAGGGACAGATGCAGTACACAGTCAAACAAGCTATTGTTTTCCACTAGAATACATGTCATCATTAATTTGAAAAAAAAGCTAAAATATCTGGCTGATCATTGCACCCCTTTGTGTAAATATGGACTGTAAACCCCTCGTGAACAGGCAAAGTTCAGTTTGATCAGACAAGCGTGTTGCAAAATGACGCACTTATGGTTATACTGGTTACAAAAAATTTAAAGCAGCTCTGCCTAAATGAGGTGTTAGCTCGACATTTAGGGTTTGTGGCTGCAGCAGAAGGGTTGAAAGAGAGCTACCATTACAGAACTGAGCCTGTATCTGCTGTGTGTGATTGGGGCCTCCCTCGTAAAACGCCCCACCTCCAACGAGTAACAGGATTTTACCCTTTCTGCTATTCCTCCCTCTATCTTTACAAGCATCTTCAAAGCTGGGAAAGAAACATCTGCCCTCTGTCACCTCATTCCACCCCCTCACTTCACAGACAGACCGAGGGGTGGAGGGAAGATCAAGAGAACAAAATAAATGCACTACAGAGGATAGTAGAGGAGGCAAATCCACATATATTTTTAACTTAGAGTGGTAAATAACCAGTAAGGTGGAGAGGACAGAAGGAATGTATCAGCGGCAGAGAGGAAACTGTCATTAAATCTGCCCTCCTTCTCTGTCTGTGTGTGCCTTTGTATACATATTAACTAGATGTGGACATATGCTCTCTAATGGAGTCTGATGTAAACAGAAAGATTCATAGGAGTTCAAATGACGGTCCAGAAATAGGATTTGCGCACACACTCACACAGATAGTTTGTCACAATTTCAGAAGCATTACATTAGTTTACATTACTGTAGGTGTACACAGCAGTGCTACATTTACTCTGGACCACATGTTGCTTATGTTAGCCTTAAGAGGCCAGGAAAGAAAAAAAACAGGTCAGTTTCCTGGCTGTATCAGTCAGCACAAAAGGAGATTAACATGCTCCCAAATATTCATTTTTCTTCACATTCTATATTCCAGTAATAATTGAAAAGTGTTACTGCTTTTGGACTAATGTGAGGTCCCTGCATTGATAATATGGAGAAACCAGATCATTCAGGAAGGAACCAATGAGGTGAGAGCTTCCTCAGGAAATGACAGGTGGAAGGGGGGCGCCTGTCAAGTCTGTTGCTATGGTTTCCACTGGGCCAACTCGCAGTGTGGCAGCAGTACGTAGAAACAGAACAGTTTTTCCAGGAAGGCAGGCTGATGGGGTAATACAGAGCTGCCTGTAGAGCCTGTTGTGTTTTAGCATAGCTCACATAGTGTCAATAATATGTTTGGTCAAATGTCATAAACAGAAAGAGGAAGTAAGTGTGTTCTCACCTTTTCTCTGATCTGAATGGAGGCTATATGAAAGTGCTTAGAAGCCCAACCTTGACGAAGATGACGATCCCAACCAAGGGGTCAGGACGCTCAGGGGGTCCTAAGGTAAATCTGAGGGGTCACAAGACAATTTTTTGTTTTGGTGCCTTCTGCCCAGCACTAATCAGCAGACAGACAAAGTCAGAGACTTTCCTCAGAGCTAAAATGAGAGGGAATTTTGAACTGACATTCATCAAGTTACCACAAACACATCTCCAAATGAATGATAATGTTTATCTGTAACTGCTGGATGTGTAAATATCCATTTATATTTACACTTTAACGTGTTCAATACACCAACTTTATATGGTCATAATATGTCAAAAACTGTGACAAGAGCTCTCAAGTAGACAATGCTTTATCTACCACTGCACAGGCCAATATATCGTGGGAAAATGTTGATTTCATACTTTGCATAAGAGCTTGCATATGCACTGTGAGCGTCTACTCTTTGCTGCATCTGCTGTTTCTGTTCTCGGTAGTAAAGCATTGTATTTTCACACCTTTTCAAACACCATCGACAGACACAAGACCTGGAACAAAACAAAAGTTTATCTTGGTTTGATGATGTGATTTATTTTGAATCTTTTTAAACTTTTTTTCCGGATTATATTTGTTTTTCAGACTTAAAAGTAGAGTTGCAAATGAAAACACAGCCGGCTCCATCTGGCTACAAAGAAGCTGCTGCTGGTTGTTGCTGGGCACCATAAACACTAACTGTCAGGCTGTTCTGTGATCATGGCATTGAGCTCTTCTTGAAACTCAAACCACAAAACAAGCTCAGCGTATCACATGTAGTGCAAACACACATTTACTAGCCCGCTCTTCTTATTTATGACATTATGTCACTGGTGTTTGTGGTATTAGGAGGAAGCCACTTGAGGTTGAGAAAATGGCAGTACTTCTGGTTAAAAATACACGGTATAAAAGCAGAAGAAAGAGGGAGGCATGCAGACTCATCGAAAGCCACAGAAGAGTAAGCTTGGTACAGCATGTGCAGTACATCGCTCTCGTGACTTAATCTGTCTGTTAAACACAACAACATATATGTTTTTGTATGGTTTAGTCTTTTTTATTGTTACTAAGCGCTTTACAAAATAAAATGTGCTGATAAAACAACAGTAAACCAACACTTACATGAGAATGAATGAAATCAGCTATTTTCTTTGCTATTTTTGTGACTGCTATTTTGGGGATATAAATCATTAAACTAATGGTTTTTGTAGTGACCCACCATCAATAATAATGACATATGAAAACATAATTATCAGGTAATTTACGGTAATTAAACTACAAAAAAGATATGAACATGAGTAATGTTGAGGCAGTTCTGTACATTGTCACTAAGAGAGCCTGTACAACCCATGAACTCTCTGTAACCTGATGTATTTTGTTATTATATATATTATATGCTATTTTAATATGATGAAGTTTTATTAAGTTAAGAGTTAGGACTATCTGACTGGAGCAGCAGATATAGACACAACATCTCTGTGGCAGAGATAGAAATGAGTAGGAACAGGAATAAATAGGAAAAAATATTAGAAAAGTAAATATACAAGACGAGAGAGAAAAGAAAAGGGTGTGAGAGGGAGAGGAAAGAGGATATTGCAACTGAATGGATGGCGACATTGAAAGTTGAATCTCCTTAGTTTTCAGTCTTAACAGTATAGTCAGCTATGTTCCCCTTTCCACCACTGACTGAATGGTGGAAAGAAAAATAGTGTGAGAGAGTCGACCATGAGTTGGTGAAAAACCAGTGAAAAGCTTCAAAACTCTTTTCAAAAGCTTGTCTGTCTCTGTGCCCCACTGAGTCTCAGGATGTAAACAGCAACTGCAACTGTGTGATTATGATCCATCCACTGTGTTTCCATATGGAAAGATCCTGTTTGTGTGAGTGTGTGTGCCAGCGGTTCCAGGCACTAACATTTGTTCATCTGTCAGTATCATACAGCTTTAAAACACAGTACTAAGACTTTCCACCACACTAGTGTGATGCAACAGTGACGCAACTTTCACATACAGTTCGCCATGGCGATGAATGCTTTTATCCTCGATAAGAGATTGAGGAATGAACAAAGTATCTTTCTTTCAAAGTAACAGAACATTTACAGGCAGCTGGGGGACTGCAAGAATTTCACTGAGAGTTTGGCTGTAGTTGACAACAGCTGATTAATATTTTGTTTATTAGTTACCTCTTGGGAATTCATTCAAACTCTCCCATGACCCATCAGTGGGTTGCAACCTTTACTTTGAAAAGCAGTGATAGAAAATACTGCCTACTCTTTGATTGTAAAGCACAACTTACATGCAACTTCTAGACTGAATTTAGTCAATTTATAGTTTAGATGTTAATTTTGCTCAAGAGGGAGGTTTATATGAAATCTGTAGAACTTTTGTTGTCTTTGTTTTATTCTTTCTCCATGAATTTGGTCATAAAGGAAAACTACTACTAGTGTGGAGCATACACACACACACACACACACACACACACACACACACACACACACACACACACACGGGTATTTCCTGGAAGCCCATTAGTTATTACACTGAAAATCAATCCAGCTATTCTCGTAGCATATGTGTTTTTAGTTTAGCAGCTATGGGTCATTACTACATTACTGTTGCCCTGTGATACATCAGGACTTCACAGTCAGGACTCTGGTGTTAATCTGATCAGATTTTCTGCTTTGAGGTTTGTGCTAGTTGCACAGCTCGATTGATGCTTGACTGGATAAAGCCTTCAAACCCAGATAAAACAACATGTTCTAAAACAAGGGCGCTTTATTTATCTAGAAAAACTTTGATCTTCTTTCCTGTCCCATATCGCTACATAATACTAGCTTTTTGCAAAACTTTCAACCGTATCACATGGTCAACTTCATGCCCTCTACAAGCCCACACCTTCAGTTTGTAACGCAAACTTTCTGTTTTTAAATTCTGAATCTAATGCCTGAACAGAAAGCTCTTTCCAGAACTATACAACTGTTTTCACAGGTATGTATGAATGGTTCCTATTCATAGATTAAAGTGAACTTCATGTGTAAAGCACTGAGAAGGTTTTTTACAGTATGCTTTCAGTACAAAGTTCCTCTTTAACAGTATTAGTTTGAAGTGTTAGTGTGGAGTATTAGTGTGAAATACACCCTTGTCAATCACCACCTAAAAAAAGTCCATCTTGTGATCTAACGCTTGCAAGCATTACTACAGTATGTACACAACAAACACACAAGCACAAATGTAAGAATGGATCTTACGATTATGTTGTAGATAAAAGTTTTTAGTGTCACACGAGGACAGGTGTTTTCAAGGTTTAGGTCAGGGCACAAACTGGAGGACGTCGGGATAAAAATCTTCAGTTTGGTCATGTTTCACAAAGACAAATCTTCACATGTTCATGTCTGGGGTGTTGCAGCTAGTTGCTTACAGATGGACAGATTTAAATTAGCACATTGGTCCAACATTTTTTACTGGCATAAGCACATTACTGCATCAGGATGCGGTGGCAGTCAAAGGTTTCAGTTCAGCTATTCTAACCAAATGACAATGTGTCACACACTCAAGAACACATGCAGGTCACAACTAGAAAGTAAACTGAGGGCTCAATGTGACCTCGTGCCCAACTTCCTCATAACTGTGGAATTGTCACTGCTACTTGTTAGTCTTAGTATAAATAACACTCACTCTGACAGATCACATTTTTCCCATGCAAGTTTTTCATTTTGGATGACTGATGGTCACAATGGGCAGATGTCCATTAAATACATGAGGGATTAATGCTCAGTAGCTGCCATTGTGCGCATGCACACGCGCGTGCGCACACACACACAGACACTGGACCTTTCTACTGTGGAATCACTGCAGTGTTGTAATAGTACAGTTGCAGATAAAGTTGTTTTTCACAGCCTCACACGCTCACTGAGACGCAGACAAAAACAAATAAAGAGAGATTGATGGAAATACCTCACCTACACACACACACACACACACACACACACACACTAGTGGCTTGTAAGCAAGATGCGCCTGCTTTTGTTTAGCTTTTTGTTTACTGGAGATGCTGAAGGGACGTGAACTTTCATTCTCTCATCCTCTTCCTGCCTACATGTGTGGGTGATTTGTCCCTCTCCCTGTGTCTGCTCATTTGTCTCCGCATGTCTGGCCTGCTCAATGAGAGACTGAAGGGAGGAAAAGAGGTCATATGAGCTATAGCTTTTCTCTCATTGTTTGTGAGACGATAGCTGAGGATAGTTCATCATCAGCTTGTAATGAAGATTGCTGATGCTGTGTGCAACATCTACAGTAGGTTATGTGATTGCTTTTGTATATGCTTTGCTCACTAGTAACACAAGCTAGTTTCATATCAACCACCACTGTGTGCAACATGATCAGACAATTGTCAACACCTATCATCTGTGTCACATACTTAAGTTAAGGTTGTTTCTGTATATGGTGTGGTAACCATGACAACCGAGATCATGCAACACATGTGGAAAAAGTTTGAATCTAAACCTGCTACACTATTAAGTGTTATGTTTTCACTCACTCACCACTGTCCTCTTATTCTCAGCTGCCTAATATTTCTTTGGTTTATCCTCCTCCCATCTGGATTCCTCTCCTCTTCTTCGCAGCTTCTGCATTCTGCATCTTTGTTTGTTGTGTCAACTGTGCTGTGATGTGTCAACTTATCTTTTGCTAAACCCCTCTGTGGAACAACTATTGTTTAGTCACAGCAAAGTATCCGTTGTTAGGCATGGTATGGAGCAATGTGCCTACTCTGTATTTAGAAAGGATGGCAACTAATCATCAGTCTTTCCAAAATCAAAAACACAAGCGTAAAGGATAAAACTGTGTGGTTATCAGCTGTAATGGCATTAGTTTGTGGGGTTACAGGTGATGTTAAAAAAAAAAAAATCTTGTTCATGACAAGCACATCCACTAATACTTCCCCACTGTGAGGCAGGTGGTCCTGGATGCTACTATATCAGTTTGAATCAGCATGAAACATTGTGGACATAGTATTTAGTCCGCCATGTCAAAATGACACAAAATATGATATGACAGAAAAAAAGTTGTCTCTAACATAAAACTTCCTAAGTAGCTAATAGAAAATCAATGCTGTTTCTTTATTCCCCTGCCTGGTTCATTAACTGGTGAGGATGCTAACTTTTTGCCAGGGACATGTAGCATTAGCTTCAGGCAAATGAGTCAGCAAAAAACATTAAAAAGTCAGTTTTTTTTAACCAACTCATGGAGCTAACGTTATTTCATCTAGATAGCTAAAGCTGATAAAAATCAACCAGCGACCATCATCATTTCAGCAGCCAGAAAAATGACCAATTGCAGTTTAGAAATGAGAAGCCTGTTTTTGTGTGCCTCTGTCCTAAACCAGGCTACCACTGAAATGTAATGAATTTCTGTAGTAAATCTGTAATCATTAGATTCAGAAGGTTTGTCACTGGAATTGGGTGAAGGGCTAAATATTGAGGGGGGGGGAGAAGAAAAAGTAGGAGGAGATGGAGTAGGATTTGGGGGAGTAGGGGAACGGATATAAGATTACTTACTGGCAAAACTCAAGTACAGCAGCAGCTGTTTAGACCGAGTGTTAGTCATCGGCCTCCCTACAGTCTCTGCTCCCCCCCTCTTCTCTTTTTCTGTCTCTCATGAGAGTGTTGTGAATAGCTCTTGAAATAGAGCCCACTGGAGTGTAGAGGAAAATGTGAAAGACGGTGTAGACAGAGCGGGAGTTTGTGCCTGCAATGTGAGACGGTGCCAGTATGAGAAATGTGTTCACATGGAAAGATATAGAGTGAAAGAAAAGAGCAAGAAGAGTGCCATGAGGGAGACAAGGCCACACAAATGAGTGAAAAGGACAAAAAGAGAGAGAGGGAAGGCAAGACAGATTGAGAGAGAGAGAGAGAGAGAGAGAGAGAGAGAGAGAGAGAGAGAGAGAGAGAGAGAGAGAGAGAGGGGCGGGGGGGGTAAAGGAGAGAGAGGGAGAGGCGTGCTCAGACTGAGTCTGAATCTGAGGGAGGAAGAGAGCTGCTGAAGGTTCATTGTTACTTTTCTTGCCACACATAAACTTTACAAAAAGGATTTTATCTTTCTTTTTTGTTTTGTTTTTTACTCTCATACTTTGTGGATTTTGTCAACCTCGGACTACACTGAAAAATCCTCATATCTTTTGGGAACTTTTGTGAGATGACCTAAACTTATTTCCTGGACATCAGCCAGTAATTTTGAATCACTGCTTAAATTCTTTTCCTTGGACATGGGGTTTGGAAATAAGGAGCTGTTTATTCTTGGTAAGTCTATCAATGAGAGCACAAGGTGTGTGTGTGTGTGTGTGTGTGTGTGTGTATGACTGAAAGGGTGTGTGAAGGTTTAAGGAAAAGAAACAAAGTACAGGGAAGTTTAGACATTGTGTAAAACTTCAGTTGATGAACTTCTTGTTTCTGTTTGTACACAGGTTAAATATTTGGCAGCTGTATCAGTAAATCAGTAAATGTATCCCTTCAGTGGAATAGCCTCCATTTCCAAATTCCTGCTACTATGGTCACTATAATCACTGGCCTCAGCTGGTGAACTTGATAGTAGAAGGGGTGACATTTTTAGAAACCTTTAATTCTAGTTCACATGGGCAACATTGGTAATGTTCACACTGTCAGACAGTGAGCACTGTGTTTACTGCTGTGACCGAACCTCTGTCACCGGTCTGACTGCACTGACCGGGTCAGTCAGAGCAGCTCGTCCAGCTGTCAGAGTTAAATAAACCCAAAGCCTGAATCAGTTGTGACAGGGTCTGATGGTGCACAGTCACCACGGAAGTCTTTTCTGAATAAACCACAAGTCTCAGTAAGATTATTTGTGGTTTATACATTTGCATTCGGTGGGTTTCAGAAACTCACCACCATCATAGACAGTATATACACAGTATACTGTGGGCAACAGTAGTTAACTTTATAGAGTTTTTTATTCCATTTTTGTAGAGATGTTATAACTGTATGCTTATTAACTCTCCTTATTAATATATGTGACATACATGTCATATACAAAACATAACTGGTTGTATTGAAGTACCATATGACACTGCACCGCAGATAAAATTATATATACTGTACAAACTATATAAGTATTATTATTAGTACTTGAATATTGAATATATGACAATATTTTAATATGCTTTTTCTTCCATGATTTGGAATAAAACAGTGTCCAAAGTTTTTTTGTTTTTTTTTTAGACTATAGCGGTCAGAATAGCTGCTCATGATCTACGCCTCAGTCTCTGTTTATGTTACTTGGATGTCAAATACAAACCGGAGACCCTCCACAGTTTGTTTTGTTGTTAATCAATAAAATCTTTAACGCAATTTTGTATGTATACTGAGCACCAAGGTTTCCAAGCAACAAAGAACAATTTTTTTTCAGGTCAGCAGTAGCAAAAAAAGCCCGTAAGTGTGAAACAGGTGTTGAACTTATAGTAAACATGAGACGTAACTATGGCTACACTCATAAGTCAACTTTACTTTTGAGAGTTAAAGTCAGACTTTCAGTTTCTAAGAAACTGCAGTTTCTTTTGTATGCCTGAACACTTTTTCTTCATGTACAGTGTATGTGATATATCGCACATAAAAATAGGAACAAGTATTTGCAAAGAAATGTGAGACAGAGGAGACATACAGAGAGGACAGTTTCTGTGACAGACAAACTATTATTCACCACTGTGCTTACTGGTGAATGAAAGTCAGCTGCACATAAAGTCGGGCCTTGTTTCTGTCTGCAGTAATTTGGTCATAAACTTGGACTCAGTCACACTGTTTCACACACTCACGGTCACTGTCAAACTCTGCCTGGTCTTCCTTAAGTGGTGTTTCTGTGGGAGCTCCGGCCTCATCACACAACAACAGAGGGCTCATTGTGATCGAGGGAGGGGAACACAGGAGAGGGAGCTGCGAGTATTTTTTGACTCACGCCATATGTGTGTGTGTGTGTGTGTGTGTGTGTGTGTATAAGCAATCTGGCACAGCCCAACAAGTTAAAGAAAACACTCAGGCTGTAATGTTTTCACCATGAGATTACAGCAGTTACAATGGATTCCAATGATAACCCAAACTGAGGGCGAAAACACTTGTTAAAACATATCTAATGTTTATTGAAACTGCTCAAACCTCTCTGACAGCATAATCCAAATCCCCACTACTGATCCATATTTTCAGGTCTGAATGTCATAAATTAAAAAAAAAATCACTAAATATGTTTCTTTCAGAGGAGGTTTGACGCTATGAGAAGGCAATACTGCAAATAGATTACTTAGTGGTGTGGAGTGAATCCAAGGTGACAACAGTTACCCTCCTCTGTGAAGAAGCAATTCACAAACCTTTCAGCGCCCTCTTTCCATCCTACAGTGGTTAACAAAGACTGATTTTTGGGGCCCCCTTTGTGGCCAAGGGGGTTCAGTTTCTGATCATGAATGACCTCGATTCGAGAATGGCTGGAGAGCTTTGTTGCATTCATTCCCCTTCTCTCCCTCCCCTCACTCCCTGTCAAATCTCTATCATTAGCTCATTAATAAAAGCAGAAAATGCTTTAAAAGATTTAAAAAAAAAAAAATATTGGGTGTGGTGTTCCTTTTTTAGCAAGGGAATAGCTTGGAAGAAAAACTGCAAAACATCATGGGATGTTTTGTTATATTTTGCAATTAGAGCAGGGGTGTGCATAGACGCTCTAATGTGCACGGGCAAAACTGAACAAGGGGCATTACAACTGGAAGCAGGGTTACAGTTTGAGTTTAATTTTTGCTCAGAGAATTAGCATGTGGGGGCCAACTCGAGTGTCACTCAGGCTGCTCAAAGGCCTCTTCTGGGCAAATATTGTCATTGGAAGTGTCCAATTAGGGCCTTCCTGGTTGAATGAAGGTTAAAGAAAGAGCAGATGCGGTTGCTCATGGTTATCGTGTCATCGTCATTATTGTAAGGCTTTTCTGTAATTGTAAAATGAAACTAACTGGCCTCTCTCTCTTTTCCCACAGGCTTAATATCGATGCTGGGGAAATGTCTCTCTGACTGTCCTGTTGGCTTCCGCAAAGAAAAAAAGACATGTGTTGGTAATAATCAGCCATTAGCTCTGATTTTAACCATCCCTCTCCTAAAGTAGCTGTCGCTCCACTTGCTTTTCCCATTTTAGGCATTCTAGCACTACTCATATCCAGGGCAGATTGCAGTGAAAACAACAGTAGAGGAGGTTTAAATTCTTAGATCACCACAATTTTAAGAAACCAGCTAAAAGAAATGCAAGTGCCCTGCCCTGACAGCAGTGCTGTAACATCATGGTGGACAGAGGAGCTGGAAGAGAAATTAATAATAAGAGAAATTGATAGAATTAAAATGAAAGAAGTGAATGAAAAAAGTTACTTACTGACTAATAAAAGACACTGCCACAATAAACATCATGTTTTGTTATGCACTGACCTCTGTGCTTTATGTTTTTGTATTCAAATCTACAGATGATGATGAGTGCCAAAATTCCCTGGAATTGTGTGGCAAAAACGCAGACTGCTTCAACACCAATGGCAGCTTCTACTGTCAGTGCAAGCGTGGGTTCATAAACATTAACAAGAAGGTTGAGTTCAATGCCACAGATGGTGGACAGTGCCTAGGTGAGCGTATGTGCGTGCGTGTGTGTGTGAGTGTGAGTGCGCGTAGCCAATGACTTGTCTCTGTCAAATCATTCTTAACCTCCGTCTTCACTTCTATCAGATGACAACGAGTGTATCAATCAAACTAATATCTGCGGTCCGGTGGCTAGTTGTGAGAACCTGATTGGGAGCTTCAAGTGCACCTGTCATTCTGGGTACACCAAGAGCAGCAATGAAACTCAAAAGTGCGCAGGTGAGTGGTGTCTTGTTCTGTGTGTCTACACTTCAAGTGGAGTGATGCTGTGCTCGGAGTTTACTGAGTTTACAAAACGACCTGCTCAACAGAATCATCAAAGGTCAAAGTTGGCCCACCTCGCTTACAGCAATATTTGTCACTTTCTAAAAAAGCCAATCTGACAACCCAAATGACAACAGCACCGCGCTGTCTGTGACAGCACTTAAACACTGTAAAAAGGTTAAGGTTAACGCCCCTCTGCCACAAACTGCTATGACATCATACCTGCTGTCTCATATGTTGCCTTTAGCAGGTTTTCCTTCCCTATTTAATAAGCCACACGTTGACACATGCACACACTTTTGGCTCAAAATGACATCATGCTGTACTGCGTAGTTTGTTTGGAGTCTACTGAGACCTTAATAGTAAATGCTAAAACATAGTGTAACAGTAACACAAGAGTCATGACCCAGTAATCTCTCGATAGTGATATTTACCACACTCACTGTGGCTGTATCAGCAAAACTCTTCAGATTACTGGAGTGTTTTACTACCAATTTGTTAGAGGTAGAAAGTGTTATTTCTTTCTTTCCTTTTTTATTTTTATTTTTTACAAACAGATTATAGTGATAATGTCATTTAAAAAAAAATCCATAATAGGAACAACTGCTCTGACAATACCCTTACTGATTTTACATGAAAATGTGTACCTTCTCTCATTCAGATAATCTGAAAGAGTCAGGGTAGCTTCCCTCCAAAGGAACATTTCTAAAATAAAAAAAATGCCCTACCCTGAGCTGATCTTGAAAAGGTCCTCCATGTTTTTGTTTCATCAAGATTCAGCTATTATGACTCCATGTACTCTGACCTCAACCACAAAGCCATCTCCTGCCTCCTGCTGGTTCTAATTGCAGCTCTTAACTAACCTGAAATGTCAAAATCTCACAACATGCTTACCAGGAACATCCAGAACCCGTCTTTAAGATCCTATTGCCAACAATGAAAGACACACAACCGTGACCCAGTTACATTGCAAAATTATTTGCACCATTATGGGCCAAAGCACTGCTTGATATATTCAGATTTGTGTATGACTGGTCAGTCGTTACTTATGTCTCTGTTCTCTGTCTGTACACAGACATAGATGAATGCAAGGAGGCTAAAATGAACGGAGAGGACATCTGTGGAAAGGAAGGCATGTGCATGAACACTCCTGGGAGTTACTGGTGCAGGTGTCCAGAAGGATACACCAATTATGACAACAAAGCAACACCGTGCTCAGGTTAGTGGCGCCATACACTGTTCCTCTCCATCAGCATGACTTATTTCATATGAAATGTAAATATTATAATATTTTTTCCTCATATTAAGCCTGTGCTTCCTAACACATATGTCATCGTGTTAGCTGCAGTTGGGTCAAGTTGACACACACACACACACACACACACACACACACACACAATGAATCTTGTGCATTGTAGAAGGAGTCTCTGTATCTATTTAGCCACAGTTTCCTGTTTGCTTGCTTTACGCTCCATGGTGACTGATTTGATAATCTTTATTGCTCACAGGGTATCAGAGCTGATTTGTGTTCAGTGCTGCTGCTTTTCTATGTTGATTTTATCAATACTCTGCTTTCATTAACTACAGACTGGGATGAAACTCACATGGGGTAATGATGATTTAATTTTTTGCTCTGTTTCATCTAGAGCTGAAATGTGACACCTTCAATGCTGTTAGCGGGCCTGCACAGGTAAGCTGCATGTTTAAACACAAAATTATTAACATAATAGACAAACTGCAACATCAATAAATAAATGAAATATATTAAGGTTATATACAGGATTTAGGCAGCTTAGAGTGCATGGTCCAGTATCCTGCTAAAGGGCACTCAGCTCATTTCCTTCATTTACCAGACCACCCAGCGGCCCTGTAGGGTTTAGTAGTTCAGTATAGGACGAGCTGAATAGTCTCATTATTCTCTGTCTCTGTCTCTGTCTCTCAGTCACTCGGAGGCTTGGCAAACATTTTGTCCATGATGCGAAACAGCTGTCTGGCTCTGTCAAATCCAAGTGCCGCTGGTGAAGGGAAGGCTCATGGAGAGGTGCTGCTGGAGGTCAGAAATTCAGATAGAAAACACAAACACACACACACACACACACACACACACACACACACACACACACACACACACACACACACACACACACACACACACACACATACACACACACACACACACACACACATACCCACACACACACACACAAACACACACATACAAACACATGCAATATTTTTAATTCCCCCTCCTTTGTGCTGGAACTTGGACAGAACCTTTTCACAGCGACTGTGGCCATCCTGTCCCCTGGTCAACTGAACAGCGGCAAACATGTGAGCATGTTGCTTGATACGATGGAAAACTCCATTATGCTCATTGGTCCTCAGCTCAAAGACAACTTCACCAAGATGGAGACCACTGAGACAGGTAAGTGTCCTTGAGCTCAGGTGTGCACAGCTCTGCTTATTTGAAAAAGTATAAGCTCACTGGCCTTTTCCCTCAATGATTAGGATGAATAAATGACAGTGGAAACAATATCCTGTGAGCTAACTTTAACTGCAGGTTGATATTTGCATTTGAAATGAGTAATTTGCTTGAACAGATGCAGTGATCGCTGTTCAAAAGGGAAAGACCCGACCCACTGGACCAATCCATTTGACCAATGAGAACGCAATACTCGAGACTGACTGGGAAACAGCAACTGGGCCGGGAACTTACCCTGGTAAACTCTTCTCTTCTTGTTTGGTCCTGTCTCTTTTGCCAAATAAATCATACATGTGTATGAAATATTATTACATTTCTTATTATCTTTTACAGGTTTTGCTCTGGCTGCATTGTTGAGCTACAAGAACCTTAACATCACAGTTAACGGGTCTTTTCAGGAGCTCAAAGAATCTAAAAAAGATGGTGTGAACCCCTCCTCCATCAAGGTCTTCTCTAGAGTTGTGACTGTTGTGGTCTCTAACCCCTCCACTCAACATCTGAGCCGCTTTGTTAACATCACACTCAGACATCTAGAGGTAGTCCAGCCAGTCCCATAGTGTTTTCAGTATTGTCCTGCTTCTATCAGACTGTTACTTATTTTAAGCATACTATTCAAAACAGATAGCAGTAATGGAATATGAATTAGGAATAAAAGTATACACTCATGTTGGTTTTGTTTTGTGCATTAGGACACTCCACTTGACACCGAGGAGCCCCGTGAGGTTGAGTACATCTGTGCATACTGGAATGAGAGAGGGGTCTGGTCCACAGATGGCTGTTATCAACAGCGCTCCAGTGACTCACACACTGTGTGTACATGTGAACATCTGAGCAGCTTCGCTGTGCTCATGGCCCTGTACCCCATGGAGGTATACACACACACACACACACACACACACACACACGCTCATTTTGGCCCAGAGGCAGATCCAATACGTTTTAAAATAACATAATAACTAGGTATCACTCATAGTAAGGTACCTGTAAATAATTTCTCTAATTTCTAGATTCCTCAGCTTTGATTTGATCTGCAGGGCTTTTTGATTTTGATGATTACGTTATGAGTCCAGTTATTCACCATCTGACCTGTTTTTTCCTCTAGCACCCCTTTGGGCTCCGTTTGGTGAGCAAGATAGGCCTGATCGTCTCCGTCCTGTGTCTGATACTGAGCATCCTGACATTCAAGTTCTGCCGCTCCATACAAGGCACCCGCACCACCATCCACCTGCACCTCTGTATTTGCCTCCTGTTGGCTGACGTCGTCTTCCTGGCTGGCATTTCACAAACTAAACCTGTGGTATGTTTGTAAAAGCAAATAGTGACTTCAGTGACGTGGACTGTTGACCTCATTGTGAATAAGACTGTAATTTCATTAAAATGTTTTTAGGTACTAATGACAGTAGGTTAGCCTCAGCTTCCTGTTATATTAACATCAGAGCGTTACTGCGACAACAAAGTGGACAACACAGCGAAAACACCACTGTGTTAATCTAGAGGCACAAAAATAAATGAAATAAAATATAATTAAAGAATCAAACTTTAATAGGCTCAGACAGTGGAGTGAAATATCCGAAAGAGGCCAAATAGGTCATTTGTTTGTATATACAAGTAGTGGAGACGAAAAACTGAAAACTGAAAAATGAACAACACAGACAACAGAACAACACAACAAACAATATCTGTGTTTTATTCAGTGATGGAAAGTAGCCGTGTGTAAGTACAGTTTTGGACAGTGCTTCCCTTTTACGCTACTTTATCCTTATTCTCCACAACGTTTCAGAGGAAAATAATGTACTTTGTTGTCACTGTGTGTACCGCACTAGTTACTTTGCAGATCAGATTTCACATAGAAAACATGTGATCAATTACCTGTATATACATGCATTTTTATAGAGGAAACCATCCTGCTAATATGTTTGATTTGAATGCACTTTTATTTGTAATGCTTGTAAATCACTAGAGTAAGGGCTCTAACCACTTCTACCACCATTGGACTTAATTTAATCTGACTTTAGTCTGACTGAAGCTTAGATGGGCAGTAAATGTTGTGATAAAGAGTTTTAATTCCTGTGCTCCTTCCTCTCTGATCTTGTCGTGTCACATTACAGGCCGGCTGCAGGTTTGTTGCAGCGATGCTCCATTACTTCTTCTTGGGAGTGTTCACCTGGATGCTGTTGGAAGGCGTGCAGCTGTACCGTATGGTGGTCATGGTGTTCAATGCCACCATTCGGCCTCTGTACCTATTCGTGGCTGGTTATGTGACGCCCCTTGTTATCGTCATTATCTCCGCCATCAGTAGACCGCAGCGATATGGCACTGACCAGTAGTAAGTGTGTGAAGAAAGGGTACATTGTGTGGAAATAAAGACTGTCTGTATGGTGGGTGAAAGAGAGCAAATAAGACACAAAGAATGAGGGAAGTGTGTATGTGAGTGTGTCTGCATACTAGCTTGTGTAATAGCACTTACATCAGTGGATCTCACAGACCTGCTGTTACCTATCTATCGGTGACGTTAAGAAAACCTTGTCACGCAAGCGTTTTTCCTTCCTCTTAACTAGTTGCTGGCTGTCTCCGGAAGATGGCTTCATCTGGAGCTTCTTTGGCCCCGTGTGCTTCATCATCATCCTCAATGTCTACTTCTTCATCATCACTGTTTGGAAGCTCGCCCAGAAGTTCACAAGCCTCAACCCAGAACTCTCCGAACTACACAAAATTAAGTCAGTCCATGTGTTTGGTTACCTGTGTGTGTTACGGTGTGGCTGTTTGTGCGTCCTCTCTTGCTGTAGCAATATGTGAAGTAATATCACCCAGACTTATTCCCCTGTGCAATTAAACACAGACTTAAAACGTACGTTGGTCAAATGGGGCAGCTTTGAGAACTGAGAAATGCATGGATGGAAAGAATGTGAGAGTTTTGTGAGGGAAAAATGTAGAGAATGTTTTCATAGCACTGCCTCTGCTCTCTAATAGGGCACTACTGGAAGACCCCCCCCCACACACACACACACACACACACATACACACACACACATCCCCCTCTCCAACTCTGTCCATCTACGGCATGCTCACTTCTTACTCCAGTAGACATCACTATATAATCATCAGTGAATAATCGATCAGTGATGTGCTGTTTAGTTCAGGGAAGTGGGAATGTGAACTTACTGCGCTAAAAGCAAGCAAGGTTTTCTCTTTGTCTCAAAGAGGTTTTCACTCTCTGTGGTTTCTGTCAGTGGAAAAAAAAATGCATCCCATCCACAACTCTCTCCTTGTCTTAGTGATAAAATGTTGGTGAAGTTTGTGAGTGAAGAAAGAAACAGTCACTGATTGTGAGGGACTGATCTCAAAACCAGCTCTCCACTGATGTTTTAGGTGTTTACAGTTTTATATGCTGTTTATCCACAATGTATCTCAGTGTGAAGTACATCGCTACTTATTCATAATAAGAAAGACGCATCACCGAAAACTACAAAGGGCAGAAGCAGAGTACATTCTACTCTTTGTCTCTTCGTCTCTGTCCTGTTGTTGCTTTCCTGAGCACCCATGACCTTTTTCTATGTCTGTCTCTCTTCGGGGGTTTTCCAGACACTGCAGTGGTAACTGAGTTATCTGTGTGTTTCAGCTCATATTAATCTTTTCTTTCATTCTCTATCTGTTGCCCTTTCTCTGATTCCCCCCTCACCCCCCGCCTCCTTCCTCCTTTCTTCCCATGCAGAGCTTTCACATGTGACAGTAATAGCCCAGATGTGTATACTGGGTCTGATGTGGGTTTTTGGGGCATTCCAGTTTACCAACTCCACCACAGTAAACATCAAGATTGCATATATCTTCACTATTCTCAACAGCCTGCAAGGGGCGCTGGTGTTCATCTTGCACTGCCTACTGTCTAAACAGGTAGGAGACAGTGGCTGAGTGTGTGTGTGTGTGTGTGTGTGTGTGTGTGTGTGTGTGTGTGTGTGCGCGCGCACGCGTGCGTGCGTGCATGCGCGTGTGCGTGTGTGTAACTGCAAGTGAATGCACAAGTCTATGACAGAGATTTACACAATAGAAAAAATTGTTACATTTGTTAAACATAAAAAGACAAGAATGAGTAATGACAAAAGACAGTAGATTACAGTTTCCAGCAGTGGATTGTTTTTTCCTGATGTTCTGCTGCCCACTGCAGGTGAGAGAGGAGTACGCCCACTTCCTCTCTTGTATCTGCACTCCACAGAAGAAGAGATACTCAGACCTGAGTACTACCAATCCGTCCAGTAGTCAGTCACAAGTAAGCATGAAGTGATCTCCTCATATACCTCATATGCTGCTATTTTGTACATTTTTGTAAATATCTATATATTATATTATTATCTATTATTTATCTTTCTAAGTATTTGTTACTGGCATTTTGCAGTTTTTTCTTTCTTGTACTGTCGACTTTGCTGCTGTGACACTGCAAATTATCTTATCTTATCCTGTCTTGTCTTATCTTGTCTCACTCTCTATCACTATCTCTGTCACAATTTCTGTTAGTCAGCTATTGTACTTAATACAATTTTGAGTCCATTTCATGCTACCTACTGTAAATAGTTACCAGACTCTGACTTTACATACAAAATATATGATTAGCTTCTAAAACATGATCCATTATTATCATCATCATTATTATCCAACATTAAATCATCCATGGTTTATGGAGTTCGATTCAATATTTATGTAATATATAATAATATAGCACTGTAACCCTCATTTTCATTATGACTTCTTATACTTTTAATTCTATGGTATATTTTGCTGGTAATACTTTTGTACTTTTACTCAAACATTTTCATTGGAGTATGTCTACATTGAGTTGTGTGTTGTTATTTTTACTTGAGTAAAGTCCTTGCACTTATTCCACTATTGTAGACACATATACATTATCTTACCATGTTTCAAATAATGTGTGTGTATTTGTATTTATTCAGGCTTCTCGGAGTGGGGACCATACCAAAGAATCCCAGATATGAAGAGCTCTGTCTTTTATTCCCCTCGCCCCCAAAGACAGAGTATCACACCTTTGCCCTGATCGGGCCAAGTTAGCTCTAGCGCTATTTGAAAGGTTTGAATCACTTCAAATAAAAATTCAGTCATTACTTATTTACCTTAATGTCAGTTTAAACTTTGTTTACAATTACAATTACAATGTTGTACAATTTAATGTGTGGTTTTCCTAACCTGAGGGATTGCAACAAAATGTACATGTTAAGAAAAAAAGATGTTTCTTTCCTTTTTTTCTTGTGAAATTGTGGAGAGTTTTTATCTGTTGAGGCCCCTAAATTCATAAAACTAAAACATCACTCCCAGGTTGAACTCTTAAAGCCCGTGGACATATGTGATCTGTACCAGGGGGCAGAGTATGTCTTGGCTATAAAGAGTCACATGACAAAAAGGTTGGAAACTGCTGCATTAAAGACACACCAGTAGTTACATCTCAGGCCTTTCAGACCCCATTGAAATCAATGGGACAAGTTTTTACAACTCAAAAGCCATGAATCTAAACCCAACAAACAGTGCAAGTGCCATTGTCTAAGTGTAACCACACAGCTGCATTGTGTATCACAAAGTCTGGCATTTATACCTCATTATTTTGCTTCAGATATCCTTCAAATGGTAGATCAAGTTGTATTGTATAATGACTGAATTTTTATGTCAGTGTGAGGTAATACCATAAATGTTACTGTTACAGTGGGCAAAAAGGAGCCAACTTCTAAAAGTTTTTGTTCAGGAACTCAATAAGTGAAAGTGAAAATATTTTAGTAGCTTATCAGTTCAGCCAGAACATATCACAGTCATCATATAAGCTGTATTCCCTTTGGAGAGGTTAAACGCGATAGTGATCTGACTATTTATTTTCAAGTGCAGACTATAAAGTCTACATTATGTAGACCACAAGAAAATATGAGAGATGCTCTTGATGTTTAATGCAAATAGTTTGCAATGTATTTTGTATAAAGGTTTAATGTAAAAATAAGGGTGGGTGTGCTTTTTGTTCATGGAAGCTTCACAGAAAATAGTTGTTTACATGTACTGTATTTAACAGTATGTTGTAATGGCAAGAAACAACTGACTGATGATGCAAATTACCCATGAATTGCCTCTGATGAGCCCTCATGTTCCTCCTGCAAATCCCATGTGGGCTTCAGCAACAATTTTATACCTGTTGTTTCTTGTTTTTAAACAAAATAAGTGATTTTTTAAAGCACTTGTGGCTGTTTTTAAGAATCTATCTTGGTTTGCAATCAAGCTGTGCCATTTTCACTCGTTTTATGTGAAGTTTTTTATTGTTGAAAGTGTAAACCAAGAACACAAAATGGTCTAAAATGATGCTTGCGCAATTCACAAAAACAGACCCACCCTTCTTGATAAGCCAGCAGCTTCCTGCAATCAAATTGTGTTTATGGAATAAAAATACATTTTGTTATCATGTTCTTATTATAGCAGTTAGCCTGCGCCTCAACACATTGCCAGTGACTGTAAGGTATCACATTCCTAAAATGAGAACTTAAGCCGTTTCAGTTAGATCTAATGGGAGTTGTACAGATCTGAGTTTCATTATTTTATTGCACTTTTACTTTGTCAGTATGATAGTCCAGCACATCTTCACTCACATGGTACACGGAATAATCAAGAAGACTTGAAAACAAGTCCCACCTACAGAACCAGAACAGTTTACTTGTAATAAACCTATCAATTTTTCTATTCAATAGAAGTTGATCAGATCATGTAAAAGACATTGATCTGCAGAGTGTTTATATTTGATTGGTGTTGTCCTGCTGGTTGTATTTAAATTGTTTCTCATATTAAGATTGATGCTACGTATGTGTTGGTTTTAACAACTAAACTGTTCTTTGGTTCTTAAGCGTGACTCCACTTCTTCGTGACCATTGTTTATTCATGCATTGAAAAATGTATTTTTATGTGAAGAAGCTACATGCAATATGCAGCATTTTGTGAATGTAAGATTCTTATTGTTAGAATATACTATATGTGTTCTAGTTTAAAGGTATATGAGCCTATTTTTCTACTTCGTTTTCTTGTAAATCGTTTGGTACTGTTTTCTTTAAAGATTATGCAACACAAATTTTATTAAAGCTTCTACTTCATCTGATCTTCTGTGTGGTTTATTAGCAGATAGATACATACACATAGATCTAGTGAGACAAAATTCTGAAAAGTTTGTTACAATCTAAGATCGATAAAGACCGTTAATGTGACGCTAATCAATGGTCAATAGAACACCTGTGAAGCGGAGAGATACATGTAGTTAAAAGTCCCAGCGCTGTTGCACTCATGCAATGACTCTCCTCCAATCAAATTACTTGGTCGGAACTAACTGTTGCTAAAGAATGTTTTTACCTCAGCTATTTACAATTAGGAATTTCTGAATGTTGCACACGAAATGAACGATTCATATCTCTTTAAATCAGACATTAATAACTTTATAATTCAGACTCTGACATTCTGCCCCTGGGGAAATGAATCACTCTGGCTCAGACTAACAGCAGCAGCAGCAGCAGCTACTACACTGACGCAGTAGTTTCTGGGTTGAAACCTGTGCTGCTCTCTGCTGCTGCGTGCTGAAGGTTATCAGTCATTTCACTCCTGACGACCGCTCAGCGAGGCATCTGGCCTGACAGCCCGTCTGAGCTGCGCTGGTTACACTGTGGCTCGACTTAAAAGTTGAGCTGACATTTCTTAAGACCTGTGGAGGAGTTTCAGAGCTGACTACTGCTGTAAAACACTTTCTTTCTTTCTTTTTTGGTGGATGAGGATTGAAATTTCTATACAGGTAAGGCTCCTCTCACCAAATCATAATGCCATGTACTGTGTTTGTTGCATTTGGTGCATGAAGTCACTCTTTGTACCCCCATAGATCCCATTATGTATCTGATGAGTGGTGTCATAGTGTTCCTCAGTGTTTTTGGGGCTGTAAAGTTGCTGTCGCTGCCCTCGCTCTGCAGCCTGTCAGCGGGGCTGGGGCTCTGTCTGGTCTGGAGGGGTTCCTGGAAGTTCATTCATGTAGCTCTATGCACCATAAAAAGAGACCTCATGTAAGTAGTTTGTATGGATGTGCATGTACATGTGTGTTTCTCCCATTGTCATATTCAACACTTTATCTCACTTTTACTCATCTGTCCTGCTGCTTTCTTCTCCAGTCCTATTTTTTTTAAAAAACAAAAAACAAACTTTTTCTCCTCTTCTACTTCTCTTTGTCTAAAAGGTGTCTGGCTGTTATATTGCGAGTGAGGTTTTCCATGTACCGTAATCTGCGAAATAAAAGCACTATCCCTGCCCTGTTTGCGCGGATGGTGACACAGCACCCCGACAAACCTGCCTTGATCTATGAGGCCACAGGGGAGGTGAGGACATATCACAGATTATGAATAAAATACAGAATCAACACCTTCACGGACCCTACTAGCTGTCATACTGTCGCAAAAAACAGACTCTATTTCCATATTTATGTAATTCCAGGTTTGGAGTTTCAGGGAATTGCAGGAGCGATGCCATGCTGTGGCACACTGGGCGCTGGCACAAGGCTGGGCTGAGGGTGATGTTGTGGCCTTGTACATGGAAAGCCAGCCTTTCATGGTGGCTCTGTGGTTGGGTCTTGCTATGGTCGGTGTAGAGGCCGCACTCATCAACCACAACCTTCGACAGCACTCTCTAGTGCATTGTGTCAGCGTGTCTGGCGCTCGGGCCGTGGTCTTCGGGACAGAGTTGACTGAAGGTAGGAAGAGGTCGTAGATTACAGAGAGAGAGATGCTGTGGGTACAGTTATATAACTGATAGATAACTGGTATGCAGACAGCAGTTGTGAGGAATTTGTTACACAACTGAATAGAAAAATTGAATGTTGAATCTACTGTCTTTGTACCACTGCGTTTGTTCTACATTTGTAACATCTAACATCCGGGCACCCTTCAGCGGTGTCGGAGGTGAGCAGCTCCCTGCGGCCCAGCATGGTTTTGTTCAGCAGTGGTGAGCAGCAGGATGAGGTGAAGCTTTGCAGCCTCCGCGTTCAAAGCCTGGAGGCTCTGCTGGCCAGGTCACCCAACCACCCGACAGACTACACACTCAGGAAGGAATTTAACGGTGAGGCCCTGCATTGTTGTTGTTTGTGCATGGGGGAACGGGTACTTCCTCGTTGCCATCATGTCCTTATGTTACATATTAAAAAGATTTGATTGCAACACCTTCCTCTCCTTAGCAAGTCTTTGCCTGCCAGAAAAAACTGCTCGCTGCCAGATTTCCTTCTCTTATCTTCTCATGAGACTTAATCCACTTGATAGCACATACACATACACACCACTGTCAAAATCATCAACTCACTTCAAGAAATATTGAATCACATAGAAACATTTAAGTGCATTGTGAAAGATTTTTTTTTTTATTTGATATAATAGATTTAAATGTCACTCTAAACACCCTCAACTGATATATTTGTGCAATAACTTTTCTCTTATTTATTTGCTTGTCTGTATTGTATCTTTGTTCACATGACATTCCTAAGTCAATACTCTTCAAGTCTTTGCTTGCACAGTATATGGAAGGAGAGACAGAAACATGTTAAGGAATGATGGGCAGTCTGGGTGCATACCGCACATGTGAAACACTAGAAAACAAACAGAAGACAAAGCATTAAGGTGAAAAGCATGTTGAAAACTCCCTGTAAAAACTCCTGTCGTTTAATCGCTCTCTCCATGCAGACAGACTCTTTTACATCTACACCTCTGGAACAACGGGAATGCCAAAGGCAGCTGTAGTGGTACACAGTCGGTGAGTTTATCTATGATCTCATCTGATACTGCAATGTTTATTCATAGAAGAATCTTGAAAGCAAATGTTTAAATGACACTTACAGTAGAAACATTTAGAGCAATGTTAATGGACCAAAGCGCATAAGCAATTTTATCAACACTGTTCATTTCCTGGAATTTCTTTTTCCTACCCTGTATCTCATTTATCAAGTTAGTAACTGTCATACTCTGAGGTCAGGAAAATTGAGCAACACACTAAAGGATCATTAAAAACATGAAAGTCATGCAGTTGCAGTTACAAGTGTTTCAGTTAGAATCAGGACCATCAGTGTCTCCTAATGAGATGAGGTCTGGTGAAGATCTCTCTTGTCAGGTATTTCCGCATCGCTGCCTTTGGTTTCCACTCCTTTGGCCTGCGACATGATGACATCATTTACGACTGCCTTCCCCTGTATCATTCTGCAGGTAGGCCTGACTCTGTTTCACCAAGCCCATTCCCCCCCCCCCCATTTTTAACAAGTCATGTTGTTGTACATTCAGTGACAGATTTTTAGAGTTTTGTCATATATTGAATAAAATCATACAAATAGAAAATGCCACCTTTTTCCATCGATACACAACTTCAACATAATTGCGTTTCATTTTACTATACCACTTACATATAATACTGTTGTGCTATTATAGCTATAATAATCATAACAGTTATAATCAGAACGTGTTATATTGCTGCTGTCATGACCGAAAACATCCTCACTATCATCATTATTGCAGTAGTCATATGTCAGATAAATGAAAATGTATATGTAATGGGAACTTTGTTAATTTCTAACTATTGCTTTCCATATGAATCATACCAGTAGCTGTTTAAATTCTTGCAGTGTGTGCTTATGTCCCCTGCGTGTAATATCATTGATTTGCAATAAATATGCCTCATTGTCTTCTGCTGGTTGCTCCCGTTTGCTTAGATAAATGGTAACGGCTGGATCAACATCTCTGACCAGTTTACTGAAACTAGTCAGAGGTATTAAGCTTCAGGAAAAACTGAATGAGTTGACTAGCATTATGTCTTTATTGGTTTGTAAATATATACAGTATATATTTGTGTGTGTGAGTGTGTGTTCATGTGGATGTTTACAGGTACCATCATGGGTGTAGGCCAGTGTTTGCTCTTTGGTTTGACTGTTGTAGTCAGGAGGAAGTTCTCAGCCAGTCGCTTCTGGGATGACTGTGTTAAACACAACTGCACTGTGAGTACTGACTGCCATAAATATGTCACGCTGCTGGACAGGTGTCCTATTGATTCTCTTGAATCAATACTGACTGATCTCTTTTTTTTGAAAATGAAAGAAATGTTATATTGACCTGTACTTCGTCCCTGTGTTTGTGTGTTGATGTCTAGGTAATCCAGTACATAGGCGAGATCTGCCGTTACCTGTTGGCCCAGCCAGTCCGCCCATCTGAGGCACATCACCGGGTCCGTGTTGCCCTTGGTAACGGCCTCCGTCCCTCTGTGTGGGAAGAGTTTGTCCAGAGATTTAGAATCCGAACGGTTGGGGAATTTTATGGCGCCACTGAGTGCAACTGCAGCTTGATTAACATAGATGGAAAGGTGTGTTTGTGCGATATCTTTAATTATTTAAGTATAGTGCCCTGGTGGCTCACCTGGTAGAGCGCATATTACATAGGCTTAATCCTAACTGCAGCGGCCATGTCTCTCTCCCCAACCTTCCTGTTTCTATCACAGTAAACTTAACAATGCCCAAACAAAATTACTTAAAAAAGTATAGACTTGAGAGTTCTTTCAGCCCTTTCCTGTCTCATCTACACGTGTTTTCACATATCCAGGTGGGGGCGTGTGGCTTTAACAGCCGCATCCTTCCAGGCTTTTACCCCATCAGACTGGTCAGGGTGCAGGAGGAGCACGGAGAGCTGCTCAGGGATTCACAGGGACTCTGTATACCCTGTCTACCGGGTGAGGACACTTACACAAAGCTACAAATGGGCAAACATATGTTATTAATGTAATAAAATATTCTCATTTCTCTCCTCCCGTCCCTGTCTCTCTACAGGTGAGCCAGGTATGCTAGTGGGACGCATCAACCACGCCGATCCGCTCAGGAGATTTGATGGGTACGCTGATCAGGATTCCACCAATCAGAAAATAGCTCACAATATCTTCAAGATGGGAGACTCTGCTTATATCTCAGGCATGTTTTATTCTGTCTCTTTAACAAACAGTCAGGATGATGATGACGGACTGTGTGGGTTTGATTTCCAGCTTTACTGTGGTCATACATGTTTCTTCCAGACACACAGGTTAATACAACTGAACTGGTGGCTTTAAATTGCCCAGAGGTGAATGAGAGTGATTCACTATCGATGACAAACTGGGATACAGTTCATGTTGGGATAAACTCAAGGTTCCTATGAGTGGAAAAATGATGACTGATGATCACACTACTTCTCCCTTGAGACAGGAGACATTACGTTCCACCTCAGTAGTTTTTGTTCATGTTAAGTTCATAATTGCCCTATTTACACAAGACTTCTTCAACTGTTTTGTCAGAAATAGAGTGAATCACTATCGTTTTATAGCAAAGTCAAAACAGTCCTGGTGACTCATCATCACTACAGACTTTACCTTCATCTTAATTGCTCTATGATCCCCTACAGGGATGATGATGATGATAATGATGATTGTTATTATTTCTGTCTGTCTGTCTTTCAGGTGACGTATTGGTGATGGACGAATATGGCTACATGTATTTCAGGGACCGCAGTGGCGACACGTTTCGATGGCGAGGGGAGAATGTTTCCACCACAGAGGTGGAGGGAGTCCTCAGTGGCCTGCTGGGACACACTGATGTAGCCGTTTATGGAGTTTCTGTACCAGGTGGAGATCAGATGAGACAGATTCAGGATGGGAAAAAAAAAAAAACATGAAAGAAAAATGAGTGTGACATTATATTGTCCTCTGTTTGTTATGTCACTTGTCTGTCTGTCTGTCTGTCTGTGTGCAGGTGTGGAGGGAAAGGCTGGTATGGCAGCAATAGCTCATGCAGGAGGCCAGTTTGACCTTGATGCATTCTTGATAGCTGTACAGAAAGCCCTGCCCTCCTACGCACGCCCAGTCTTCCTTCGACTCATGCCATCTGTTGACACTACAGGTGAGACAACAATGCAAGGACGTGTAAACACACACAAAAAAAAGTCACCTCAACTTATTTTTTAACTTTTGCCCTCAGGTACTTTCAAAATTCAGAAGATGCGACTACAGAGGGAAGGATTCAAGCCACAAGACTCAAGTGAATACATTTATTTTCTGGACAGCCGTGCTGGGTGTTACGAGGCTGTCACTGATGAACTGCATAATGCCATCATGGAAGGAAACGTGTGTCTATGAGGAGACTCAGCGGGACATAGAGACTGTTGAACAGGATGGTGCAGTATTTTTCACAGAGGAAAGAATATACACAGGATTTAGTATTGACTACATCCCTATAAATACTGTAATAACCTACTGTGGAAACTATTTTTTACCATTTTTTCTTTTTTTTTTAAAATTTTTCATACTTTGATTTTATCTGTGTTTGTGTCATTCCATATCCCGTAATAAGTAAATAAATCATACATTTTATAAAAATTATAAAGTTTGATTTGAATAGAAGACAACATTAATAGTTTTACATCAGTCATCTAAAACAAACAGAACACACAAAGCTCAAATTCAGCTTTTAGCTTCATTTAGCTTCAACTCATTGGTTAATAGCCTTTGTTGTTAGGCTGTAGTACAATTTCAGGGCCTTTTTAAATATCGATGAGCAGAATTATATAGTTTCATGACACTCTTTGACTACATGAAAAGCTAAAGAAGCACTTAAGTGATTACAATGCAACCTGGCTGGGACATGTCTGAACCAAGTTTCCATTCAATTCATCTCATTCAGAGCTGAGACAATAAATACATTCAGACCCACAAATGTGAACCTCTTATGGCGCTGGTCGTGGCACCAAAGTCATTATGGTGCATCCTCTGGGAACCATGAATGTCAGCAAAAAAAAAAAAATTCCTGGCAATCCATCCAGTAGTTGTTGAGCTACTACGCTCTGGAACAAAGTTGTGGACAGAGTAACTGGCAACCCTAGAACCAAACCACTAGCACAGCTAAAAATTAAAATGTATGACTGTAACAAGAGATGGCATATTGTATTACAGTTCATTATGCCTGCAAGCTCTTGTTATTCATCACAAGTCGAATGTTTCAGATTATCAACATAATCCATCTGGATTTGTTTGTGACTGGCAGATCTATTGTTGATGATGTTTAGGGCTTTACTCAGTGAAACATGGTAGGTCACACTGAGCCTGGTCTTGCTGCTCTGTTTTTTAACTGCTGGTTTACCGTCTGAAGTCTTTCCCTTTCTAGCGGGTTTAGTTTTAATGAGCTGGTCCTTTTTCATGGATCTCTGAGAACAAACTGCTGTATTTTTGTCTTTTGTCACACGTCCACAGTCTGACATCTTGCTGTTTCTCTCAGTTGATGCGGCGATTATGTCTCCCTCAGTGGATGACTCACTTTTCATCTGCGGATCATCATTTAGACTCACAGTGACACCCACGCTCTCTGCCAACACAGCAAGACCCCCACACACACATATGCTCTCAAAGTATGGGTACACCTTCTCAGCAAAGCGATGTCTGAACGTGAAAAGATGTGCATCATTATCAGCGTTCATGAATTCCAGCATCCCTTCATCCCAGTCCAGCCTCACACGGACAACGTTAAGGTGCCTTGAGTTGTCAAAATTTATGGTCTGAGAGGGAGTGATCAGAGCTTGGTACTTGCTGTCTCGCAGGCTGATACACCAGAGTCCCGCCTCTGGACAGGCCTCAAACTCTGCCCCTCTGGATATTGATTCAGCAGCCACACCGAGTGTCCAGTTATTGGTGTCACCAACCTGTTAAAATCAATAGAAATTGATAGATGAGGTAAATGGAAGAGAAAACTCAGACAAGCATGCGTTTGTATATACTGATACTGATTATTGAGGCCAATATCATTATCAGTAAAAATTACATAAGGGCTGATATTTTCTTTTACCCAAACACATAACAAAGACAAAAAAAATGGCCCAACACACATTTTGGCAATTTAGGTTTTCCCCAAATTTGATCATCAAAGAGTTGTGACAAAACACAATAGCAAATGTGGTCTGAGTGATGTTATAAACAAATAAAGCTGGGTTTTTTTTTTCTCACGCAATTTCATACCAATTAAATGTAATGACAGATTTCCAGCAGTCTGCCTCTCAGTGGGAACGAGCTCCCTGGGGCGAGAAACGGCAGGTGCCACAACTTGAATGCGAAAAAAGGGTTTCCATTTCACTTTTGCAAAAACATTGCTTTGTCTTAATAGCCTGAAAAACCACCATGTGTTTCCATTACTTGTTTTTAAGTTCACAATTTCAAATTGCACTACCCAGGTTAATGGAAATGTTCCTACTGTCTCATGACAGTCAAAATCACTCAATGGAAACACAGACTGTAAAACTGCAGTGGAAACCCGGCTACTGATATAAGCCGCTCGGCGTGTGGTATATACATTATGTAAATACCTCAATATCCCAACAGTGCACTCCTGAGTCAAAGCTCTCTCTTGCCAGAATGCAGGAATAAGCGTGGAAACGTTCAGGGTTGGCTGGGACAGGGACAACCTCACCCATATTCTGTAACAGCGCCTCTGAAGGTCCAGGAGTTATCTGGAGACTATTTAACCCAGGAGACACCCTCAGAGACTGGCCAGCTGTTCTGGGGTCCAGGGTCACTGGGGCTGGAAGATACAAAGGAGGTTTGAATGGCTGTAGGAGAGAGCAGGGAGGCAGGTGAACATGCATGTGTAGAAATACACTGACTGTAGGGGGCGATGTGTTTCATCTTCTCCCAGACAGCGTAGTGGAGGTTACCCAGGTGTTTGGCCACATCTATTAGAGGCCTGCAAAGCCTCTTTGGCTCCCTGTGACCCATCCATGCACTGCAGGGAATAAACATGGACAGTCCAACACTCACACTTATTGCATTTGCTTGTGCGTGTGCTGGTGTCTTAAAAATCAATAGAAAAGTCACATACCTATTCATGGTGTCTTGGTATCGCTGTAAAAGACAAGCTTATGTGCTTATTGTGTCAATTACAAACACCTATTCCTTCTCATGTTTAATTTGATTGATGTTACCTGTAAAAACTCAGCTCCATCTCCTCCAGCATCAAGCTCCTCTTCAATCAGTTGGATCTTGTCTTCCAGTGATTTTATCACCTGATCCATTCTGTCTACTCGTTCTTCCGTCTCTCTCTTCCTCTCCTCCTGTTCCCTCCTGAGCTCAAGTATCCTGGCTGCTTCCTCCTCTCTCAAAAACCAGTGAAGACTCTCAAACTCCTTTTTCATCTGCTCTTCGGTCAGTTGGGCCTCAGCCTGGAGGAGTGGAAAAAGTGAGGAAAGCGTGAGGACATGCGAGATGGAAAGCGACACACATTTAGCAGTGCGTCTGAACGGTTCTGGTTTGATTTTACTGTGAGTAGAGTTTTGTAGCTTTGCAGTCCCACCTGGTTGTGTCTGGATGCATGTTCACAGGTCTGTGTGACTTTCTCAAAGTGAAGCAGCTTTTTCTTCAGTCCATTCAGCAGTGGTCTGAGCTCCTCCTAGTTGTCAAAAGGAGAATTACTTTGAAACAACATCTGTGGGAACAAATGGAGGCCAAAGACTTCACTTCACCCAGTGTCTTTGCAAGATGTGGTCAGTCATGCTGCACCTGCTCAGTATGTAACTAAATCCATCAGTGCACAGAAACTAGGTACAGTTACTCAAGTACTGTACTTTAGTGCACAGCTGCAGTTTGTAGTTACTTTGCAGATTATGGTTTTATCAGATGTGATGAGTTTATCAAAGAAGATACATTATTACATTTTAAACTACCCAACAGTATAAACAGTTACAATCCTTACATGCTACAACATTAATTTGATGCTTTGAGTACAACGTGTTGCTATTACAGTCAAATATTACTTATGTAATATGTAGTACTACTTACAGTTCTGCCTAAGTAAAAAGACTACCTTTACTTACCTGAATACTTCTTTCACCACTGACTAAATCAACATGAGATTGATACAGTCTCATGCAGCATATTCATGAGCCAGACGTGTATACTGACAGTATTCACAGGAACATAACACACACCACCAGCATTTCGGTGTATGTGTGTGTGTGTGTGTGTGTGTGTGTGTGTGTGTGTGTGTGTGTTTGTGTAGGTCAAATTTCATGTGATGTGAGATGTTAACATGCATGTGTGATACGAGGAAGAAAAAGTAATTACCAGCTAAGTTTTCAGCTTGGTGCCTCTTTGAAACTCACTCTAAATGCTGTTTGAATAAACTAATCTTGGATTAACACAAGGCGGCATCTGTTTGGGCAGGAAAATGAATATTTACAGGGGATGAAAAAAATGCCTGACTGCCTCCCTGTCTAAATGTCTTCTTGCTGTGGTCACAGCAGGCATTTAAATGAAAGGGTAACAGTCGCGAGAGGGCCCCCTTAGTCTTGGTAAAATGAATAGGGTTCAGATCTTGGAGGAGCATTTGCTGTTGAGAGCTTTGCTGTCATTTGACGTCTTTGTGCTTACTGTTTGGTTTGGCTTTGTGGCAGCAGGGCAACTCTAACTGGAAAACCAGCATTTAAGCACTCTTGTTGGCAATCGTCTGCCCCGCTCAAGTGTCCTTGAGAAAAACAGTGAATTCCTGCCAGCTGCTCTGATCCTTCACCATAATGCTTAATGGCTTTCAGTGGAGGGATAAGTAGGCCTATTTCAGGTCTTTTACTCATGGGCTCACAAGATGATAAATGGGGTAGGAAAGAATAAAAACATATTTGTCCATATAAAAAAATGTGTCTCGTTTTGTTTGAGGGGATACAAGAGAAAATGTTAAAAAAAAAACATGCATTTCACTTGAGTAAAAGTAGCAACAATGTTAAAATATTTCAAGTCTAATTCATGCATTCAAAGTAGAGTAAGTAAGGGGAAGGAAACATACAGAAGAATCAAGGACAAAATATATTCTGAAATGTTTTCATCATGACATATTTAAAGATTTAAGAACTAACAGAGGATTGAAGATGGATAATAAACAGTTATCCATTTACACTGATTCAGTATAATCTAACCCACACATTCTTTCACCTCCAAGTTTACATTACTGTCATGAATGAAAGGTAAATTAATCATTACTCATTTCTGTTCTTACAACATGATGCACTTTCTTTTTGCCCATGATAACGTCTTTCTGAAGGGTTCAAATAATTACATCCTTAATAGCAGAATTATTGTTTTCAGGTTTTCAGTGCAATGAAAATGTGCTGGAGTTTTAGTTTTGGTGATACTTGAGTCCTACCTTGCAATGAGTTGCAGCCTCAGTTAAGAGGTAAACCCTGTGTCCTGCATGGCTCACAGCTGCACATTGTTTACATAAAGGCTCCAGGTCATCCAAACAGAACATAGGCAGGCTCTCTTCATGGTCCTCGCACTGCTCTGGAGAGTCGACTGACCAGGGAGGCGAGGCGAGGCCCTCTGCCTCTGGTCCAGGAAGAGATTCAGGGAGAGGGGATTGGCAGCTCATGGAGGGGCTGCTGGTGGTCAGAGCTTTCAGATATGAAGCCAGCTTGGTTTGTGTCAGACTTCAGCAGAGCGGTTTCATGAGTGTGCGTCCGTGTGTTTCGGTACTGGTGTTGCATGTGCAGTTGCCATACATCAGTCTAGAACTGAGGTGAGGGGTGCTTTAGTTAGATCTACTTACAAACTCAAACTTGAAGCTCAGCCAATGTGCCTACACCAGATGTAGCCATACATCACCTGCAGTGTCAGTCTGACTTTCACGACCCTGTGATTTATGGTATATTCTCAAAACCCGAGGCCAAATTCATTCCTGTGCCTAAGCTTGTGATTTTTACTACTTGGCTCATTTGCCCTCGTAGAAGGTGTAACAGCTCTTTCACTGAATGGAATATTTTTTTACAAGTAAGGTGTATTTGGGTTCCAGTGATATTTTGTGGTTTACTTCCTCTATTGTGCACAATTTCAGATTTTCAAAATTTACATCTCTAGTAGCAAGTTTTAAAATTGCCATATGTTCATCTGATTTAGGCTTTAATAGCAAGAGATGAGAATATCTGCAAGTTGGTCAGTTGCCAAACATAAAGTAACACTTCTTGTACAGTACTGAATGCCAAGTCTGAGTTATTTTAAATGGATCCAGTTTCATCGCCCTTTAACAGTTTGAGCTGCTCAGATTCTGAACACATGTAGAACAGATCGGATTTGACAGGTGAGTCATATTTCATTGAATCATATGATCTCAAGTGAAATAGACGATCAGTGCGGTCACATGCAACCTGTTTATTCTCATTTTACCACAGGTCAGGCGCCCTTTAGAGAAACTCACACAGAAACACAAACTGTAAACTTGTTACTATTAGCAGGTTTCCTGTATCAGACTTTGGTATGACTCAAATGTGTAGAGAGATTAAAAGTGATAAAACTGTAATGCCATGAAATGTCATTCATAATGTCTACAGATATTTTTCCACTTCTCTTCACACCAAAGAACTCAGTCAAAATGAGTCTTAGAGTTTAATGTGTTGTCCTTGACTGTTTTTTTGTCGTTTACATCATCCTCCAAATAAACTATAACACGAATACTAATACCTGTGAGGCATTATTTCACTGTCACACTTTGAAGAGTGGGTTCACATTTTTTTCAGGTCAGTCTTCATACACTTACATGCATTTTCTGATAGCACTAATAAATCCTGTAATTATTCCTGCTGTCCATACTGGCCATGACGCGACCCCTTCCCAATGCCATTCCAGTGTAAGAGATGTGAGTGTGAAAACACATCGTCAGTCCGGTCGAAGATAATGTAGGGCATCAACAGTCCTGAGTTGGTCCAATCAAGTGGGTATCTTCCAAAGTGTGGTCAATTTGGTTTCACTGGACAGTTTCTTATCTGAGCAGCAGCAGATTAACTTTGGTTAGACTATGGGATGCATTTTTCTATTCACAGAAAAAAAGCACAAAAAGCACTTATTGATATGGGAGTGTCAGTGTTGTTTCAAAGACAGACACGAAAAACTGGAAACCGAACCTTTAACCGTTTTGACTGTTTGCTACAACACACAACCTATACCGGCGTCTGATTTGGCGAAACACCTGAGCGGTGGCCTCTCGAACACCGGCTCAGACAAGATGGAACACGTCACGCCGCAGTAGGTGTCTCTGCGTGTGTTTGCATGTATTTCCTATAAGGCTTTTGCTGAGCTCCGCGGTGCACGTTCTGCTCTGACAGCTCTGTCCTCGCCGTCTCCGCTCCCTTCACTCTCAGCTCCAATAATCCTCTGACAGCTGTGTGTTACCTCTCTCTCTCTCTCTCTCTCTCCCTCTCTCCCTCTCTCCAGAAAATTATGTTTGGTGTACTTAAAGGCTTCGCTGTACTGCTCCTAAGAGTGGTTCATTTGCTGGTGCGCGCAATCTGCCTCTCTCGACTCTACAGCTCTGTCAACAGTCTGCTCAATTACAGCAGCTGATTCTGGGCTGCGCCACTTAACATGAGTCACATTATGCTCAGAAAATGGATTTTATGGCTTGACTCCAAGGGGATGAGAGGGCGATACACTAGAGGATGGGTGAATCACTGCAATTCCCCTGTGTCCTCTTTACCATCCCTCCATATCTGTGAGGTCAGTGACATCTCACACGCAGCCCATATGGTCTGTCAGCTGCAGATGTGTGAACTGTATTGGTGGCTGCGTGACCTCAGGGGGTGTAAAACATGACAAGCTCTTTCACACACTCATTTAGCGAAAGCCACAACTTCCTTCCATCTGTTAACTCATCTTCTGTTGCAAGAGAGGTCGAAGCAATGAAGGAGGAAGAAGGCCGGGGGTCTGAGAAGCTATAGCTTTTTTACAGTGGTGAAAATGACAAGCTGTACGCTCAGAGAAAAGACAAACGAGGATTTGATGGGACGAGAGTGTGAAGGATTCTAGAAGGCTGAAAAGAGAAAGAGATTTATACTGGTATCTTCTACAACTTCTAATCACCTTCTAAAATCACCAGCGTTTTAATCAGTTAACTTTCTAAGTTTCTTTAACTGTTGCATCAGATGCTGTTGATGTGACTGTAATTGCCTTAGATACAAAATCCTGCAACACAACATCAGAGCTCAGGTGTAGTTCCCCTTTCACCGCTCCAAGTCACTTACTGAGAAAAGCCCTCACTCTCCCTGGCACAGTGATGATCCTGGTCCTTGATTCCAATGTTTAATGTTGCTGCAAATAAAGCGGAGTATGAGGGCGTCAGCGGGGTTAGTTGTTGTTTTGCCACGTTTGTCTCAAGTATTGACTGTCAACATAAATCATTTTTGTTGAGATCCAACACAGTGGAATGGCGTGCGAGCGAAGGAAGAGGTGGGGAGAGAGTGATGAAAAGGGTGAGGATAAAACCGATTAGAATAAGAGGTTTGTGCGAGACGGGAGCAGAGCAGAGAAATAAACAAGAGGAGAAGGGATTAATGAGAGGAAAACACAGGAGAATGGGAGGGAAACTCACCTATCACCTGAACTCCAAAGAACACAGGCACATCTCAGGTAAGCCTGCAGGAAAATGGAATTAGTGTAAACTATTTTCAACAACAAAGGCCAGTCGCATGTTTATCTTTCAAGATGAGATTTATCTCGGCTTAATATTCAATAACTTTATCCTAATATTCCCTCTCTTCGTGCCCAGTGCACCTTTAACCTCACTGTCTCCGACCTTTGTCATTCATGCCTTGATAGCATGACAATACAGCAATTTACCAAACACCCACAACATCAACTTCGTATGTGAACTGTCACTGTGTTACAATGAAGGCAGCTGACAGACCAACAGAGAAGCCAACATATTCCTGCATTCTGCTTCTTGGACAGCGCTGTCTAACATGTGACTCCAAAATCTCCAACAGGGGTTCAATCTGGTGGAGATGTAGTGACCGCAAAAGGCTATTTTTTTATTTTTTTTCCTTTAATTGGTCGCCTCTCTGTCCAAAGCAGACTGGTCCTGTATTGCTGAAATCTATTCTTACCCTCTGTGAACCAACAGAGCGCATTGCTGACATGATGGAGAATTTGGCTCCTCTCTATCGACGTCACTACGGCTCAAATCTTTTGACCCACATGAGGAACAAACACATGGAGCCAACTGAACCCCGACCTCTCATCCAGCATCCTGTGAGAAAATCTAAAAGATTTGATATCTTAATATTTCTCTCTGCACGTTTCACTGAAACATGAAACTCTGATGTGTTGATGGTGTTGATGGTGTAGCTCTAACAGCCTGTGACCTTGTGATCCAGGATGTTGTTGCACACGCTGGGATTGTGTTGGAGGGGACTGTGCCCCAGTATCTAGATTGGATCTGGACACATCGCCACCTAGAGGTTACCAGCAGTTTTACAGTTGAGAGTCGTGATGCCAAACAGGTAAAAACAGAAATCGAGGAGCTGTTCCTTCTACTGTCGCCTGATCAAGTGCGTGTATGTACATGTGTGTTTTTTGTGACTTTGCTCCAGGTATTTGAGGGTGGTTGGGGGTGTAAGACAGAGCTGGTTCTGTCTGGCTGTCAGATCTGCACCTCCATACAAGACCACCGTGAGTTAGTGGATGACATGTGCCGACACATCACAGGTGTGCTATCAGACAACAGTTTCTACTTCAGACGGCCAGTCTGAACGTATACACACTGCAGCCGATGTTCGTGTCTATTCAAACAAGCACACTTTAATGTGCGTGTACATGTTGGTGCTTTTGTGTGGCTGCGTGCTTCAGGTAACCCAGGTGGTAAACTGGCGTGTTGGGATTGCCCCACAGCGTTCCCTGTCTTCATACAGCACCCTTACAATGCCCCAGTGTGTCTGGCCACTGCATCACACCAGGAACAGACACGGTGGACCAACATACTACGAGCTGCAACACAACATCAGAGCTCAGGTATCGTTCTCTAAGAACTGTTTCCACACAAAGTTTGCACATACTTCAATGCCTTCTTTTAAGTTTGTTTTGCTGACCATTAACCTGATATGGGTTATCTGCTGCCTGTTAGCACTCTGGTGTGAAGATTCACCGGAATCCAGGGCCTTTTTTGATGCCGTGTCTTCTTTGAAGAAGCTCAGAGAAAACTGTCAAACAGACGTACATCCAATTGGCAATGAGGAAGAGGTGAGACAAGCCATCTGGTATCTCTATCATCTTGTTACGATCTTGTTTTCCCATCCTCTGAACCTCTTTAGCTCTCAAAGATCCTCCTCCTGTCCAATTTAAACCACAATACTTTCTTTGTTTCCTTAATGTTCAACTATCTTGCACCTATCTACCAATTATCAGACAAAAGTTTTACTATTTTCACCTTCTTGTGTTGTATGCTGTCACGTATGAGGGCGTTTGCTTTCTTCTTTTCCCATCACAGGAGCCTTGTTGCCCCTCTTATAACACTTCTCTCATCTTTCTACATCTGTCTTTCTTTGCTCCTCAGGTGTTGGTGAGCATGCTGATGGAAGAACTGATGTCCTACCTGAGGGAGCAAGTCTTTCCCAGGATTATTGTACATCACAGCAGCAGGAAGCAAGCCTGGATCAGAGTAGGTGAAAAGAACAAAAATATAAACCAATGGACAAATGCATCTTACATGTCTTTCTCTTAACCTATAGTATATGCGTATTTTCTGCTTGTCAGTTGCTGTCTGAGGTCTACAAGAAAGCAAAGCAGCAGGTAAAAGCTGCGATGTCAGCTCTGAAGGAGGAGCTGTCACTTTATCGTTCGGTTGTGGGGAAACAGATGCCGGCAGGGCTGCAACAGGCCAGCCTGCTGCATGACCACATTGCTCACACAATCACAGGTGTGTGTTTGTGGGTGTGAAGTCAGAAGATGTTAAAAAAAAAAAAAAAGAGGCTATGCTCATCGTCCTGATCATATTTGCTGCTCTGTTTCTTCTCACAATAGAGGACATGTGTGAACCGATGTTACAGTCTCTCCGGTGCACCATCATCCCAAGACTCGACCGCACTCTGCAGGAAGTGGCCACGCCCATCTGTGACGGATTTGCATCAACCTGGCAATACTTCCTGGAGTCGTGTGATGACATCATAGACCTGGGATCAATGAGCATATCAGTGAAAGATATTAAAAAAGAGGTACAATGGACAGTTATATAATTTAAAGAGAAAAGTGTTATTTCCATTATGTTTTTTTTTTTTTTTAAAGATGCTAAGCAATTAAATAGACCAATGGTACCAAAATTGTGGATCATGAGCACCCAGTGGGCCCCAGGAAAACTCTAAGGTGTCCTAAAATGTTTCAATGAATAAGAGAGAAAAACAATTACAGAAAATGGTCTTTATCTAACTTTAGCATTTCTTCTTTGACAAATCAAATGAATTTTCATCAAATGAAATCGTGTGAAAAGTCAACATCACTTTGGTTGAACTGCTGGAACTGGTGTCCATGTTGAGGCATTAATACAACAATCTGTGATCATTTTAAACAACCATAAAGGGCTGTGAATCACAGCTCTAGACTCAAAGGTTGTGTCTGCAGATTATTTTTTTTTTAACACAAAGTAGCAGCAGATGAAGGATCTTTGATAGAAATGTCCCTCAGGTGACAGGTGAGGTGTTTTTATAGTATCTTTAGCCCACTTCATTATTTGTCTGGCAGCTATGCAATTCAAGAACTATGTGATGATATGTGAAGTCTTTACGTGGCCTGAGGCATAAAATACTTTAATGGAAGATCATATAATGGTTCCTTTAAAATATAAATAATACTTTATAGACAATGATATCTCATTAACCAACTTCTATTAAACCAGGGGGGAATTTATCATCTGTTCAACATTTTTACACCATCTCCAAGGCCTTTTCACAGAGCTGTAAGTTCTAATGGGAACTGCAACAACACTCTGGAGAAAATACCAAGGGTGGCTTAATGTTCTCTGGAGAAAGTGTAGTGAAACTATAATAAGATGTTTTGTATCCGAGGTGCTGACACCGCTGAGTGGCCTCGGGCCAGATGATGGCAGGATGTGGCAGTGTCTGGACAGGCTGGAGCTGAGCTCAGAGGGATGTGCTTGGCTACAGGAAACATGGGGAGTCCACAGTGGAACATGGAGACCTCTGCTACTCAAAGCCCAAAACGCTCTCTACAAAGTAATTTAACAAACATGTTCATACCTCTCCTAAATTAAGGCTTTTTTTTTTTAACAATGCTGCCTTTCACACCCATCTGCTCTTGTCTCCCTTCCAGGTGATTGACATGTGTGCTCTGATGTTCTGCAGGTTGGTCTCTCGATATCCATGTAGCTCATCTGACTCTGCTCAGCTCACGGCGGTGCTGTGCAGGGTCAAAGACAGAGTGGTCAAGGTGTGTACCATTACGGGCGTGGGAAAAACACACATCTCAAAATGTTACTGTCACTGATTGAACTGGAAAACAATCACATATTTCTCCGTGTCCGTTCCCTGTTTCTGCCTGTTCCTCAGTTACAACCACAAACTGTATATCCACGTAAATTACGGGGTGGATTGGGGGGGATCTTACCCCCTGATTAAGACTTGAACGCGCCCAAAAGAGGTAACAACAACAGTTCAGGGGGGTTGAAACATTTACATAAGCTACGTACCAGTAATTGAAAATATTACAATATATTTCCCATCTCATGCCTGGAAGAATATTGTAGTACGATTTCATACACCGTACGGTACCACTTCTTTACCTTGACGTTAGTTGCACGTCTCGTCTGCCTGGAGCCTCACTGTCACACCCAAATCTCTACCCCCATACCTTGCGCAAACACTGTGGGTAAAGGTAAGAAGCAAAGGCTAACTATCTAGTTCGTTTAATACACTTTACTTTCTTAGCATCTGAGTTTCTGATTTAGACTGCGTAAAGTATCCACGGATGGATGCTAATGTTAGCTAGTTTATCTAACTAATGTTAGCGAGCTGATGGCACATCCTCTCATTTCCAGTGCTGCAAGGACTGTATAGAGTGGGCCTGTACCCCCCGATTGTCACTGTATAATTTTAAACTCTGCACATAATGCAATCAAAACTTACTTATTCACAGCAGCTGGACACAGAACTGCTGGCTCTTCGATCTCAGCTGATTCTGGAGATGACCCTGCAGATAACACTGTCAGCATTTACACACAGTGTGGGTGAGCAGGTACAGTGCGTGTCTGTACATTTATTTTTGTGTGTCTTGACTTATATATTTTGGTCTTCATTTGTAAAAGTGAATTCCCTGGTTTTAGGATTTGTCTCGTTACGATGCCATGGTGACCTCAGAACAAGCCGTCTTCATCCACCCTGACGCTATCTTCCACTTCATCCTGAGAGACAGCCTGACGTCTTACATCCAGTCAGGTACAGCGGGTGAAGAGTGACTTTTTCAGTTACTGTTTGGATCAAAACAACCTAACTGCTCTGTGTGTGTTTTTGTGCCCCCCCCCCCCTTGCAGTGATGAGGTACTCCCTGCCACGGCAATTTGTGCCTCTCCCTGTCAGCCCGATTAATCCCTGCAGCTCCGGCTCTGGTTTCTCTGAGCCAGCGGACGAGCTGCTGCCTCCTGGGGACTGCCAGCAGAACCAAGCCTCAGCAGGCTCTTCCTCAGGATCTGAAACACTCACGCCGAACACCATGTCTGACTGGGATGACACTTTGACCCACTCGGAAAACCACATACTCCCACTACTTAATGCAGGAGAATATGTACATCTCACTGAGCCATGAAGGAACTGTAGCCCAACACTAAACTAATTGTCAGCCACAGTATATTAATGAAATTGTTATGTGGTATCGACAGGTATTTTAACCTTATTATGCATATTCATTCAAATGACATCATTTGATCTTTCACTTTGAGCACTGGGAAATTGTGTCTGGCATTTTCCACTATTTCATATAGTAAATAAATAATAGATTGATAGAAAAGATTGTTGATTGATAATGAAAATAATCCTTAGTAGCTGCTCTATGTTATATTGTGGTTCATGAACTCCTACAGTCCAGTAGCCTACTGTATGTAAACTTGCTGGTTTGAGCTACATTATTGTGCTGACACAAATAACATAAAATGTATTTTAGTCCATCGCAAAGCAGTGCATCGCAAGTCAGAGGATGTCCTGAGGAGTAACAGGGTAATTGAAAGGACTGAGAAAAAAAAGGTCACATATTTTTTTCCCCAAAGGTTCTGCTTTTTTTTTCTTGTGAAATACTGCACGTTCACCTCCAATACTCTAAAATCATTCATAGAAACAGTCTGAGAAGAAAAGTAAAATCACTCTCTCTCAAATCACCCGCTGCTGTAAAGTTGAGGACGAGTATCACAATATTCTTTATTTCTGAACCTCCAGAGGTGTGACAGGCCTGCAGTACATTGATCACCCTGGACACGCCCATGGCTCTCTATCCGCTTCCTATCGACTACAGCTGGAATCTGTTCTTAAAGGGGAGGACAGCAGATTGCAGAAAGAGCCTAATAGTCCAGACGGCTTTATGGGATACAAAAGGTTTTTCACATAAAATAAAACTAATCCGAACCCAAACCCAGAAGCAGCTGCCTGACGTGATGCATTTCACTATGTAAACAAGACACAGGGAGGCTGGCCTACGACGGTCTTTTGAGAGCAGCGAGTTCCCCTTAAACCAGCCCAGACCTGCCCTTTAATTCAGCCTGCTCCTCCGCCATGTATCCACTGTCGGCATAAGACAACAGCGGGACCCTCAGCCTCCACATCCCCTGCGTCCTTCTCTGTCTGCCGCGTCACTAGCAAGTTTCTCTCCCCTGCCATGCTCCGGGTCACCTCGCTGTTGCCTGCCCTGCTTTTAGTTCTCCTGCCGGGCCTGAGCCGGGGATATTTCCCCGAGGAGCGCTGGAGCCCCGAGTCTCGGCTCCTCGCCCCCCGGGTTGTCATCGCTCTGGTCTGCCGCAACTCGGCGCACTCTCTGCCGCTGTTCCTCGGTGCCATCGAGCGTCTCAACTACCCGAAGGACCGCATTGCGCTGTGGTGAGTGACATCGCTGCAAACTTTAAAAACAAGCATGGAAATACATTATTATTACAGGGAAAGGCAGACTAAACCATGTCAGAACTTTTCCATAAGTATTTAGGCATATTTTATCAGTAATAAAGTACGACAGAGTGTGATTTAACGGCAGTCTGGGCTCATTAAAGAAGCGCAGAGACACGTCAAGCCCTTGCAGAAATTAAGTGGAGGAAAACCAGTGAGATGTGGCCAGGTGGGGACGCTGTGTTATTATCAAGATGTAGGAGAAACGCACGAGCGCCTTATCTCGACTGTTAATAAACCAAGTCAGCGGTGAAATGAGTGGAAGTTACAGCGGCGTCGCTCTTCGCGTGCCGAGGCGTTTTATGGTATTTGCCCCGGCGGCGGAGCTCAGAGGGCGGGTAGCGCCGGCAGGGTCGTGCCCATGAAAAGTTCCATTCACTCACAGATCCTGTCTCTGATCACCCCTCCGTTTTTTCCCCTCCACCCACCCCCTTTTTGTTCCCCCTCCCTCTCCCACTTCCACATCTTGGCCTTGTAATGCAGTGCAATGCAGGCTCGACAGGAAACAAAACGAATATTGTTGTAAAATTAAAAAAAAAAAAAGATTTTAAAATTTCAACCTGAGCTGTCAAAGTCGTGTATAATCCAGGTACAACAAACTGTGTCTGTGCAGCTGCTTATTAACAGCCTCTGCACGATTTACCTTCCTTTACCTCAAGCTGTTTTTCTGTCACCCAGCCCCCAGTCTTCCTTCCAGATTATTCTTGTCTTCAGCATTGTTCTCTTCCTCTTCTCATTTTGATCGTGAGCCACCAGATCTGTTTGTGAAGATTAAATGAATCTTTTCATCAGCATTCAGACCTGACAGGTTAGATTATATATCTGTGCCACCAGCCAAAAAAGGGCAACAGCCTCAAGCAGAAATTTTGTTTAATGTGACTTTGTGAGTTTGGATTAAATTTAGATATTGTTCACTGTTATGAATTGATTGTTTGATCAAAGAGGCCTCCTCTAAATGTTGAACTGAACCTTTTCAGAGGGAGATAAAATGAGGGATTCATGTGTCCCTGTGTCTCTTTAAACAAACCAGCCTGGTTGTTGAGTTTTTTTCCCTTGTATTCAAGCCAGAAATTCAGTCTCTGTGCCTGACTCTAACTATGCCCATGTGGCAGCCTGAGCTCAGTTTTCTGTGTGGTTGCTTTGATCTGAAACATGTCTCTTCCGTCTGTGGAAGAACTGATACAATATGTTTTGAAATGCAGCGTGAAAGACATAAACCGAGCTGCTATAGCTGGCTACCTGTTAATACCTGAAGTTATCAGCGTGACAAGTTAAGATGAAGTACTTGGCAAGTGGCAACATGGACACACATGCGTGCAGACTGCCCAGTGGTGAGTGTGTGCTCTGCAGGGACATGCAGGATGGATATTATCATTTCATAAATCTTCCCTTTTCATCCATCTGCCTCTGTCTCAGCTCTCATATCCGTTAGGCATGGTTCTACTGCTGGCATGCAAGCAATCCAAAATATTTACATGAACCCTTTTTATTCACCACCTCTGCTCATTCAAAACTTCACAGCGGTCAGATATGTCTCTCAAACAGAGAGGGAAAGTTGGATAGATGCACACAGAGAGAGAGAGAGAGAGGAGGAAGATGGATCAGCAAGTCGGTCACATGTAGGTGCGGGGACGGCACTGCTGTGTTAAAACACCACAGACAGATGGGAAACTAACACCCGCAGCACGCCGACTGTCACTCACTGCATGACAGGGTTTTCAGTAAATCAGTTTCTCTCATATTTACACATTCTTTCGCTCTCTGTGTCTCTGCCCCTCCCCGACACACTGAGATTTGTTATGATAACACAGACAGCAGACGAATGCCGCCCCTCCCCTTCTCAGCCCCCATTGTCTTTCTTTGTTCTTCTCTGTCCATGTCTGATGTTAGTGATGTGCAGCTCTGCTCTAATGACCCTCAGAGAATGAAAAGTAGAGCTGCCTAGTAAGTCAATATAATGTTAACATCATAATATAAAATTCATTATCGTCTGGTATTTACATTTATCGTCAGTTTATCCCAAATGTTGTCTTGTCCAGGTCTTGCTGCACTAAGCTCTAAAGCTGCACTAATCTATATTATTTATACTAACATCAAATGACTATGTGCAGTGTAAAAGGCCTCACTCATAGTGAGGCACCTACAGAGAATTATCACCCGGCTTTGCCGTCCCCCTCGCCTCTATGGACCGTTTTAGCATCTTTCAGCTCATTGCTTTGTTTTTTCTGCGAAACACTCCTCGCTCCTCAGTGTTTTCAGTAAGAGAAAACAACAAAAAACTGTAATACGTTTACCCGCCCAGCACCAAACATATATATGTATATATGTATATATGTATATGTAAGTGTATATATGTGTGTATATATATATATATATATATATATATATTTTTTTTTTAGGAGTTGTGGAGACCAAAACAGAGCTAGCAGTAGAGTATATTTTGTCTAGAAACCTCAGATGAATACTAATGTTGTTGGACTGGATGGTTGGATTTGTTGCTGGGCAGGTTTTGACAACTTCCACCATAACAGCTTTATAATATGATAATATGTCATGTAATCCCACAGGTGAAAAAAAAGAATGAAAATGAAGTGCCAGCTGCAGCTGTGCTACAGTTGATAGACTTTTCTGAGCTTGTTTGTGTGTTGTCGCTTGATAAGATTATTAACAATGAATTGTTCCACTTATTTGGTGTCATATTTCCAATAGTGATTCCCAATATACTGTTATATACTCATACTTACAAATTTGTTGGGATGTAATTAACAATTATTTTCATTCCTGAATAATCTCTGACATGTTTCTGATTAATCAATTAATTGTTTAGTCAGAGTCATTAAGTGAAACATTTTCCAGAGTGTAAGGTGGCATCTATACATTTTTTTAACAATCCAAAACCTAAAGATGCTGAATATAATGATATAAAACAGAGCGAAGCAGCTATGTATAAGGTAACATGAGGATGTGATTACGCGTCACTTTGTATGAGTTGGAGTATTGAGTAACTTTTCATGTAGAGACATTAGCTCATTGCAATAAATAGATGGACCGAACCAGAAAACAAAGGGGCTCCTGCTGTTCAAATGCCATTTGAGTGGCAGAATAATAACTGCTGGCAAATATTCATAAATAAGGCAATATCCTGCACACGGATTGCTGTGGTGCTCAAAATTCAGTGAGTGTCCCAATGCAACTGAATGAAGGTGGAATTTTATAACAACAGTACAAAGAAACTGTTTTTATGAGGATCAGTTTGATCTTAAGGTCAGTATCAGGACCAATATCATCCCCACATATTGCTGCTTTAATATAAATATATGATAAAAAAAACTGTATCCATATATCTGCCCATAGGCCAAAGTAAGAGTGGATCTTTGTCTTACAGCATTGATGCAGATCAAAGTGCATGTTATGACTGGCGGTTGTTTTCATCCTCCCACAGGGTGGCGACAGATCACAACATAGATAACACCACAGCCGTCCTGAGAGACTGGCTCATCAAGGTGCAAAATTACTATCACTATGTGGAGTGGAGACCTGAAGATGAACCCAGGTACTGTGTGTGTGTGTGTGTGTGTGTGTGTGTGTGTGTGTGTGTGTGTGTGTGTGTGTGTGTGTGTGTGTGGTGTGTGTGTGTGTGTGTGTGTGTGTGTGTGTGAGAGAGATGAACAAGTTACTCAGTTGGTCTGTCTGTGCTTCTCTCAGTGCCTTTGAAGACGAGGTGGGGCCTAAGCATTGGAATAATCTCCGTTATGAACACGTAATGAAGCTCCGTCAGGCAGCGATGGACACCGCCCGTGAGATCTGGGCCGACTACCTCCTGGTATATTATCACCCACTCAACGGCTTCATAAGCTTCTTCTTATTATGTGTCCTGTGCGCAGATAAGTGTTGTAACCTGATTCATAGCACTCGACCCTTTAAATATCTATCTGTCCATCCATCTGGCTGTTGAGTCTTCAATCAAATCAAAAATGTAGATCACAAAGCATAGCTCAGTCTTGTTTACATTGAAAAGGAAGGGCACACAGAGAGTGCCGACCTCCACCAAGGCCATTTATAGCAAATGGTTCAGATCTGCACCAAAATGTAATGGGTTCTTCCCTGGCCAATGTCCCATCCCTCCACCAAGTTTGGTGCAAATCGGTTCAGTACTTTTTATAAGTAATCCTGCTGACAAATAAACACACACAGGTGAAAACATAACCTCCCTGGTGGAGGTAATGAAAAGGCCATGTTTTAGGCTGGCAAACATTTTGGATGACTGCTCACTAATTGTTTATTGTAAAAGTTTTAATTTCTTTATATTTTTAAAATATAATGCAAAAGACAAAATTTGTCTTTTCATTCATAAACGCAACAACTATGGCACATTCTCATTATCTCTGTGACATATGAGATATTCCTCATTATTTAGCCATTCTGGTACAACAGCAGATTTAAAGTGATAGTGCAGTTTGTTTTCAGTTCAACTAATGATTAGATTGATTGTAATTTTGAGTGTTGAGGTGTGTTGATATATGATTTAAATCCTCTGCCAGCCAATCAGAAATGATTTTTTTCAATGGCCATGAAAAATTGAGTGGGTGGTAAGTGGCCGGTAAGTGGCCAGTAATATGGCCTGGGCAAACCTGGATTTTTACATCTGATATTGCTTTTGATATTTGAGAGTTTAAAAAAATCAGATCTGTCAATACGTAAACAAACTTTTTATGAGGAGTCTTTAATTCTAGTCTGTAGTTGAAATTTACAGTTAAAAAACAAACTTGTGATGAACAAATACGTGATGGCAACACTGGTTCTGAACCTTAAACATTTTGTTGGCATTTCTTTGCACAAGTGCTCGCTGATTATTGGCATATTGATATATGAGCCAATACCCATGTGTCCGGGATGAGTTAATATCAGCCGATATTTCAGCCTGCCTTCTGGTCATGCTCTAGTAAAAAAAAAAACATCAGGTCATGTCACACTGGAGAGGTACAGTTTTAAATGTCAGCTGAAGAATGACCTCAGTTTTAAATTGGCAGTATGAAATGCAATGGACAAATATTATGGCTGAAGAAAATTCTGTTTGTTTTGGGGGCAGCCTTTATTTATTGGAGCTGTTCTTGGTGAGATACACCGAGCCAGACATACACAAGGTTTAAATGTCAAGGTTTGACATTGACAAAACTGTTCCTCGCCGGACATAGAACAGCATTTATTCATAACAAATGCAATGGCAGTCTGTCGGTAAAGGTTGTTGAAGGTGCAGAGGGGAGCTGCTTATGCTCACAGGGCTCTGTGGTCAAACCATGTCGCTGTGGCTCAATCAATCATTTAGTGTCAGTGGGTGACATTTTCACTCTGCTTGTGTGTGATTGTTGTCAATATTGTGCCCATCTCTTCCATCTGTAGGTGTCTGACTGTGACAACCTGCTCACCAATCAGGATGTGTTGTGGAAACTGATGATGGAGAACAAGACCATTGTAGCTCCCCTGTTGGAGTCCAGGGCTGCATACTCCAACTTCTGGTGCGGCATGACCTCACAGGTACTGCACATATTTTCTTCTGCGCTGTTCCGCACTTACACCTGTATACCCGCTTTAGGTACACCTCAGAGATCCTGCACATCCTTCAGACCAGATTTAACTGTTGTGTATGGAGTAGCTGATACAGCATGGGTGTGGTATAAATATTCTGCTTTGACTAATGTAGTAGCACCTGTGACAGCCAGATGGCAAAGAAAAAATCCTGCGGGGAGTGATCAGAAATTACATTAAATATTAAAAATAGTCAAGGTCACTTTAAAGTCACTACTCCCAGCCAGATGCTTTCAAGTCCCAGTAAGAGTATTAAACAAATGTAACGCATGGGATTGAAATGATGAATAATAATGTCTCTATATACCCATATGAAGTCCAGTATTAAGTCACTGATAGTGAGTAAAATATCAATTTTCATGCACAGCTGCTGAATAATCGGACGCATCTCCTGCCACCTTCATAACACGCAAATATAATCTCGAAGGAATTTTACACTCGATTATTTTTTCTTATGCAAGAGGAAATCGAGTTTGGGAAATAAGTCACTTTAGAAACGCTTCAAATGAGTCAATTTGAAAGAATAGGAGAGATGTTTTTCTGCTGTATGGCTGTGGTAAATATGATTTGTAAATGAAAGTAAATGATTTGCTTTGTCTCACAGGAGAACTGAAACTTGCCTGATCTGATAACACATGATTCAACTCTGATAAAAGTTGATGACATTAGTAGATCATATGGCTGCTGTTTGTGTTGCTGACAAAGACTAGAGGCCACCGTGTCTTTAAATGAATGTATGCCTCATAAGTCATTTAAATTTAATGTTATTTAAAAAAAACAACTTTTTGATATTCGGACAGTATGACAGTAAAAACTATTATCTTGAATATGCAGACACACACATAGTTGTGTGGGCATGCTTTTGACTAATCAAACTTGCATATCTGATGTATCACGCATGCCGTCTGTGATCTATTTCTGTCTCGGCAGGATGCCTTCGAGTACTCATCTTTGCTTCTTTTCAAATCAGAGTAGACATTCAGACATTGTCTATCCTCCAGCCCAAAATAAACCAACTTCAACCCAGTGTCTGCCTCTGATTCCTCCACAGAACATTTTCTTCATTGACGGTTAATAGGCCTGTAGCCAAAAGGCAATAAGCAATGTCTGTCAGTGTCTGTATTACTCTGTGCCACTTTATTACATTTTTTTTTTTTTTTTTTTTTTAACTTTCGCAATAAAAATTTATGCTTTTTTAAAATTAATTTAGTAGGCTCAGACTTTGGGCAGCCAATTTTCTCAATAAAGTCTCAGTTAAATCCCTCAAATGAAGTTCCACCCTGACAGTTTTTTATTTCATGTGGAAAATTGTTTGTGTGCGCTCCCTGCAGGGTTACTACAAGCGTACTCCAGCCTACATGCCCATCCGTAAGCTAGAGCGCCGTGGCTGTTTCGCTGTACCGATGGTCCACTCTACCTACTTGGTGGACCTACGGAAAGAGGCCTCCCGTCAGCTGGCTTTTTATCCACCACACCCAGAGTATAGCTGGGCCCTGGATGATGTCATCGTCTTTGCCTACTCAGCTCGCATGGCAGGTGAGATGAATGCAAGGGAGACAGACTCATTATCTGGAGGTTAACGTGTCAAACGTCTCTCTGGACGTGCTCCAGATGTGTGTTTAACCATTCTTTGCCTTTCTTTTCTCTTCCTTCAGATGTGCAGATGTATGTGTGCAACAAAGAAACATATGGGTATTTCCCAGTGCCCATGCGCTCCCACGCTACCCTGCAGGACGAGGCAGAGAGCTTCTTGCATACACAGCTTGAGGTCATGGGTGAGTCAAGAGGTCAAAGAGTGCTCAGACAAGACCAGAATGTTTTCTTTGTGCTCTGCAATTTTAGCAAAAGAGTGCAGGTTCACTTGTGATGAAGCACGTAAACAGACACGAGGCTGTGATCATCGTAGTGCGATGGAAGTGTGTCGGTTTCAGATTGATGGATCCGTTGTCACTCCAGCCGTCTTTTGCTTGCAGTGGCATGTTGTGCTGCTCTGCAGTGCTGTGTTGCATTTAATGGATTTTTTCATCTTGCGCTTAGAAACTGTATGTAATCAAACTGAATGTTGTTTTTCTTGCTGTAGCAATTCTTAAAAAAGCAACAGGTTTTCTGGAAGTAGCCAAAAGTTGTAAATTAATATTGAGTCATAGAGTTAATTAAGCATGTCGTTTTTTAGGCAGAAACGTACAGTATATTGTATTGACCTTGTCCACTTCTGCTACACGACCAAATTTCTTCAGCCAAAATGTTTCTGCAGTCAGTTTTTTCTATTTAAGCTTTCGGCATGATAAGCATGGAAAGCTACTCAGATGATACATACAGTGCAACAGGAAGGGAACCAGAGTGTGAGTGAGAAAGCTTGTGCCATTAAAATGCAAAGGAACTGCAGCGACAGATTAGGTGCGACTGTAATTGACTTTAATTCATAGACTCCCAAAAGAGATTAGATGTTATCAGAATTATCAGGTTATGTGCTACTGAAACTGACTCTTGTTAATTTCATTTTGTCACTGTGAAGGAATTTTTTCCTTCTTTAGGTCTTTAGTTAGTTTAGGATAGTGAGACTCATACTCAAGCCCTGAAAGCAGTCGTTCATTGTCTGTCTCGAGGATAGCTGGGAAGACACTGATAGGGTTCCAGCTGGCCCAGTCCCCAATGACAGTTAGCATAGCAACCAAGGTCATAATGATATCATGGACTGATATAGGAGGGACAGACTAAGGAGGGAATGGTCATAACACAGGGACAGACCGTCTTTCCTTGAGATTCCTCATACAAAGAGACTTAGGTAACACGGGTTAATGTTTATGATTTGGTACCCAATAGAAACTTTACACATGTATGGCTTGATGCTGTGGTCCCATATCCTTATATGGACATGTGGTAAGTTTTATGTGAGTCCTGTAAGGGTTAAATGCGCCCCGTGCAGGGACGATGACCTTCAGCATCGGGTGGCATCACACAGTGTTCTCCTCGATGTACTGAGCTTCAGTGAATCCTTCTGCTGAAGACATCTGGGTCTCCTGAAGCTTCTTTCATCACGAGTTGACCCGCTCGCAGATTTCCATTACGATCACAGCATAATATCCAGCTGTATACACATCTTCTTTGAACAGTTGAGGAAACACCAAAAGGGTGGGCTGCGAATCCTACACAATGAATAATGATAATGACAATTCTAATATCTGTATACTTATACTATAGCTTTTGAAAACGGAGCAAAAGTTAAACTATGGTTCTTTGAGGGAGCACCCTGTGGTTCCCTGGAAGACATTTTGGGAGCCCTTGTTCCAACACATTTCACATTCTCTTTTTAACCTTCCCCCCTTTTTTCTTTGAAAGTGAAAAATCCTCCGTTGGAGCCCTCCAGCTTCCTGTCTCTTCCTCCCAAGCAGCCTAACAAGATGGGCTTTGATGAGGTACACACACTCTCTCTTACACACACACACACACACACACATACACACACACACACACACACACATATACACAATAACCAAAGCATGTGTGTGAGAAATCTGCGTTTTTGTGCACCCAGGTGTTCATGATAAATCTGGTGCGGAGATCTGACCGTCGTGAGCGAATGCTAAGAACCCTGTACGAGCAGGAGCTCAGCTGTAAGGTTGTTGCTGCTGTGGATGGCAAGTACGTTTCTCATCTTCCTTCTCCCCCACTGCCTGTGTCTTCCTGCTTTGTGCCTCTGCAACATGCGGTGTAGATTGATGTAGGCAGGCAGGGCTGAGACAAACAACCAGGTGAAAAGCAGTGGGATGCTTGCTGTCATCTAAAGATACCCTGAACACATCGTTTTAGCCCGTCGGGGTAAAATCCAATTCTAATCTTTATGTAGCCCAGTCTGTCATTAGGGTGTGTCGTGTTTTACATAATTGATTGTGTCTTCTCAGCTCCCGCATGGCTTTTGTTACATTTGTATTGTAAATTCAGCCCTTTGCCTCCCATTTCTCACATAACTTATTGTTTCCAGCTCTGATCTCTGTGTCCATCCCTTCTCTTTCTCTCAGAGCGCTGAACAAGTCTGAGATAGAGTCTATGGGGATTAAGATGCTGCCGGGGTACAAAGACCCTTATCATGGTCGACCTCTCACCAAGGGTGAACTGGGTTGTTTCCTCTCTCATTACAACATCTGGAAGGAGGTGAGACGCTCAGACAGGCCTCGGGCCTCTCGGTCTACCTGTACATGGCAGATAACGTTTACTACTGAAAAACACAGTAACTCAGCTTGTGTGAGGAAAGGAAGCTTGTTTTATTTCTTCCAATAAATGTACTAATCTTTTGTGAAAATACGTTTTTTAGCAACTAGAAATGTGGTACTCCTCTGGATAGTTTTGTTATAGTTTAACTGCACTGTTTTTCAGAAGTCCAAAATGAACACAAAGAATAAGAACACAAAGAGTAAAATGTTGTAGCCACTACTTCTGTATTTTTATTAATTCTGATCAAAAGAGTCCAAGTGTTATTAATACCAGTAAAGGATTTAAGAACCTTTGCCATCATACTAACGCTTGATCACACTGTAAATAGTACAGTCAGGTTCATCAGCCTCTCAGCAGCATTGTAATGCTCTAAATCCATATATGTGTGTGTTTAGATAGCAGACCGTGGTCTGCAGACCTCCCTGGTCATCGAGGACGACCTCCGCTTCGAGGTGTTCTTCAGACGTCGTCTCCAGACTCTGCTGCAGGAGGTGACGACACACAAGCTGGACTGGGATCTCATGTGAGTCATGCTTCAGTGAACGGAAGGAAAACACGATGTAGTAAACAGAGCGGATTATCGTCCCCCTACAGTGAAATCCGTCCATCTGTCACACATGATATCTCAGACACCAGTGTTCAGATGCTGAAAACACTTGTAGAAATAATGCATCATGTCATCCCACTACAAAGCACGGTGCTCCAGCATTTTCACATTTACAGTGAGACATGCAAAGGGCTGGTGTCACAGAAGAGCAAGGTGGAGGAGCAGTCCTGTTGATTTTCTGCACAGACAGTGTTAGACAGGCATGAAAGAAAGTTACTTAATAAAAAGTCTAAGGTACAAGTCTGTGTACATTAAAATATAGATAGTGAAAGTAACTGTGATTTCCAAGGAGGGTTTTGATAACAGCACCACTAACAGCAGTCTGAGGCTAAACATGAGGCTTTGGAGAAACAACACTTTTGGACTCATGGATATTGTATGATTTAGAGCCATCCACCGTAGCAAACTCTCTCGCAAACAAAACAAACATTATTTCTCAGGATCACAGTTGAAATAAGTAAAACTGAAGGTCATAATCTAAACCAGTAGTATTGTTACTCCATTGTTCCTATATTAAATAATATTGAGGATATCATTAAAACAACATTTTTAGTAGCAATTTACACTGAGAAAAATTACTTCCTGAAGCTGCAGCAGTATATAAGTAAATAAATAAAATTGGATGGTCCAACACAACTAATACAGTAGCTATCTCCGTTTTTGGACTCTCCAGGTTCACCATTGTTGAGCGCAACACAATATTTTTTTATATGAGTGTATGATTTTGGTCCAAAATATTGGTGTTATAAATGCTGTTTGACTGGGTCCCTAATTTTGTGCTTGTGCTATTTTGTTATCTTCCCCTTGCCCTTACACTCTTGTACAGTTACATCGGACGGAAGCGCATGCAGGTGGACCATTCGGAGAAATCTGTGCCCAACATACACAATCTGGTGGAAGCTGACTATTCCTACTGGACGCTAGGCTACATGTTGTCGTTACGCGGCGCTCAGAAGCTCCTCAGGGTCGATCCTCTGAGCAAGATACTTCCTGTCGATGAGTTCCTCCCTGTAATGTACGACAAGCATCCAGTGTGAGTATAACCATTTCACTCTGTTCCTCTTATCCACTCTGTCTCTTCTTTTTGATTCCGTCTTGTAGCGCTCTTTTCAATCTAATCACGTCCCCAAATTCCTCACTCATCAGTTCAGAGTACATGGACTACTTCGAGCGTCGGGACCTGCACGCGTTTTCTGCCGAGCCTCTCCTGGTTTATCCAACCCATTACACAGGAGACCCCGGCTACGTCAGTGACACGGAGACGTCGGTGGTCTGGGACAACGAGAAGGTCAAAACCGACTGGGACCGAGCCAAGTCGAGGAAAACTCAGGAGCAGGAGGAGCTGAGCTTCGAGGCTCAGAACTCTGACGTACTGCAGTCTGACCTGGAGAACTGGAGCGCACGGGACGAGCTGTGATGAAGAAGAGAGGACGTGAGGGGGAGTGAGAGCGAACTCTGGTGTACAGAGATAAGGATGAGGGCGATAGAACAAAGCTGTGATCGTGGGGGAAATGGATAAGAGGGAAGGAATATAACAGAAAGCAGAAGAGGGAGGGAAAGGCAGAGTAGATGGGCACAAGGCTGATAAGGGACAATTGCTTTTCCTTGTACATTTCTCTCTCCACTATTTAATCTCTCTCTTAAAAGAGCAGGTTAGATGTAGTGTTAACTCTTGAAGAGTCAGCAAGCAGCTTTTGTTTTATTTATTGCATCCAGTGTACATCCCTTGACCACAGCCTGGTCCATTAATAGTCCCATTGTTTTTATTATAATTTTCAGACTCGTTCCGTACAGTATTCTAAATAAATTCCCATTATGTGATTTTACTAAATTTTCAGATATGCAGTGTTCCTCTAACATGTCAACTGTCCAGCATAATTTCACAAGCTGCAGTATGTTTTGAGTTTAAAATGGGAGCGTCCAAAGTATTACATTTATTACATCTCTTTTTGGACTGACTAAAAAAGTCTCAAGGAAGAAAACAGAATCGCTGAAACATTGCCTTTGCTGAAGAGTGCTATATTCTCTCTCAGTGGTTCCCAACCTGGCTATTGAACCCTTAAAACAAAGTAATCACTACTTGCAACACCTTATCACCAAGAAGTTTGACTTTGTGTAGAAGAAAAATGTCTTTCTGCTCTTGCCTTCTGTTAATCATCTTGTGATACCTTGTGGGGGTCCTGACCCCTAGGTTGGAAACCACTACTCTGTCTTCTTCTTCTCATCTTCTAGTGGCTCCTGTTTAGTGTAACTCCTAGTAGCTTGTGTTATTTATTATACATTTTTTGAGGTTGTTTCTTAATCTTAACCAATCTTTTCACTCATGAATGTACCAGTGTTTGCCTTTATTTTACCTTGACGCTTTTACAACAGCAGTTTGGTTTAGTGTTTCAGGGTTTCCCCCTCACTAAATATTGCAGTTTTGACCTAAACTTGCAGCTTTTGTTGCGTTTTGTTTGGTGAAGATCAGAAAAACAAAATGGATATATTTCACTTTTCATGTTTTGTCTCTCCTCTGTGTACAAAGTGTGTCTTTTATACCAAAGAACGAATAAAAACTTTTATAATGAACAGCTTGTTTTGGTTGTATATTTTTGTGTAACAGAACTTAGCTCCGGCTAAAAAGGGGCTACACTCGAGCAACAGTCTCAAAAAAATTGTAGGTTCATTTGTAGCCAGAGCTCCAAACATCAAGACACTCTCTTCACTGCTTCCTTTTCTGGCAGACAACAGTTTTATTTTAGCACAGACATCAACGCCCCACAACCCAATTGAGACGTTTCTTTTAATTAGTGCCTGCTGGTGTTTTCCTTCCCTGCCGGTACATAATGGTCAGTTTGGCCGCCATCGCTCCTCCTTCACTGTGTTTTCACAGACGATCTGTTATTCACTGCTGACCTGTGAAGCACGACCCTGTTTATTCTGACTCTTGTACACTTTCATGATATTCGCGTCCAGCATAATGTTTTGTTACTTGCTGTTTTTTTTCTCAATCGCTTTGATGCAGTTCACTAATCAGAAATGTCCTTCTCTCTCCTTCTCCTTCTCTTTTAATGCAGTTCTCAAAACAGGTCATGCTTTTCTAATCACCTCTGCAAAAGCCAATCAAAACCTTGCTCACGTGTTATAACATGCAAAGTCAGTCAGTCACTTCAACATTGTCACGAAAGAATGAGAGAGCGGCTACTTAGCATCATTACTGCACTGTCCCTTTAGAACACAGTATGGAAATGAACATACAAGCATACTGAAGACAGACAAGACCAAAGCTTTAGATTTAGAACGACAGTGTGTACATGGTATATCCAAACATTTACTATAATGAAAAAAGTGTTTGGCATTTGATGCAAATAATTGTCTTTAAGATGTGTTCATGATATTTTCAAGTTTTGAAAAAAAAAAAAAAAAAAAGACCTAATTTAGAAAATGAGTGAGAGGTCTGTCATTCTGACTGAGGAACATACAAACGGTTTTTATGAGTTTTCAGAGTCAGATGAGAACTGCATCAACACAATGACAAAATGTCTTTAGTAGTGAAATATGTGTGGACACAATGGCAGTTTGTGCTAAAACAATGAGAAATGCTAATGTGTGTGAGGAAATAATGAACTGTTTGGAGACTTGCATTGAGAGTGGTGAGAATGATGTTCCTGATGTGTGAATTGCATCAAAGTGATTGAGAAAAACTGTAAAAACGTGTCTTGTGTGTTTCCTCTCTGCGTAGGATGAACTCTGTACAAAACTTTTTACATTTACTTTAACCAATTGTTTTTTCACTTTTTTTTTTAACCTGTTACATGATCTCGATGACTGACAGGAGAAGCTGCTAATGCCAGCATGCTAACATACAGCACTAAACACACAACACACACAATGGGGGGATTGAGGATTATTGGAATATACATTTGCAGTTATTTGACAATAAACCAAAGCATTGGACAAATTGAAATTTCAATGATTGCATCAGATGAAAAGTTTTTATAATTCATCTTGAGGAGAACACGACTAAAAAGCTTTGGCTTGTGTTGTATGTGTTTGCTCACATGTCCACAGTATGTTTATTGCGTCACAGGTGGCCCGTGTGTGTGTGTGTGTGTGTGTGTGCGCGCATCCACGTGTGACTCAGACTAATCCTTTTAGATCTCTCTCTCCCCCCAGCTCTATATTTACCTCACCCCTCTCTGAGATTAACCCAGGTATTTTCTGCAAGTGCCCCTGCAGATCGATAGCCACTTTCTCTACAGTGGACCTGCTGGGGTTTACTAGAACCAGGCTCGACTCAAACTATCGACTCTCTCAGTTCCTTTCCTTGATGCTCCTTATCCTGGCTGTCGCACCAGCTTGATAACAGGATGCAGAAGAATCTTTAATATGCTCTGAGGAGTAATAGAGTGACATCAGTAATTAGTAAGACTTCAACTAAAGCAGCATGAGCGGAGGGAAGGTCGAAGTTAGGAGGGCTCACTTGATGCTCACATAAAACATGTCTCTCTTTTCTCACATTTCTATTTCTTTGCTTCACTCTGTCTTTCTTTCCCCCATTTGACCTACATGTCTGCCGCCCCTTTGCAATCCAATTTGTCCTCTGTCTCCATCCTATCCTCCGTTCTTCTCTTTAAGTAATAAGATTGCTGCTGTTGAGCTGGACTTTTAAGGCCTACAGCACAAACACACACACACACACACACACACACACAACCACAGGAGCAGTGTCTGCCCCTGAATTACAGCACTGCCACACCTCCAGCTATCTGTAATCTCCCTCGGTAGACCACAGTGTGCAGGGTGAAGAAATTACAGAGAGAGGGGTGAAGAGGCAGTGAAAGGTGTCACTAAAATAACAAACTTTACAGGATTTAAAGGAAGAAAGAAAACAAATCAAAGAAAGCATACAATGGCTTGAAAGGGAGAAGAAACTGGACATATTTCTTTTCTTGTGGGAGTTGAGGAGTTTCAAGGTGAGGTAAATTACTTGTGGTATATTCAGCTGCCACAGCACATACACAGATTGATGGCCTATTAAATTAGCTACTAACAAAACAAGGCAGTGCTGCTGGTATATATCAGGTGTGATCGATCAGCTTCAAAAAGTGAACTGGATGATTGTGGAATAACTTTTCCAAATGTAGGGTTTAAGCTCTGACCTTTCTGAGTCTTACAGTAAATCCTCTTTTTTTTCCCAGGTAAGGTCCACTGCTGTTCAATTTCAAACATATTTCTCCTACATCAGCCTTGGAAGTTTCAGTCCAGAGCTGCAGTCTCAAATAGATCTGGCACAGCTCAGAGCCAGAGAGCCAAATCTAATTTGTGAGGTTATCGCTGTCAATTCTCAGCCTGCAGCGACTGCTGCGACAGTGAAATACAGGCTGGGCGCGACAGATAAAGTACATTTCTGAGCTGTTAGGCCTGAACTTTATTTCTAAATCTCAAATGTATTTCAAATGTAGTGTTTTGGTGTTTTCTTCTGAACCATAGGTCTGCTCTTGGAAAGCACCATCTCATAAAAGCCTTATTAATCCATGGTCAGCTGGTTCTGGCTCGGATGCAGTGTTGTATTTAGATTATCAATACTTTTGTCTACAAAAACTGTTGTATATCCTGCAGACTGGATCTTCAGTAGGCGGCAACACAATCATGAACATCAGTCATTCACTGAGCAGCATCAGTTAAAGGATACATCAACCCAAAATGTTGTTATACTGTTAAATAAAGAGACACATTTGTGGAGCTTTTTAAAAAAATATATGTTTATTGCTAAACATAAAACAAATCAAATCTGGAGTAAATATATTACAGTTTTTCTCAGTTGCTTTGATACATTTCTCAAATCATCTTTACCATTTGCAAAACAGTAAGTGCAATCCTCAAAACGCTTCGTACAAACAGCACCACGCAATGGATCACCTGCAAAAGCCCGTAACTTGCTCAAAACCCGTGGTCAATGAACATGTCAGCGCCATCAGAATGATCAGTCCCTGTGTCATTGTTTACAAACTAGATATTCAAAATGCTCAGCCATGTTGAGTGCACATATTACTGTATGTGTGAGATTGATTACAAGAAATTGGACAGGATTCACATTTACAACTTTACTGTTTGTACTGTAAACCATGTCAGGCCATGTCTGCACACACACACACACACACATTGTTCTCCCATCATTCGGCTGCACCCTTCGACCAGACTTGGCCATTGTAAGGTCATAATTGAGAACACGGTCTTCAGTTGTGGCCCTTATTTCATCGGGAGTGTACCTATATCCTCGACCTCTTCTACCTCTTCCTCTGTCTTGCCTCCCTACCCTTCCACCACGCAGCCTTACACCTCCTCTTCTTCTTCCCGGCTCTCGACCCTGTTCATTTCCAGGTCGTTCATCGATTGTCAGAATGTGTAACGCTGCGCTGTGCTCTGTCTGTGTATGCTTGCCAATTGTGGATTCGTGTGATGCAACTCTGAGCTATTTTAGAGTAAAAGTCAAGATTCACCTGAGAGCAATTCATCGATTCAGGTCACATTTACAAAAGAAAGTCTAATAGAAATGTATAGAAAATGTGCTTGAAATATTGTGACAACTGGTTCAAACATTTTGCATGTAACGACTTATGCAATTAACTTATGCCTAGATATTTTTGAGGGGTAAAACAATTCAACAGAGAACGAGCATGATACATTTTGACCAACATAACATAAGCAATTGATATTGTAGGAAAGACCCGACAATTGTACATAATCATTTGCATGAATGTGCCAAAACATTTGCACATTGTTCAAATGAATGACTAGATGGATGTGGAGGTTGAACAAGTAGTTGTGAGAATTTCAGTTCTGATCTGAGAAATGTGCCGAAGCGACTGAGGAAAAACTGTAAAAAAGAAAAACCAAAAACACAATAAGTCTTAAACTCTGCTTCCCTTAAAAAGAATGAAAACGCGGTGCACAGTCTGTCTGCTTACAAACATTGTCAGCATAATAACTGGCCACATCGATACAGTTCTAAATAATGGTCAGACTGGGTCACTGTTTTCTCTCCATTCAAAGAAAATAGTCAAAAGCAAAGTGTGGAATCAGTCACTCCTCAATTTATAGACTCACTGTTTTGCACTGACCTGTGGTAATCATACACACAGGTGGCAGAGATACTGTTCCTTTATGTATATAAATCATAGCTGCTGTTCTGTCACATATCAAATATATTCATATTCATATCAAGTTTACGGAGACAACTTTTGTTGTGAATACCTACTGCATGATTGATGTGAACAGAAGTGCTTTGATCAGGATGAACACATGTGACAGCAGCCTGAAGTTTGTCGTCACAGTAAGGACCAGAGCAGTTGTCACCCATCATGTTGCATTTGAAACGTGATTCTAGTTTGTTGTTGTTTGTAACTGTTGTATGAAATATCTGTACACAGAAGCAGCGACAGAAGAAACACAGGGGAGACACACGGAAAAGAGACAGCCATGGCCAGGACATTGTGTGTGTGTGCGTGTGTGTGTGTGTGTGTGTGTGT